GGTTGTACGAGAACACCTGGTTGTATGAGAACACCTGGTAATATGAAAACACCTTTCCCCTTCTTGATCAGTGCAGAAAATATCTAATATAATCTGTCTCCCAGACCCCAGAGACTAACATAAAATAATTCCAAGTCCATTTGGATTTTCTTTTTGATTTTTGTAGATACTCTATATATTTTCAATTAAGATAACTTTATTTCTTGAACTAAATCTTAGTCAAAAAACATCTTTTCCAGCTAACAGTTAATTCAAATCAGTCTGTTGATAATGATTACCAAGAGCTCGATCTAGTCCTGCCTCATGACTGTCGAATTTATATTTTTAAGGTATTTCTTTTACTAAAAGTTTGGATCAAATTAACCAAGTCTAGTATGTTTGATTCCACATATATTTTAAACCGCAAAAGAGGAAAGGTTCTTTCGAAGAAAAAAAAAAAAAATTATTTTAAAGAAATGTTTTCATTGACTAAGTGTTAGTCTAGGCCCGATTGCTTAAGGCCGCAGCTTTTAATAATAGATCTATTCCGAACTCACGTTCAGATAATATATTTTTCCTAAAGCCTCTGAGAGATAGAAATCTGTGCTGCGTTAGTGATAAGAGTGATGGACATGTTAACGTCCCCTTCCAAACGTAGCTATGGTGACGAATGGGTCCAGGGTACTTATCATAATAGAATGGAGATATGATATACTTGATAATCGAGACTGGTGTGCCCCAGACAGCTGTCCCTCGTCTACTCCACGCAGCCTTATCTCTCCGCGTCACTGGTGATTACCGCCCTCTAACAAACATCACCGGAGGCCTATTGCGTCATACTTTCCTGGTCATCTCATGGACATCCACTGGTCACCATAGCAACTTACAGTAATCATCGCGAATAACTGCGAAGTTGTTGATGCTCCCTAACAATAATGCTTTGGTAACATTTTTTACTATTTTTTTGCAAAACTAATCATCATCATTTTTTCTAGAAAATACTGAATAAACTGTTTTTTACAGTTTTATCTTACATTTTTATATTTCTTAAGTTGGAAAGAACATATTGTAAAAATAATATTATACTTTTGCATATACACTCTTCAAAAAAAGGAAACGCGCAGGTAAATTTTTAGTAAATTTATTGTACCTAATAAAGTCGATATATTTAATTTGATATCATAGATACAAATATGAATGTTTGGAGGTCGATAGCCACATGTTGTACAAAGGCATTGAAAAACTGTTCATTATCGTGTCACATAAGGCCACAAGGTTGCGCTGAACCATCACGGCTCTGCATCTCCTCGGCACTGACTGGATAAGTGTACGAATTCTGTCCTGCGGAATTCTGCGCCATTCTGCCTGTAACGCGTTGGCCAGTCGTGGGAGTGTCTGCGGCGTGTTCTGACGTTGACGTACACGTCGACCGAGTTCATCCCAGAGCTGTTCGATTGGGTTGAGATCTGGAGATCTCGACGGCCAGGACAATGCGTTGATGTTGGCATTATGAAGATAGTCTACCTTGACACGAGCTGTGTGCAGTGGAGCGTTGTCGTGATTCATCGCTAAACCACACTCGTCTCCAGTTTATCATATTCCAAGGTACTAAGGTATGGTACCAAGGTATGGCAAGCGCCGCTGTCGATGGGTCTGTTGCAAAACATGGACGATAACTGGTCTTCTGGGTCGGATTCCAGCCTCGCGAAGATGGTTCCTGACAGTCTGGTCCGATATCCTCCTCAAACCAGGGATGCGTCCTGCATTCTCCGTAGCTGTGGCATTGCAATGACGTAGGTGGAACAGTCGAATGTAGCGAGCCTGTGCAGGGGTGGTAACTCTTGGTAACTGTGTGTATCGGTCACAAAGGCGGCAAATAGTGCTCTGGTGGACGTTGAAGTGGCGTGCAACAGAAGAACTGCGGCCCCCCTTTAGATACGTCCTATGGCGATGTTCCGATCGGCAGCGCTGGGTCTCGGCATTTTCGAACTTGGAAAATGTTGACAATTGAATGACAAATTATTGGCTTATGCTTGCCTTTTTATAGCTACTACCACGAGTTACAAATGCCATAAGTTGTACGTGCATTTTGCTTCACTGTTTTCCTCCATGACATGTTTTAACAAGTGTGAACACAATGCCGTCTAAGACATTGCAAATCCACAATGGCTGCGTTTTGACGCAAAATGTGTCCAATATCAGGCCACCAACATTTTCCAATAACATATATCCAATTTATATACCGGATTTCTTGTGTAGACAGGTTCAATGAGCTGCATACTACCTGTGCGTTTCTTTTTATGAGTGAGTGAGTTGGGTTTAACGCCGCTTTTAACAGTATTCCAGTTATATCGCGGCGTGTCAGCTTAATGTGGGAGGAAAGCCCGAAGTGATGCAGGTCCCACATGTTTACCACTTCGGTGAAACCCACGAGCACGGTGCTGACAAACCTAGAAACATAATTGGGGCGAACCGGGATTCGAACCCACAATCATAGGTTTCTGGCGTGCATAAGGGAAGTAACTCTGCACAGCGAATTGCGGCGCCTTAGACGACTGGGCCACCTGGGCTACCCGTGCCCCCTCTTTTTTTTAAGAGTGTATATATATATACTTATATAGAGATAAATCTTTTACAAAACAAAGCTGAGATGTCGGTTTTATGTCACCAGTTGTTGAACAACATGTTTAGAGCCTCCACGTAAGGCTGAGTGATGATACTGATACCCATATTGCGGTTTGTGCAAGAGCCCCAATATGTCCCAAAATGATAAACATTCGTGGTAAAATAGAACTGTAATTAACTGCGTTGTCCGGCTACATCTTTGGGGAACTATTCACTTGAGAATCCCCTCTCAAAAATAACGCCGTCATATATTTGACGTCATCAAGTTGCGAGCGCATTTTCTAATCTCAGGAAATGACGTCATCGTGGTAGAACAATGTTTTATAGTGAAATAAACCACGCTTCGTCCAAGATGATGGCTTTATCATCAAAAACTGGCTCCCACAGAAGAAATCGCTTGGGTTATAGAGCAAGCGATATCTACATTGTAAGAGTTTCCCACTTTCATCAAAGAGTGTTGATGTATATTATATCAAAAGACACGAGCATTGTTGAATCTCATTGTGACGTAAGGACGGAATGACGTAACACTAGAAGCAACGTCATAGCTGAAGATTGTGACGTCATTGGACAAATTTTGGTTTTGTAGGACAGCGGTAGTGATCAGGGCCTAGATTTTGAAACGATCTTAGCCCTAAGATTATCGTAAGGTTATCGTAAGGAAATCGTAGGCTATCGTAGCCTATTTTCGAAACTATCGTAGCCCTAAGATATCTTAAGTTTGTCGTAAATCTAAGATAGGGCGAAACCGCATTATCAGTCATATTGGGAAAGGGAGGTCACTCTCATTTCAAACGGGAGCTACCTCCGTTGTTTTCGTATTTGCGAGAAATGGCGTCACCCACGCTGCACGTTGTTGGTCCAGCTATTAAATGCCCAGCTTGTCCCTAAGGTAAAACGTAAGGTAATTAAATGTTTGAATGCATTATATATTTATGTTTCCATCAGTACATCTTCTAAGATTGGTTTAGTGGTGATAACCATTTTCTAAAATGTGGGCCCACATTTTTCCCGTCATCTATGGTGATCGAAACAAGTGGGCCCACATTTGTATTTCGCCTAGCTTCGTTAGGTTGTTTCGTTAGTTCTGATAATCAATCCCTAAATGTGGGCAGACGTTCTTCCGTCATATTGATTGCAACAGGAGGGACCACATTTATTAATCGCGAAATTCTACTTAAATATTGATAATCATTTTCTCAAATGTGGGCCCACATTGTTCCCGTCATATATGGTGATCGAAACAAGTGGGCCCACATTTGTATATCGCCTAGTGGGTAGACGTTCTTCCGTCATAGTGATTGCAAAAGGAGGGACCACATTAGAAAATCGCTAGCTTCATTAGCTTGGCTTACTTATAACCATTTTCTAAAATGTGGGCCCACATTGTTCCCGTCTTATAGTGATCGAAAAAGGTGGGCCCACATTTTTAAATCGCTGGGTTTCATAAGGTTGACGAAGTCATTTAGGCTATTGGGCTCACGTTTGTCATTATGTGACATTTTATACTATTCATATTTTGTAATATTGATGGGAAATATCTTTATAAATCATTTCGTGTGACATTAATTCCATAAAAGGCACAAAAGTCTTGAATAACTGCGTCATAGCTGACCACACTAGTTTTACAAAAATAGCTACCAAGCATGAAACTTAAATCTACTTCAAATTAAATTTACAGAGGCAATACCACTCATTCTACTTTTTCCAATATAACACATCAATCTAATCATAAGTGTTGGTGGCGATATACGCCTGAACATATGTCTACACTTGAATTGATCTCGGGCATGATACAAGCCTCAGACGTTTCCGAGAACTTGTTCCATAAAAGGAATAATATTAATGACCCCACGACCTAGTTTGGCGATGTTCGTAGAAGTGAGTTCTGCTGTATTGCCATCTTATTTGTACATTTTAATCCAATTATAAGTCATAATACTTATTTTAAATAGACAAATTATGAGTTTGTTATGCCGGTTTGTTTACGTAGTATATATTCTCAACAACAAGTGCGTTTAGTTTCGAATGTGGGCCCACCTCGAACTTTCGATTAGGCAAACGGAGTTAGCTCCCTTCTCGAACCACCGATAATGCGGTTTCGCCTAAGATAGCCCTTTACCTGTCGTAAGTTTATTTTATCTTCATCCAAGATGGCGGCATACTTTTCCATAGATATTTTGCCAAACAATAAGTCTGCTTTACGTTCAAACATTGACATTTCATTTGGTAAAACTGAGTGATTCAAATTGACACTTCGAAAACAAAAAGAACGCATCATGGATTTCGCGTCAAAAAAATTCTCAATCGCGACAGCGATCCACATAACTGTGGAGTCGATAGCTTACAATATATTTCTATCCGAGTCCATGCAAGAGAAGTGTGAAACAACATACCTTTTCGATAATTTGGGAGGGATAAAAAGGGAAGGTGTCGACAGGCTACAGTAATGACCGTGACCTCATTGATAACTCAGGGGGAGCTAATCTTAGTTCAAACTCTAGTTGAGAGTGGTTTCCCTTTGTACTCGCCCGGGACACCTTGTTCAATGGTACAGTTTTCATAAAGCGCAGAGTTCCGCTGTTATATTTTCTGGATCGCATTTGTGTCAATGCTTTAGTCTTTATTTTCGCATTTGATAAAATTATATCAATCTACATATGTAAAAATAACCATAAAGGTTTCGCATAAGTTTTTACATCTAAAATCGTGTGGGACGGGTGGTTTTAATAATTGAATTTTAACTATACAGTGTAGTATTTATTGACTTAACAAGGAAATACATGTGATCAAATATTTGTTTTCAATATCTAATATTTTTCTTGCAAAAGTAATTGTAATTTGTTTCGTTTTAAATTCAATACCTATGTTATCTATATCATCTTGAAAGACAAATATTTGAAAAAAAAATGATTAAAAACTGTTTGTTGAACAATTGCATTCTTTAAAAACTTTGATTAACGGCATATAGATGTATTCAAGTAAATATAACAATTTACTGAAATTTTGACAGTAAAAGTTAAGCACAGATTTTCGTATCGACAAATCAAATAAAAAATGGGTTCCCATGCTCGTTCTGGTTCTCGTCAAAATGTAGCATAGTTTGCAAATTCCAATATATGTTCGCAGAAAAAAAAGTTTATTGAATGAAATATACTGATCAATATAAAATACACATTTTCAACACAATAATCTTTGCATTCAATAAACCGGTTTAAAAATATTTTGGTGTTTTTAATATTTAAGTCTACATCTTCCCGTTTTATGTTTAAAAAATATATAGATATACTTGAGACCATTCAAACAATAAAATCGTTGTCACGTTTAGGGTCAACGGACAAATACTAGTAAATGATCCTCAGCAATGCTGTCAGACAAGCCAAACATCATTGAACTTTCTCTCTTTGCGAACGAAAATTAGTGTCACTTATAAATTTTGAAAAGAATTATGGATCTATATAGATAAAAAATAATTTCATCATCTAAATACTTATAGCTTGATATTGTATTTAAGTCCTTGGTTAATTCGTGAAATATATTGGATACATAAATAACAAAACAAACTTAACAAGCTTAGATTGTCATAAAATCTTTCTTGTGGGTGCGCAGCTTCCTGAACAATTTTTGTTTTGAGTGTTTCCACGTATAATGTTGGTGTTTACACTAATATAAACTTGACTTTTGACATAAACATAAAAATAAACAGTATACATCACTTAACATCAGACTTGAACACGCATGTTAAATGCTGAACGCATATGCGGCTGGGAAATCCCCGTGACGTCACTGGGAAACACCCCGCTTTTTCAATCTCTAACACAAATGAGTTCTCTGTCAGAGTTACGACAGGTATCGTAACTCTGAACGATCTGCGATAGGTTTACCATAGTTTCGAAAATCTATCTTATCTTAACCTTAAGATATCTTATCTTTGAACGTAAGTTGTTAAGATTTATCTTAGCTACGATCGTTTCGAAAATCTAGGCCCAGGGTACCGTTGTACAAAGCGAGCTTAGCGCTAAGGTGACAGTAACGCCCATACCTTAACATAGACTTACGACAGTCGTAGCTCTAAGGTTGTTTTGTACAACGGCACCCAGTTACGTAAAAGGGAGCTCAAAAGCATTAAGAAATAATTAGGAGATAAACATAATGTAGAGCTAGGTTACCTGTAGATTTAAAGGCGCTAAATTGAATTTGGAACCGAACGCGCAGCGTGAGGTTTCAAATGTTAAATTTAGTGCTGTATATGCTCAAGCAGTATGTTACTGTAATACTTCACTCGACCATATGACAGGCATTGAAAGCATATAAGCACGGCCACTTGGTCAGCTAATATGACATGGTGGGCACGCCTAAGGAAAACTAGACAAGCTTTGCAAAGTTTTCGTTCTACACCGCGCGTCACTATTATGACGTCATATCGCACATTGTGACGGAAAAAGCGTGACGTCACAGTCGTATACAGAAAAGTTAGAAATTCTAAGCACTCTGTGAAATACATTCTCTTTGAACATTTCTTTCGTGTTTTTTGCTCGAAATGTATTGCCACACATCATTTGAATATAGTAGTAACCGCAACTTTGCATTTTGTAACCTATAATTGTAGATATAATTATTTAAATATGCCTACCGACAATGACTGAAAAAAGTAGCTTCCGCGATGATGCGGCCGTCAAACCAGCTGTTTCAATCAGAGGGAGTTTATTGTGATTTAATAGCCCCTGATTGACCAATCAGAAACGAGAAATTTCCAAATTCATGGTAGAATGGGTAATAAAGAAATTATTACACTGGCATGTGTGTCATACAAATTTTACGAAACGAGTGTCAGAATTCTTGTATTTCCCGAGCGAGATTATACCTGATATATTATGCTTGATTCATAAATTTTCATGTTTTCATTTTGGCCCACCTACGATGAAAATGGTGGATGTTATTAGTGTCAAGAATATAAAAAAATATAATATTTTCAAATCATATTCTATTGTATCTCGTTTATATTCATAGTTACACAAGAACACTGACGAGGTATAAATATATGTCCAATTCATATTCACAAAATGGCGAAGAGTGTAACGAGAGACAAGTTACCTACTTCACCGATGGTACACGCTTCTAATGTGTATGTGAATATATATTACGCTTGCACCTAGCTGTGATAAGGGATAACAGAACAGCCTGCTTCGAGAGACTAATATAACAAGCCATAACAAGGCCTCGCCTTTTTCGATGCTCATCACTCTTTTTTTCGGGGAGACTGCAGTGCATTGACAGTGTTTATCAATTGTTTTGGTGACAGGGACAGAAATCTAGATTATCTTATGTTTCGTTACCTGACGTCAGTTCTTGAAACGTATTAAGCAAGCTGCCTCGCTATAACGCTCGCGTAGTTTAGGAAAGCCTTATCAAAGAACAAACCCTGGCCCTCTTTCTTCTTTGGTTTAAATGTTTAAACATGTCATAAAAAACTACACAACAATTTTAGTGTAAAATATGCATTTATTTACTTCAGCCAAGTCATGATGAGCTGTGCACTAAATTAAAGCTATTATTACATTTTTGCTGTCTACACATAACCATTGTCATTAATTGTTCCCTCTATCGCCCGGTTGCTAGGAAACACATCCGTGATGGGAAACATGCTTAGGATGGGAGGGTCGTATATAGTAGCTGCAAATACACGCTGAACTTTGATGTAAGCAGTGTCGGCGAGTCGGGAGCAAGTCTCGTGGTACGAAGCAGTGGATTTTGCTGTGTTTACATGCCACATTTTTTCCTTGAAAGAAGCAACCCAAGCTGGATGGCAGCAAATATTTAACTACTAGTAGCTAGTCCGGCCAAAACGTCAGTCTCCTCAATACAAGGACCATTATTTGACATATCCACCTATCAAGTGTGTTATATTGATGTTAACTTGACTTGTCACGTTTGGCTGGATTTTCAAACACGCCGCCTCAGAGCACGTGCTTGACGTCACAAATATCGATCGTCTGCTTTCCAGGACGCCTGTCGTCTGCTCGCTCTAGCGTCGCGCGGGACATACGCTACAGGCAGGTAAAACAAAATGTCCGACTATAAAACACTGAAGGAGAGACAACTGCGGATTGGGGGTTTGTATGAAGACGACGATTTCCCCGCTGATGCGAGATCGCTGTACTATAAGGGAGAAGGATCGCCGTACGTCCAGTGGAAGAGACCGAAGGTAAGTATTTTGTCAGCCACCGGGAAACAATGAGTATGATTCAGTGAAAGTCTATTGTTTCATACAGACACGGAAGTTATTCGCATAATGTGACTAACACTAACATCTGTATATATCGACGCTTTACGCTATACGGATTCCTTCCTACAATTTAAACAGTATACGTTCTCTTAAAGTAGGTGCATCAATATATTCATCCATACTATTATCAAGTTATTGATTTTGTACCTTAATTACTCTAAATATCAATGCACAAGATAATGTTTTCTCCATAACGTGACAGCAGAGACCATATAATAGACTATTATATGGTCTCTGGTCACAGTCAGTGTTTAAATTTATTAACACTCTATTTCTAAAACTTCTGAGACTTGAATTGTTAATCAAATTTACGGACGGGTCAGCACATTCCCAGCCTTGACATGGGACGCTATTATTACTTCTGCTTGCGTGCATTGTGATGCGTTGTGTAAACAGTCCAACCTTAAGTGTGGTGTTGAAAGCCTGCAATCGCCGATGACTCCTAAACATTTTATTTCCTTGTAGTAATTTGATATGCATTTAGAATTACAACTTACTTGTTAACTCATTTAAAAAACCCGACATTTAACGTATACCTGTTGTACCGTGGTTTATGGGGCCTATGATACATACCATAGCAGATAATTATCTTGTTGCATTGATCATGAAATTGCAGCTAAGCTAAAACAGATAAACTGCAAAGTCATTGATATGTTTTGATTAGAAATATTCGGTGGTGAAGGATATTAATTTGGGCATGAACCTGTATTATGTATGCACACTCTAATTATGGTTGATATACAGAAATAGTCCATCGTAGTATACCATACTAACGTCTACATGGTAGTGCATATATGCCATAGGCTTATGTCTATATCGGGAACGTATACAATGTGAAACAGGCTAAAACCGTGTATAGCTACACCATGACTACAATACAGTCATGCCGTGACTCTGCAAACATTTCAAGGAAACTCATTACCTATAATTTATTGTAAGCAGGCAAGTATAATTGTCTTCACACGCAATTGCATCTAGGAGTTGAAAGCATTTAAATGTAAACAAGAGAAAAGGATTTTGTTGTGAACAGTTGAAGGGCGATCTGGCCTGCAGTATCAGATATCGTGCACAAAGTGTGAGAAACAGAAATTCCGACGCACTGACTGGAAGGACGATACGAGACAGGCGTAGAAACTGGGTGTTGTTGTTAACCTGTAGCTTGACCTGAGTTCCGTCGCCCCAGGTAGACACTGAGGGATCATCAGATTACCTGTGATGTCATATATTACCTGCGCATGTTATTATCTTAAGTAATAATCTCTGTATGACCCTTTCTTGGGAAATAACGCGATAGGCAGAGAGAAAGAGAGCCGACTATGCTTGTCGTAAGAGGCGACTTACTGGATCGGGTGGATCGCTGGTCCAGACTCGATTATTTAAAGACCGCCGTCATGTAACTTGAATATTGCTGAGTGCGGCGTTTAACAACAACCAACATATCCCGGGATATGTCATGTTGTCATGATATTCCTACCTTCGAAGTCCAAGGCATAATTCTCTCTCAGCTAGCAAATACTTCATTCCCATAAACCCCTTTGCTACGCTTACCATAAACCCCTTTGCTCTTTCTACGCTTCCCCAATCAGCAGCCCTGGCTTTGTACCATACGCCTATCATCTTCCGTACGACTATCTGACGTATAAAACAGCATTACAGTACGTCACAACATGGTACTGAGTCACATATGTTCGACAACTTCGATAGAAGTGTAATACACAAGTGCACGCGATTACTTATTTCTAAATATGTCGGTCAATGAATTTGAATTATTAGAATTTTGACATTCTGTACGAGGCAGCTTTGTCACCTGAACTTAAGCCACACCCTGTATCCTGCACAGTTGCAGCTGTCGCTTCGTCAGCTGAACTCGGTTACCCCAGGGCACAGCTGGGAATAATACCATATATGCTGTATGGCTTACTCGACGAGTTACACAGTCCATGATGACATACACAGCCGTGCTCTTTTCCCTTTTTATAGCAAGAAAATGTGTCCCGTTGCCTGGAATTGTTTAACGCGAAAAGATACCACCTTTCTACAACTTTAGGGAGTAGGTTGGAGAGGATTTAAATACAGTGGACGCTGTCTTTATACACCACCCACACGCACAGTGCACCAAAACCAACCCACACAATCTCTCGTTTCGGTTCAGAGTCCACTGTTCTTAAAAAGTAGTGATTTTACCCGAACACTTTTATTTTAGCAAACCTGCCCATTCAATCAATAGCGATCGTTTGAAAATTAGGCAATACTGATAGTCTCCACCTTACAATATTATGTATATGTATAGGACCCGTTAAGATCCGGGGTAGAATAGGTCTTCAGCAACCCATGCTTGTTGTAGGAGGCGAATGCATGTCATCGATCCCGATTGCGTGGATCGATGCTCATGATGTCAATCGCTGGATTGTCTTGTTCAGACTCGATTATTTATAGACCGCCGTCATATAGCTGGAATATTGCTGAGTGCGGCGTTAAACAACAAACAAAAGTAAGAGGCGACTGATGCTTATGATGTCAATCACTGGATTGTCTGGACCAGACTCGATTATTTACAGGCTGCCGTCATATAGCTGGAATGTTGGTGGAGTGCGGCGTTAAACAACGAACAAACAAGTATGTATGGCTGGTAGTGGACGTATTGAGATTTTCACTGTTCATAGCTCGTGTTGTGAGTCAGTTGGGTTTTAATGTTATCAAAGTTACAAGCTAGAATCACTGTCCTAATCGGACAAGCTGTGTAGGATAATATTCAGGTGTTCATATGAAACACATTATAGATCTATCCATCATAGCATTCTTAAATTATGTACAATGTATTCCGTTTAACGTGGGAACATCACTGACCTGTGAAGCTCGTAATATTCCCTAATAGCTAATAGGTAATTATCGTCGACAACTACCTTTATATTCAAAGTTTTACTACACCTTAACTGCAGTGATTTGTCACGTATGACAACAATACAGTCTCACTGGGTCAACCCGTACACATGCCATCTCGAGCAGCAACTATGTACAGGTAGGTATTGTAGTATGGTCAATATACACAGGGGAGGGATGCACACGTTGAAGAATGTGCGACATTGTTATGGAAAATACTCAGAGATAAACTCTAAAATCGTAACTGTTTCATTTCCAGGAATACACCGACTGTATCTTCTTATTTCAGTCAATGTATGCGAGAGGATACAATTACTGTAAATAGCCCTGTATACAAGGACGCCCTTGCAGTGAATGAGTAATAAATTTACTATACATTTCTGACTACACCAATGACTCATATAATACAGCCACAAATAAACCTTTTAAAACGTGGTTCAAATTCGATTTGCATGGAGGTAATAAATCATTTAATCGCATTTGGATGATAACTATATATCTAAATGTGCAACACTAACACATACATTTTTTCATGATTTCATATAAACAAGTTCTACGTCACTTAGGTGTAACAAAACTCGTTTCAATTGTTTAATTCTTGTAGTATTTTAAGCAAATATGAGTGAGTGTGATTTTACGCCGCATTTTGCAATATTTTAGCAATATCAGGACGAAAATGGGTCGCACACATTGAAAATGTTCGATTACTGCATTACCAATCCACAGCGGTACTCACTTTGATACATGGCGATAACGTTTCTGCAATATGTTAAAAACATTGCAATGACATGTTATGAAACAGTATCGCCAATGTTATGACATGATGTTTTTAAAATCATTTCAATAACATTCTTAAACGTTAATCAAATGTTTTGAAGGAAATGTTTTTGAAAAACTACAATGAAACCTTTTTGAAAATGTTTTGAAAATATTATGTGTCAGATGGGAGTGTTCAAAAATGCGTAAAACAAATATTGCCGCCAAGTTTATTACGCTGTCTTTACAGACGGTAGCCCAGTCTCTTGTCAGTTGCGTTAGCGAGCAAATTGACTCACGGCAGCTAGTGAGCCCCAGCGGCCAGTGTCATACAGCCGAGAAGAAGCCAGAGATTCTTTTTCTTCTTCTTCCATATTCTCGAGCAAAAGTAATGAAGCATTAAGAAACCTGACAGACACTTTTGGCGTTCAATCCGTAATCTGTAGGTTTGTTCACAGTTTCAGTTCATTTCTCTGAAAAACCACCAACGGTGGTACACAGGGACAGGACGTCGATCTTTCTGAAGCTTTGTTTTTACCCAACAGCCGATAATCCCCCTGCTTACTCTGTTATACTCGCCTTATTCCGCGAGAGAAGTTTCTCCTCTAGTGACCTACTGCGAGAGTAGGTTTCCTTCCCGGGAATACCCCTGCCTTCTTAAGGTTTAATCTTCCACTGCATATTGAGACCGGCCGATACTCCGAACCTCCCACTCCTTTATCTCAAAGAATATGTAAATATTGTATATACTCTCATGATCACGATGCTCCCCCTACTTATATTGAAGATGAATGCCATTTCTTAATCGAATGTAACTTTTATGATGACTTACGTTTTGATCTTTTACAAGAAGCTTTTGCTATTAACAGTGGTTTTTTTAAAAATTTAGGCAGCTCAGACAAATTGATTTTTATTATGCAAGAGGAATCACTTAAACACATTGTAGCTAAATGTCTATATTATATGTTTAAAGGAAGACAAAACTATACAAGTTAATTATCATTATTACTACAATTCTTATTGTTACTTAAAAAAAAGTTAAACACCACTTATATTTTTATTAGTATGGTACATATATATAATATTTTATCTATTTATTTAATTATTATTATTATTATTATTATTATTTCACAATGGATACACTTGTATTATAATGTGTCTCATAAGCCTAATACGGCTGGATGTACAAGCTTTTGTTCTGAAATCACACTATGCCATGACGGCATGTGCGTGTGACACAAAAATAAACATTTCTCTCTCTCTGTATCAAATCTGCATAACCAGTGAGATTGTGGTTACTGTCACACCTGACTTGTGTGTCTGAATGGCAGGTCTGAAAACAAGGGGTGAACCATTACACAGTAACTCGGGGTAACGGGTGCTATATAATCAAAGTACCGGCGTGCTACCTGTATACGGTATATATATGTTACGATGATGTGTCATTCCTTAATCAGTACTTAAAAGTAAACACATGTTAACGATAATTACGACAGAGAGATAGATAAACGCAGGTCGGGTTAGTATTATTTCCTTGGTTAATTATTTAGTTGATTTGTTAAACACTTTTTCATGATGAAAGAAGTGATGGTGCAGAAAAAGACAAGCATTTAACACTATAACCGTGATGCAATCGCGTTACTCAATACAATCCCCAAAGAACAATATATAGGGCGCTTTTTTACTATCTATTCCTTACTTGATATCAGTAATTCATATATGGATACCAAAGAAAAAATTTGTCACAAATTTTATTTTATTTTATCATGCCATGTTTACTGAAATCGATTAAATTTTGTAGATATCAATAACTGAATTTATTATACCAAATAATGTACTTTATCATCTAAAACATCGAATATGGTATAGTATCTATAGCCTTCGTCTCCGAGACCTTATGCCCATTTTTTAATAGTTCGTACATATAGCTACAGTATCGTAACATTTACATATATAGATATTTAGATGATGTCTCTGCATATATGTAAGGGCAAGTTTCTTCCCTTTTAATCAGTTTTCCTCCTGGCTCTGAATGTGGAATACAGGCTTTAGGGAAACATATGTATCTTTTAACGCGTTGCACACGGGTGTCACACGCGTGGCTGACGGGTTCCACACGAGTGACCAATGGGGTGCAAACGCGTTGCGTAACGCGTTGCCTATGCATGTAAGGGGAATGAACTTCGAGGCAGTAGTGTATGTATGTGTATCTTCTTACATAAAGAAAGGCCAAATTAAGTACCGAAGTAAAACACCAAAATATATTTTTTGCATAACCAAATAACAAGCGGAGAACGTTTCGGGAAGTCTAGTGAATCGAGTATTATATATCCTTTTGATGATAACGGTGTATGTGGCGGTGCGGGGGTTGTTTTATACAATAACGGTATCAGTGTCATCAGGACTTACACACGGAGTAGTTCTACAGGATATCTACATGACTTGGGGGCAGGGCAATGGTACGTGTCACAAGGCATTACTTGGGGCAATCCAGATGTTTAAAGTAATTACTCAACCGTGACTGCAGACGAGACGTGGGTGTTGTATCGTGACGGTGGTCTGCTGGATCATGTGTTTCAGTGCGGATACACTTACCTTCATCTATTATGTATGGTATTTACGTCCTTATAAACGTCCGTGTAAATGTCACGTGTAGCTTTCAGATTGTGAATATATAGTGGCATAGGTGATTTTTATTATTTCATTAACATTAAAACATGCAGGTTTAGTTTAGAGTGAGTGAGAGAGATGGGACTGTTACGCCCCTCAACATGGTATTTTACAGCTGTCGGAGAAAGATCGCAAGTGTTTGCTTGCTTGTTTGTTGTTTAACGCCGCACTCTACAATATTACAGCTATATGGCGGCGGTCTGTAAATAATCGAGTCTGGACCAGACAATCCAGTGATTGACATCATGGGCACCGATCCAGGCAATTGGGATACGATGACATGCATCAACGAAAGTCAGCGAGTCTGACCACCCGATCACGTTAGTCGCCTTTTACGGCAAGCATTGGTTGCTGAAGACCTATTCTCTACCCCGACCATAGCTCCTGGACATGGTGGTCATCAGAACAGGTGTTCTGTCCACATGTCCTGTGCAATATTGCTCTGCGTCCATGAACAAGACATTCCCGAGATCCACACCAAAACACAGTATATTTCTCTCAGTATTGTCTGTAGGCTGTGATGGCTACCAGTCCCCAGTGGCCACACTGATTCATAGCCCGTGTAGTTAGTAAACGAAACTGTACGCCGCGAATGTGTTACAGGAAAAAGAAACGGGGGAAATAATGTCCTCAGGTTGTACCCTCAAAAATATATTATACGCGGGACAAGCCAGATTTCCTGATTTATAAATATGTTTAGGAAAAAACCATAAAGACTCCTCCTTTCTGAGATTTATTTGTTTGAGCAGTGACCGAAAACATATATTACTGTCTCCACCAAGAAATTCCAGCATATACGTTGGCTTGTCCCCTATACCATGCCAGTGCGTTCACCAAATTTGTAAGATCTTCTTTACTTGCAACCCGTTAAGATCCGGGTTAGAATAGGTCTTCAGCAACCCATACTTGCCGTAAAAGGCAACGATAGCTGGAATATTGGTGAAAGCGGCGTTAAAGAACAAACAAACAAACAAATAGTAGCACGGTTACACTCAGACCTGACTGACAGTAGTGTCATAACTGTCAACAGTTATGTCACTAGTTATTCTGAGGGTGTGTATTGGAAAAAACCCTTCTAACGTTAGATTCTACAAGTAATATGTATGCCCTACCATTTGTCAGTTTGATTCTGACGATGGGACTTGTGCCTAGCCGTCTCTTTGCGCTTTGATGCAGTGTTAAAGTGTTCTCTTACCAATACATTTCTGGTGTCCCCCGCCGTGATATTGCTGAAATATTGCTAAAAGCGGCGTAAAACCATACTCACTCACTCACTCTCTCACCAATAGAAGCTGCAACTTTACTCATACTGTAATGCAGGAACAATATTGATGAACTTGAACCATAGCTTTAAATACCATGTTGTGTGGATCGGTTCTGATTAATACCTTTGGAAAGCCATATATCCCTTACAGCGCCAGTGGTCTTCAACAACCCATGCTTGCCGTAAAGGGCGACTAACGGGATCGGGTGTTCAGGCTCGCTGACTTGGTTGATGCATGTCATCGTATTCCAATTGCGTGGATCGGTGCACCTTATGTCTATCACTGGATTGTCTGGTCCAAACTCGATTATTTACAGACCGCCGTCATATAGTTGGAACGTTGCTGAGTGCGGCGTTAAACAAACAAACAAGTTCAGCGCGTGTGAAATCTCGTTCAAATATACAAGGGGAATAATGTTTCTTCTGTTTCAGGAAATCACCAAGGATGCCAAGTTTATCGTCCATGGAGCCAAGTACTATGACATGCAGCAGGGGGAACTCGGTATGTGAACGCTGAATGTCTGTTATCAGCCTGCATGATGGTAACCAACAGATGAGTAACGTAACAAATCAGTAGTCTCGGGCTAGCGTGAATGTCTAAGGTTGAATGTACAGAATCTATGCCGTGTCCTCCCACCAACAAGACATAGCTAACAGTTCTCTATAACCGAAGCGGTAATAATAGTCATTGGTTTTTGGAAATCTTCACGAATATTGGCTACAGTGTATAACCTGAAACTTCAACCTTGTTCAAGCCCCAATTCATCCCGGCGGTTTCGTAGTAGTGAAATCGTTCAGATTAGCAATTTCTAGATTAATGTATTGTTACGTCGTAATGTCCATAAGATATTCCGCTCAAAAGAAGTTAAAGAAGACCCAGTTCTTCTACACTACCATAGTTAATCTCTCATGGCAAAACGTGACAGAATAACTATAACAATATGAAAGAATCGGGTGTTCCTTAACTTCCTTTGAGTAGTATACAAGTGGACGTCCTTCGTCGTCCAGAAAGCGGGATAGGAAGCTGTGCGTCAGCCTTGCTGTACAATGGACGAATATCAGAATAAATACGTTTTAGATCAATTATATTTATTGACGACACCTGTCACAATTAATTCGTGGGTACACTACTAAATTGAAGTTGTGGATAGTGTCGATATTGGATGTGAACACACAAAATGAAACAAGTAAGGTGCAAAACAGTCTGTTGCCGTGACGAGCTATAGACATGAATTCTTTCGTAAAAGGCTTATGTCCATTGGGTAATCCGCTTGATAACTACGGTAAATAAGGTGGGATTTCAGCAGTAGTCCCGGAACATCAAACAGACTTCAATGTGCCCATGTGGGGAATCGAACCCTTTTTCCCAATACTCGCAAACGCTCTAACAACCGGCCTACCCCACCGGCCCTGATCACTGAACATCTACTGCTAACCACAAACGATTCAAATTATTCCATTGTTCTTTGAACCTCTCTTGGTCCTGTGACTTTCATGTTGATATGTAGATAGTGTGATCGGGTATTTATCACGTGACACTGCTGCAACAGTATTGCTTCAATTTATGACATTTATACCAGACCACTGCCTTTTTAAATATTATATAAGAAAAAACCCAGATAATCTCCTTCCCTGTTTTATTTGTATGGCCTTGAGTGCTTGTTCAAAGGTCTGGCTAGCAGGTGCCATGCGGAAAGAATAGCCAGGAACTAAACATACGATCTCGTGTTTCTTAGATCATGAATGAATAATAAAAAAATCCTATCTGAAGTGGAAATATCTCCAAATATATTTTGAAGGTCGCACTAAATACATTTATCTACATAACCATATACCTGTGTGAATGCGCTGTTAGTAACACTTTCAACACCATCTACCTTCTGTTTAATATAAAAGCATCGTTGAGAATAGGTAAGTTTTTTCCAAACTCGTAACATTTACAGTAACACTTCCTTAGCTGTGACACTTGACTTGTAAAAACATTCCACTTCTTTGATACAGTCCCTTGTTAAATCTCGCCTTTCAATCAGGACAGCGCTCATACCAATTATCTCCTCCTGACACTTTCTCCCAACAGGGGTGTTTACCTCGGTTAAATAACGGCTGAAACGTTGGTAGTAATGATGCCCACATGGGTCTAATTTGATCAAGTTTATTTGTTTGTATTTATTTGTTAATCAAACTTGATCCATTATTATTATTCTTGGCAAGGGATATGAATTATTTCCTTTGAAATACATGTATCTGGCATTCTGGGCATGTGCAATAACCGCCCACACGTCGCATTGTACAAAGATAAAGGCTGTTTTGAGGCTGGTTCTACTTCAAGGTTAGGTCAACATCAGCAGTCACGTCTCGGGTTTACAGCAGCCCTGTATCTTAGCAGGCATTGCATTATATACACGTGACCACAGAAGAGTAGGTCTGTCATTGCACACACTGAAGGGGACTTCTGTACAATACGTCTCACAAAGAGCGGAGACAAGGGTACATTCTTGAATTCACTGCACACGAATTCAGTTGAAAACAGGGAAGAGACAATCTTTAGCAGGTATCAAGTGTTTAGGAATTTAAGGCCATATGACGACAAAGGCCCATGTTAAATGCCTGTGATAGAATACGACCCTCCATTTACAAAACTATGCTTAGCAACACATATATCAAAGATTGAGCTACATGTAAAGTCGGTACATATCGTAACAGAGCTTCCCTCATTCGATCTTCTTTCCTTCCTTCTTAACTTAGGATAAAGATCTCTGTTAAATATAAAGCTGATATAATTTTTGAACACAGTATTTAGTTTTACAAATCTAATTAGCTGGCAGACATTTACAACGGCTTAACCCGCGGCCTACAGTAGTGACATACGATAGAATATGAAGAACAAATGAGTGGTTGCGGTAACCGTGCTAGGGACGTTATCATTAATAGAAGCAGTTATTCAGTGAATGATGGAATGAACTTGGTGAAGATGCAGACATGAAGTCACGTGTCTAAGTAAAGGTGCAAAAGCTAGCCACGTGTTCAGGTAAATAAATATGAAGACAAAGTCACCTGTCCGGGTAGAGGTGCAAAAGCTTGTCACGTGTTGAGATAAAGACAATGTAATGTAGTCAGAAGTCTGAGCAAAGTAGGACCACGAAGTCACATGTGCAGACATGTAGGTATAACATGGAATTCAAGATGAACTTGACCAAGTAAAGATGCACATGTAAAGCCACATGCGCATGTTAAGGTGCAAAGGCTAATCCCAAATGCCTAAACATGGTGACATAAAGTCTTATTTCTATTCGAAGTCCGAGTCACATGTGCAGGTAAAGGTGCAATCTTGGAGGCATGGGCCTATTTAATGACAAAAAAACTCTCACACAATACTTGTCACAAATTTGCAGAGATATTCTAGGTAAAGGTGTAATTTTGTTGACATAGGCATAGTTTTGTAGCCATGGGCCTAGGTACTCGCAAAACACTACTCACACGGACAAGTAAAGGTCGAACTGTCCGTATGTAGTCCACATTGCCATGTTTAGTTGAGTTGACACGGTGTAACGGTATCATGTTTGCAATGTACAGACCGGTCACCTGTCACGGGGGTGTCAAAATTGACGTATCCATGGTAACAGACCACCAAGCCAGCCAATGTGAACATCAGATTCCTCTCTTGTAATTCTCCGGTACTTTGTTTGGGTGTAAGGTTTGGAGTAGTTTGTCTCAGGGATATATCCTTGATGTGTCTGTTAAATCATTGCAAGACTACACAGGCGTAGACTATCATGAAATATATATCTGTCAGTGTAATTCATGTACATATATCTGTCTCCGTGACAACACTGATAGTGTGCGTGGACGATGTAAGAATGCACTTAATGTAACAGCTGGGACAGTTGTCGAATTTCGTTGTATATCTAAATGAAATATATTAATTTCACCAAACAGCTGTACGTTCCATTAAACTTCACTGTCCACCCATCACTGTATAAAAAACTTGTCTAGCTGTTTCTATGTAAAATCGCATCTTAATGAAGAAACTATCCAAATCTTATAAAATAGTAATGGATATACATTCAAGTATATATTCTGGTCGCCATTATAACTCTGATTTCCTGTAAATCCTGGCGCTCGGCATTAAGTGGCTAATACAAGGACTGGCGGCTTGGAGTCAGTATACTGTGTCTGAGTGGGGTATTCATGTTAAACTGCTTCATGGTATCTCAGTGTGCTAGCATTAAAATCGGACTAGTACAAGCAGCCATACACACGTGCATGCACGTTGCTATATAAGTGCAATAATCTTGGACGCGACGTTAAACCCCATTTCACCTCACCTTACCTCCTGTAAATCCTCGACATGCTGTGTACGTAACCCGGAGAGTAATAAAGTTTCTGTTTTGCCAATCCCAGTGAAACACGATCGTCTTTTACACTATTCATAATCTGTGTATACCGTTTATGCAAACTCTTTGTTTGATATATAAACACACTCTTTTGGGTCATAAATGAAATGGAAACTATAATCCCGATCTTGGATCAAAACAGGTACCGTAGTATTTCTGTTAACAGAAGTTTCTGTCTTCTCCAGGTAACTGCTGGTTTGTGGCGGGAGCTGTTTCTCTGGCCTGTCACAACCAGAAACTGTTCAACAGAATCGTGCGCACTGACCAGGACTTTGACAGGGACTACGCAGGTAGGCATGTCTGGTACAATGAGTGCCTGTTTATGTTCAATGGTGAACATATTACCCCAGAACCAGATATTTGTGACTCCCCACACCCATCCTCGAGTGAGTGAGTGAGTGAGTTGGGTTTAACGCCGCTTTTAACAATATTCCAGTTATATCGCGTCGCGTCAGCTTAATGTGGGAGGAAAGCCCGAAGTGATGCAGGTCTCAGAAGTTTACCACTTCGGTGAAACCCACGAGCACGGGTATGGTGCTGACAAACCAAGAAACATAATCGGGGCGAACCGGGATTCGAACCCACAATCATAGGTTTCTGGCGTGCCCAAGGGACGCAACTCTGCACAGCGAATCGCGGCGCCTTAGAAGACTTGGCCACCCGTGCCCCCACCAATCCTCGACTATCCAATATATTATATCTGAATTGTACTACGATAAAGGCACTGATACTATTCGCAAACTTAGCTTCGTTTTGCTTCCGATTCGAATAACCTGACAACCCTGCCAAATTTTACCATGAGCTAGGTCTGTTTGTTTATTGTTTAAAGCCACACTCAGCAATATTCCAGCTATATGGCGGCGGTCTGTAAATAATCGAGTCTGGATCAGACAATCCAGTGATTGACATCACCAGCATCGATAGATACAATGGGATTTTCGCAATTGGGATACAATGACCTGCATTAACCAAGTCAGTGAGTCCGATCCCGTGAGTCACCTTTTACGACAAGCAAAGTCACCTTTCACGGCAATCATGGGTTGCTGAAGACCTATTCTAACCCGGATCTTCACGGCTATGTACATTCTATGGATTAACGAAGACATGGTAGCGAATGGGTCCAGGATATTTATGGTAATATAATTGAAATAATACACTGGATAATCGAGGATGTCCGTCATGTTTTATTAATTATTAGTCACTGCCGTTGTCAAGGACTCGACCGACTCCTGACCATCAGGACTTATTAATATTTCTCACTTGTTCACGTGGGTAATTAGACTTTCTTAACTTTCGCAGCGAATTTGTCCAGTAATGCTGAGCAAATTTCAACCAAACTGTTTGAAGTCTACGGCTGAAATACCTCGTGGGAAATACCGTTACCACTATGTCTTTTCTATTTACTTTCATTAGATAATTCTCAGGGTTCAAAATTCCCTGTATAACATTACCAGTTGCATGTTTAAAGAGCAATGGCACGGGTAAAATAACACATATAAATACTATTTTCTCACAAAAATACTCAATGATCTTGTTTATTTTTTGACGCCGATTAAAGTGGACAAATATAACTCACACCTACGCTTAACGCACAGTGTGATTCATTCAGTAAACCTGGAGATTCAGAAATTCAAAAGGGTGTTATCAATCTCTCTGAGAAAGGGGGTGGACTTTTTGAATTACAACTGCTTCTTATCTAGCTCATGTGCAGAAATGATTATAAGCATTACAGCAAAACAGCTAATATTCCGAAGTTTTTAACAGCGGTTTGTTGAGACATCGTTACTGAAATAATGATAGAAATAATGCACTTAAGATAATATGAATCAACTTCTGACATAAATGTCGGATAGATTCCGGAAGTATGTCATGGTACATAGCTGTAGAAGCATACATTTTACAAACTGACAATGTATATAAAAACTTAATTACCAATTACATGAGTAACGTGGACACAACAAGGCGACCCAACACTGGACAAATGAAGTGTTGGGCAATAGAAAGTATACACTTGAAAATTCACACTGCTCATGACTGTACTGTGAAATAACGACCGCCATGTTCCGTGATACGTCATGTACACGTGACCTGTTGTGAGTGAGTGAGTGAGTATGGTTTTACGCCGCTTTCAGCAATATTCCAGCAATATCACGGTGGGGGACACCAGAAATGGGCTTCACACATTGTACCCATGTCGGTAATAGAACCCGGGTCTTCGGCGTGACGAGCTAACACTTTAACCTCTAGGCTACCCGACCGTGTTGTGAGATACTCATTGATATGATGCATGTAACATCACCATCGAATAACTGTTCCTTGTCTGTTTTATTTAGCCACTATCAAACATGGGTGTTGACTTTCTTTTGCCCGACAGTTTAGTTATGTGCATGCGTAAAATTAAAGTGCATTGCAACATTCATGATCAGTTGCCCGCCTACAATTTGTGGGACACGGGTATAATCCCAAATCAGATGAAAGTAAAAATATCCAAGCGGCAGTGTCCCATCCTAATTCGTCTGTCGGCCCTTTGAGATGCTATTACTATAGACACTAAAATATGTAGAGTATATTTTATGATCTATTAACACAATTGTTGGTAACATGATGTGTTTGTGCGAGTTGTTTGTCTCCATTTGCCTCGTTAAAGGGCCGCACTCTGTCTACCGTTACAGCTACAGACTATTATGTTTTAGTGTTTTTACTATGGTGCTTACCTTCTTAATTAACCACACACACGCACACACAGCTTTGGCCTTTTGTATTTTACACACACACACACACACACACACACACACACACACACACACACACACACACAAGTGCAATAATCTTGAACGCAACGGTAAACCCCATTTCACCTCACTTCTACAACCGGGATGTTTCAGGCACTATATTTAGTTTTTCCTTATATGTGTTTCGGGGCGGTCGGGAAGTCCAGTTGTTAAAGCGTTCGCTCGTCACGCGGAAGACCCGGGTTCGATTCCCGACTTGACGATCATGCCCTTAGATACAGCAGACGCGACGTTTCATTGCGACTCACTCACTAACAATTTGATACGTCTGCTAATTTTAAACATGGTCCACTTATCGTCTTTTCCTCTTCATATTGTCACAAATCTTCTTATTGTTGCCAGGGATATTCCGGTTCTATTTCTGGCAGTACGGCGAGTGGCGGGAAGTCGTCATTGATGATCGCCTGCCCACAAGGAGCGGCGATCTTATCTATTGCAGCAATCAGAAGGAACCAAATGAATTTTGGTGTCCGCTCCTTGAGAAGGCTTATGCCAAGTAGGTCATATCAACGGGGATTTGTTCTGATCAGCATCAACGTCGGGATATTGATGAATCGTTTATAGGAAATAATAACACCATGCATGACCGTTGTCATGACAATATGACCACAGAAATGGATTCTAATTGTTCTATTTGTCCTGTGTACCGTCCGTGCACGACTTCCGGTGCGGAATATACCAAGGTGCACCAATGTTAAACTATCTTAGTGTTAGACTATGGGAGATATGGTCTTAGCGATAATATCGCTTTGTGGAACGGGACTTAGGATGGCTATGTGGCTTCGTACCCTGACACTACTTGTTTACTCGATACAGACTCCATTGTTACAGGTAGACCTTAAGCTGCTGGTATGTTGCTGACTGCGGAGTATAACAACATTCACTAGTGCCTTGTCTTTTGTATGATGTTACAATATAAGTTGTAGAGGGTACATGGGTTTCATGTATCCCGCGTTAGGTTTTATGCCACGAGCCGGTCGAGTGGTATAAGACCTAACGAGGGACGCATAAGACCCCATTGACCCGAGTGATCCTGCTACAACTTATGACAACTTTATCAATAGGGATTACGGGCTAGGGGCTTAAGATGTTGCGAGTTTTGCGGTAAAGTGTACAGTAAACCTCAGTTTTTGACATCTTTTCAAGACAATTTGTAATCTAATGTTTCATAATACTGTTTCTAAGTGTGTATTGTTACGACTGGCTCTATTTTGTTCGATTCTTGTTTAACGCCGCATTCCAGCAATATTTCAGCTATATGACGGCGGTCTGTAAATAACCGAGTCTGGACCAGACAATCCAGTGATTGACATCATGAGCATTGATCTACGAATGGAATGGCGGCGTAAAGCCCTGGACCCCGTTCCACAAAGCGATCTTAGATCTATGTTGATCGTAACTCCCATACTTTAACATAGACTTACGACTGTTATAGCGCTAAGATCGCTTTGTGGAACAGTGCCCAGCTCACTCACTCAATCTCTCATATTCTACACAGGCTGTATGGCAGTTACGAGGCCATTGACGGGGGCCGGATCCACGATGCCCTGGTGGACATGACGGGTGGTATATCGGAGCTGATCGACCTCACTGAAACCCACCCTCCCCGGGACGCTCTGGCACGAGCCCTGCAGGATTGCAGCAACATGAACACCTTGATTGGAGGGGCCATATTTGTAGGTAACACCAAGCCATGCTCTATTAAGCGATTTTTGTATTACTTGGTTTTCGTATCCGTTGACCCAAAGTTTGTATTGGTTCTCTTATTTGTGTTAATATGTTCATAATTTTCCCTTCTGTTTGAAATTCTTTGTCCTGTTCTTGTTTTCATTTTTGTTTCGACAGTTATTGGAAACCTTTCTATATCCGTAACACCAAGTACTAAGGTCATGTATTGTTAAGGGCGGTGGGGTAGCCTGGTGGTTAAGGCGTTCGCTCGTCACGCCGAAGACTCGTGTTCGATTCCCAACATGTGTACAATGTGTGAAGCCCATTTCTGGTTTACCCCGCCGTGATATTGATGGAACATTGCCAAAGCGGCGTAAAACCATGTTCAGATTATCAACATGATCTCCTGTATTCCCAAATTCCTCCGATGTGTCGCAAGTTTCAGGAATTAGTATACTGCTCAACGTTCACGAAGGATACAGGCCAGATCTAATATTGCAAGAGACAATGAGACAGTGCTCTGTGAATGAATAATACATCTACACAGATATTAGAGAATACAAATGTCTGCAAAATACCCCAGGCAAGGTTACACTCAGATTTTCAGAGCAAACTCCGCAAGATGGCAAGTCCTGGCAGTAGTATATGAAACAGGTCACTATGACTGTTCTTAACGAATGCTTTATATAATATTTTCTCATTAATGGCGTTTATGTTGAGAGAATTATAATGAAGTTCGTGTATCACCTTTTGATTCTTATATCCCATGCCATGTAAAGCAGGTAAATTAAATGTTAAGATAGAAAGGATATTTCATATGTCTCGTGAAATATTTTTCTCTCATCTCGTGACGTGTGTGTGTGCGTGTGTGTTGGTGATGGTGGGGTGGGGGGTGGTGGTGAGAGTTCAATTGGTATGTTCACTGCAGTGAAATATCAAGTGGTATGGTAACTGCAGTAAAAAAATCAGGTGTTATGTTCACTGCAATGATAATATCACTCGTCTCAACTTCAGAAAACTCAGTCTTTCTCACTGAAGTAATAATAAACTAATTACGCTGTATTTCATGGGGTATTTATACCTGATTTTTTTAATCTTGTCTGCTTTATTAAGATAACGTTGCAGCTTGTTTGATGTCAATATGTCAAACATTTATTATTTTGGTTCTGAAAACTTGAGTGTGAATATCCCAAATGTCAATTTGTCTCGTCGTATTTTATCACTTGACTATATTACATTTCAGAGAAGAATTAATTCTTTCCGTCGTGAGACCCGACGTGACAACGGTTTGTATGAAGGCCACGCCTACAGCCTCACTGACATAGTCACAGTAAGTCAAAACCTGTCACGACATTGCGTCAGAATATCGTAGTCCACCAGATAATGTGATGAGAACAGTTGCACTTCATTGTTAACGCTAGTCCCTCAAAGGTTTGGCTAAACTGCCGGGGAAAAGAAAGAATATAATTTCTTTTGCCTGGCAGTTTATATAAGGCTTCGACCCGTGAAGATCCGGGTAGAATAGGTCTTCAGCGACACATGCTCGCCGTAACAGGTGACTTTGCTTGTGGTAAAAGGCGACTAACTATCAGGTGGTCAGGCTCGCTGACTTGGTTGACGCATGTCATCGTATCCCAATTTCGTATATCGATGCTCATGATATCAATTACTGGATTGTCTGATCCAGACGCGATTATTTACAGACCGCCGTCATATAGCTGGAATATTGTTGAATGCGGCGTTAAACAACAAACAAACCTAGCTCATAGTGAAATTTGACAGGGTCGTCAGGATATTCGAATCGGACGCATAGTCAACTATCAAAGTAGAATTGAGTGCGGCGTTGAAAAACCAACAAACAAATATAAGGTTTCAGCGATACAGAACAACAGATACGATGCACGAGGGTTTTTGCCACCCATGATACCTCAGCACTGGGGTTCATACAAACCATTGGCAAACTGTACATCGAAATTGTAGGAAAATAGTGACATTATGTCCTGTTTTTTTTAACCGAGGGCATTGACTACAGAGAGTATCAGCTTATCGCATATGATACACACAATCCCCTGTCCTGTCTCATGTCAGTATGTTCTCCTGATTTCACAGGTGGAAGTGCAGGGGAAGGAGGTGTTGTTGTTGCGCCTGCGCAATCCTTGGGGTAAGGGCGAGTGGAACGGTGCTTGGTCGGACGGGTAAGTCAATCTGCGTCAATATTGGGGTGGGTGAGTATAAACGTTATACACCACATCGGCAATGTTTCAGTCATCTTGTCCGTCAATAACAGAGACATATATATACCCGTAACTTTGCAAGCATGCCAGGACAGAGGGTTTAGGAGGTTATAGGTGAGTTTGTGTATTTTCGAATTATAGATCCCAGTAGTATGACATATAGAATACTAAACGAGCTCCCCTGTAATACCAATTTTATGAAACGAGTGAATAGTTGTGGTATCTGACGAGCGAAAGCGAGTCAGATACCACAACTATTCATGAGTTTCATAAAATTGGTTTAACTACGGAGCGAGTTTAGTATTTTACTTATTACTTGCCATTTATAACGTTTTTAGAATTATACTGTTGAGTATGAATAGGCTGACACATACACGATCCACGGCATAGTCCAAATGAGTTTAACAGAATAATACTTCAAACACGTCAAACGTTGAAACGTATGAATTTTAATACCATACAACGGTCCACCTTTAGAATTCACAAAATTATCGAAGGGCTAAGACTATCGCAACTCACATACTTTAACTTAGACCTAACGACTGTCGTTGCGCTACAGTACGATCACCTTGTGGAACGGGCCTTGCACCTGAAAGTTTACAGTAACGTCACAATACCCGATGACGTAAGAACCATCGGCGAAACAATGCCATGTGACGTCAGCCTAGCAAGAAGGTTGCTGGGGTCATCGAGTGTTCATAAGCTCCTCTCAGTGATCTATCAACTCCACACGCAATGTCCGTGAATAAGCCAAGGGATGTTGAGAGCTTTCAATATTTGTTCGTGTTCCGAGTGTACATAAGCACGCGTTTTGGTATTACACAATGTGTAATACAGCTGTATGTTTATTAAACGGGTGATCTCTTCCCGGGCAAGTAATAAAATTTGTAAAAACGTCACTACATTTGTGATTCAAATTCTGTTATACGAGTCATACATGAATGTGTACTGCGAAATGCAACCCAAACTGTCTGCATTTCAGCGACGTGAACTGGAAACTGATGAGTTCCAGGAACAGGTCGAAGATCGATTACCACAAGAAGGCAGACGGGGAGTTCTGGTCAGTGCACAGTGTTTCCATAAAATACCCGACGTTCTCATTAAAACAGAAAGGGGACTAAAGAGGAGTACCTCCATGTACAGGATGCTTTCCTCGCGAATACAAGCATCTTCCCGAGGCAAGGGAGTTAACAGACTGTGGAAGTCCAGTTTCCACCCTTGCCGAACTAGGCTGGAATTTCTGGGCGCTATCGTAGCACCACGATTGGTTATTACGATGTCCCTTCTATCTCCCTGACAAATCAGGTTCTACCTCTCATGTCACTTACATTTGCTTCAAACAAAATGGCGGCGCCCAGTCAAGACGATCTGACCGATAATCAAGATATATATTGTAATAAAACGGGTCTTACCTCGCGAAGTACATCAAATCAGGTGAACACCTTGATTAAAAACATGATTTGGAGAATACCTGTCGACGCCCAGTTGACGGTACCCTTTTTTCTAATCCTGCAGTCGACCGAAATCTGCACGTTAAAATCCATGTTGTTTACGAACCGGATGTCGATTTAGTTACGCGATTTTGATTGGAATATGCATAAACTCGTTAGTCCAGCCAAAATATAACTCCATAATTGCAGCCAAGTCCAGCAAGGGTGGAAACTGGACTTTTACAGTCAGTTAACTCCCTTGCCTCGGGAAGATGGAAGACAAGCAGACACCTGCGTCTTGAACAGTGCGGTATCCAGATACGTGCATAGCTATGATTACAGACTGGGAAGGTGTCTGCTTGATATTGCTCATGCAGATCACTGTGAAGCTTATTCGCGTACTTTGACCGTGACAACAGCCGTGTCTACTTGTATTAGGTTGGTACCCTCCTATGTCCAGGACCGTACCCGGGGTACATCCCTTTAGTACCGTCTTTATACAAACACGTACCTACACTGAATCCCATATTTCATGATTGCAGATTATTAAATCGAGTCTCAGAATGAAACATGTGAGAGGATAGGATATTCGACAAACAGAATTCAGATTGAAGACAATTACGAATAAGGCAAATATGGTGATCAGATGTAAGTCTTCTGCAACATTGTACTTTTTATTTTCAGGATGAGTATTGAAGATTTTCTGAAGAACTTTGACGAAATCGAGATGTGCCACCTTTACCCTGACGCCCTGACTCAGGAGATCGCAGTGGACACGGTGAGACCTCTCTGTGCATCATAAAGAACCTTAAATAGCTGTTTGTTTGTTTGATGTTTAACGCCGCACTCACGAATATTCCAGCTATATGGTGGCGGTCTGTAAATTATCAAGTCTGGACCAGACAATCCAGTGACTGTTAGTCGCCTTTTACGACAAGCATGGACTAATAATAAAATATTCGGGGGGGGGGGGGGGGGATTCAAGAACTAAGTATGGCCTTATGTTTTTTTATAGGAGCCCTAACAAAACCACGCTCCTTTCTTTGTTACAGAAGAAGAAGCAGTGGGAGGTGAAGGAGTTTCACGGCGCCTGGATCCGAGGCGTCACCGCTGGTGGGCCCATGAGCAGCTTCACGTCAAGTGAGGATTCTTACAGTGCAGTGCACAACATACAACTTCAAAAACACTCTTTTCGAAGTCTGTTCAAATTAAAACCTAAAACAAAATGGAAGTGACAAATTTAAGAACCTAATGGTTACGTAGAGGGTAATGTCCGAGTGACTCTCAAATCCTTATGGAGCTGAGGCCCATTACTTTTAAGGAATGGAGAGTTACGAGGATATTACCCTACGTAAAACACATCCGTACTTGTACACGTTGACAAAACGTTCTCTTGTGCAAATATTTGAAAAACAAACCAGAACACTTTGAAGACTGTATTTAAACTGTGTGTGTCGGTCTTCCATGGTGCACGATACTTTCTCTGCTATTGTTGCACGTGCACCTAGCCTCGCCGCGAGCTGATTTTTTCAATGCATGGTTCAGGGCTCTTCATAAGTTCGTAGGGCCCTGAACTTGTATTGGATCAATCGCTTGCATATTGTAAATACATGCTGACGGGGATTTCAGCAAATGTCCCTGAACTAGGATATAAACTAACGGGCAAAAGAAACGCCACCAAACAATGTTCTGGTCTGAAACAAAACAGACGCAAAATGTAGTATCAGTTGATGTTTTATAATAAAATAAACAATTATTCCAAAACGGTATTTGAAAATGACAAGATCAAAAACCATGTACCTAATGTTCTGCAGACACGTTTATCATGCTGTGTACACTGTCCAGTATTCGATCACACCCGAAGAATCGGCGTCGATCTCTTTTAAAGTCCCGTGCGTCACACATGGCTCAGTATCGGATGTGGCCTCCTCTAGCAACGATGCAGGCACTAACACGACGTCGAACTGAGTACACGAGTCTCCTGACGTCCCGATTAGGGATCCAACGCCATTCTTCCTACAGGGAAATTGCCAAGGCATCCCTCGTCAATTGCGGCTGTTGACGTTTCCGAATCCTGCGCCCAAGTGGGTCCCAGAAGTGCTCTATGGGCGACAGGTCCGGTGATTTGGTTGGCCACTGTCATACGGTCACGTTGTTGGCGTTCAGAAAGTCGCTAGTGACTCGAGCTGTGTGAGGGGTGGCATTGTCCTGATGAAACAGCCATGTCGTTACAGGAAAGGCAGTACCATAGGCCGCAAAATCTCATCATTGTAACGACGTTGTGAGATTTCTGTCGATGATGACCAGATCTGTCTCCTGGTCCCCGCAGATGCTGTCCCAGACCATGACACTACAACTTCCATAAGGCTCCACTTGGACGCAACAACGTGCCGTCCGTTCACCATGTCGTCGGTACATTCTCAGACTTGAAGAGCTGAAACCTACTCTCGCCGCTGAAGTGCACTCTTTGCCAATTTCTCTGCTGCCACTGCTGTGCAGTCCTGGCCCATCTCAGTCCGTGACGTCGGTGTAGAAACGTTAACGTCATGCCCTTGAAAGGTCGATAGGAGACCATACAGGCGGAGTCGTCTAGCAACGGTCCTTCTGCTGACTGGATGCCCAAGGCTGTTTGCGGATCATGACGTCACAGTTAGGAATCTGGACCATAGGAAGCACCCGTAAATACCGGTCTTCCTGTGGGGTCGTAACCTTGTATCTTCCACTCCTCAGCCTGTCTGCAGTACTGCCTGTTTGCCTGTGACGTGTGGCAAGTCTGGCTGAGCAGCCCATGATCCTGACAACGGGCTCCTGCGTCGCTCCCATATGCAACATACCGATGACTCTCTCCCTCTGCTCTGCGGTTTGTCGAAGCAATTTAGTTGTTTTAAACGGTTTCACGTGATGTGAGAGTACAATCCTGCTCATGTTTTATACAAGAATTTCATACGGGTAACTTTGTGCACATTTTGCATTTTTTAGTGATTAAATTCATTTTTTTCGCGAAAAGCTCGTGCACAGGGAATAGGTACGTTGCATTCCAGCCATGTCTTCCCAACTGTTTTCCTGTTGTCTGGCAAATTTGTTGCTTTAAATATGAATAGGGGCCCTGCTGTAACACAAGATGGTGCACATATTTAAGGGGTATGCAAATATTTGAAAATATTTAATAGTTAATTTCACACCTGTCATGTGTCGCCGTAACCGAGGTCGACAATTTGACGTCCTCAATCACACGATGCGGGTTCGAATCCCGCTGGCGACGCAAATTTTCCGACAAATTTGAATTCATTCACTTGTTTATATATAAAACAGTAGTTCTGTCTATTTCAAGTGTAAATTAATTGAAATGTTGGTTCAAGATAAGTATAATTGACAAACAACCCCTTTCCTGAAAAATACACAATAGAATGTCGTCACAGATATACATATCCCGGTACAGAACAAGTTCTAGGAGTGTACAATAATTTCTCCATGTCACTGCCAGATGTGAACCCTTTCAAAGTCACAGATTTTTATCCCAATATACGTTGACAGTACCTACCAGTCTGTGGTTTCAAATGGCTGTAATTCCTGTAATTACATTGATCTGTAGTGGCGTGTGTTCCTGCCACTGCTGCGATAGTTAATTATGTGAGAGTGTGTCAAGAGATGCGAGTGTAAATATTTCTGAGTAATTAGAGGAAGCCATCGAGTGATGACCAAAGACCGGTTGTACTAATGTAACACGTGATGTTAATACGGCATAATGGAATTTCTTTTCTGCACCATACACCTATGTTGTAACTATCTTTTATGTGTAGAAAAACTCAATGAATTAGAGCGATAACGTAAGCCTCGTTTGGGGATTAAGCAGCGCTAGGAATGAACGCTCAGTGGCTACCTCTAAGGTTGCATCTGTTTGCAGGGTTGTTCTGGAAGAACCCCCAGTACAAGCTGAAGCTGGACAAGATGGACACCAAGGCCAGCGTCGTCATATCCCTAATGGAGGTCGACAACAAACTGCTCAGGGACGTGACTGACGTCGCTATAGGATTTGTCATTTTCAAGGTACGATACATCTCCTGTAATGAAGTCGTGTTTCATCCTGTAGTGAAAGTGACAGATAATATAAGATTTTTATAAGATTTTACCGTAAGTTAATGTTGTTTTGGGTCGTATCAGCTTTCGTACAGCTATTCCATGTCCACGTTATTTCCAACATCATTTGAATATGCTTTGCTATTTTTTATCAAAAAACACTTCTACACACTTCAAAATGTGTTTAGATCCGAAACCAAATCTAAGCACGTCCCTTCTCTCTTAATTAAAACGCATTTAGGGGCGGTCTTGTAGCCTAGTGGTTAAAGCGTTCGCTTGTCACGCCGAAGACCCGGGTTCGATTACCCACATGGGTACAATGTGTGAAGCCCATTTCTGGTGTCCCCCGCCGTGATATTGCTTGAATATTGCTAAAAGCGGCGTAAAACCATACTCACTCCCTCAAACGCATTTAGAGACCTTAACTGTTTATATCCTAAAATAAAATGAAACTGTGTCTATGTTTTAAACTTAGTGGTGTAAAAGGAAAATGACCAATAGAAGCGTTGTTAGAACAATATCTTCATCGGAAAGCATCAACACTAAGGGCTGTTTACATATGTCATTTCAAATTAGTACCTCTGGCATTCTCAATGAGTCTGGCTGCTGTAGTATTCAAAAGATAATGAACAACAAAAATGTACAGAAATCGAGTATCTCATGTGTTCAAAATATTTGAAATGAAAGATATAATTAACATAGTGTTAAATGAAAGATCACAGTTTAAGACTTTAAAAAGCTGTCACACAGATATAAATATATCTCTCATAACCTGTACATGATTTAATTGTCCTATAATGAAGTTTCCTCCTGTCTGTTCACGAAATGGATTTTGCGATGGATACAACAGTAGATCTGCTATAACCATTCCTTCTTCCACTTCCCGCTGACTGGTGGGAGCAAGCTGATGATATGTTCATTGAGATATTGAAAGTTGATATGCCAGCCCATTTTATGTGTCTGCTTCCTGGATGTGTAAATACATTTGTTCCGTTTTGTGGCATTCCTAACGCATTTAGAGCAAACGTGTCTCGCATGTGTTTAATACATAACCACATTTGGATCAACACGTATCTAGCGTCTGTTTGATACCTTAACACATTTTGACCAACACGTGTGTGTGCTTAATATGCACGTGCACGGTGCTTGATACCTGGTGGTCATAGCTGGCTACGCATACTGATAACTAAAGTACATTTCACAAGGAATGGTCCTAAGAAACATATACATTGATACGGAATGAATTAAACAAGTCATAGTTTCAAGTCGTTTTTACATGTACGGACATGCTAACTAACACTTGAAGATTGGGTTAGTGAATTAAAATCTTTGGCAACTGAAAAGTTCATTTACCCTTGCTCTGTGTCTTTTCAACCATTAGAACCTTTTACAACCCATTGTCGCTTCTGTTTTCACCGCCCGAAAGCGAGGCTAGGATCAGCGGTATTGCGCCAAGACGTATGTTTGACCTCGAGATGTCTAGATGGTTATTTAATTTGGGTAAACAATCAACCCTTAGGTGTCCGGTTTTTTGGTCTTCCTGTATGATCTGACTCAAACTTCGGAAACATGTTAGATATGATTGTCCCAAATCAATGTATATGATCTATTAGATATACAGCATTTCTAATGTTTTTTTGTTAGTTGTGGTTACCACGTTTTCAAACGAAAAGAGGTGGGGTTATTCTTATTCGTGGACAAATATTTAAAACAATTCATAGACAAATAATAAAAACTGGTTAAATAAGGTTCGTAGGTTGTGATTTATCGGACAATAAATATTGGTAAAGGAGATATTGACATGAAATTTAATTAGTCCCTCCCTCTGTCTAAATTCCCAAAGTGTGTACCTCGTCAGTGTTCAGTAACGAAGCCATGCTGATGTATCCCCGCGTAAACTAATAAACCCATCTCTTTTTCTTCATTAAGATTAATCTGATTAATTACCTAGTAAAATACACGTTGGCTATCGTGTTCCTTAAGACAACCAGAGAGGATGCCGTTAAAGGCCAAAATGCACTTTCGTGTTTCAGGCCAAGTTAAACAATTATTTTGTTCGGTTCTGTGTGGGAGCGATTAGGATCAGGTACACAGCAGCAAATACGTTACATACACAAAGAAATATCTTTATCATTACGCCTGTACCTACTATATGTATGCTGCAAGTGAACACTATAAAGTGGTCACAGATAACCGACATGCCTATATTTGCAAGCGACCCACACCTCTACAGAAGCGGGTCCCTTCATGAGATGGAATGCCTTTATCGCTCCATGACTCATCGCACTCCATATCCACGTGGGTGTGAGTTGAACATTACCAGGGGCATGGGTTTTACTTTTTAAAAATGATATCCGGTCATGAAATACGTCTACAAACCTGTAGAATGCGTGCATAAATGGGACCTATTAATAAATTTTATGTGAGGTAATGGCAGTCAGGTGGGGACGCGTGTAATACTGGTGTGGAGGGCGATTGCGTTAGGTTAACTATTTAGGATGGTTAGATCCATATTTTACAACGTTTTACTTTGGAGTACAATGCAACAAGGACAACGTCAGATGTGTGTGCGACCGCCTTCGTGGTCTAGTGGTAGAGCGTCCGCCCGGAAAGCGGAAAGTCCGGGGTTCGATCCAGGCCGCGTCATACCAAAAGACGTTAAAAGATGGTTCTTGTTGTTACCCTGTCTGGCGCTCGGCATTAAGTGGCTAATACAAGGCCTGGTCGGCTCGGAGTCAGTATACTGTGTCTGAGTGGGGTATTCATGTTAAACTGCGGCATGGTATCTCAGTGTGCTAGCAGACAATCCAGTAATCATCGATTCACGCAATTGGGATACGATGGCATGCATCAACAAAGTCCGCGAGTCTGACCATGCGATCCCGTTAGTCGCCTCTTACACAAGCGTAGTCGCCTTTTACGGCAAGCATATTCTACCCCGGATCTTCACGGGTAGAACACCCATATGTTGACACGCTACTCAGTCATAAGGAAAGTGTTACAAATTTTCCAATTTTGTCTCCATAATCATTCGCACATTCAGTCTAATTAAATTCCTATTACACCTATTGTATCCCAGCCGGTCGTTGCTCCAACTGACAAGGCCTTACATGACCTAACCATTATATGTAAGTAGCACAATATATATATATATATATACAAAAATGAGGTAAATGTTCACTCGGTGTACATGTAATATATAATAAAATAATAAAGTCCACGTTAGTCCATCATCTTCTTTATATCAGTTTCATACATAGTACTTTCGCTGTCTCATGACAGCTCTTCAGTGTAACTGACAATGACATATAATGACGTCATACTTATGATGACGTCATAAATTACAACTGTGACGTCACAATGTATTTACACACTCCAGCGACGACACCAAGTAATTTAACAATTGTAGGGAGACTTTTGAATTAAATATACAGTATTTGTAAAGTAACAGTGCAACATTTACGATTGAAATGACAAATCTATTAATACATTCTAGAGTTCAACTTTGGTTTCATCAATTGGATAAACATTTGTTCTTTTTCCAGTCTCAGCTGCTTGTTACTTGTATACAATTTATAAAACGGAAAAATAGTAAATTTCCCGTTTCCGCAATCATCAATGTGTTTGCTGACACCTAAGCATCGAACATTAGGGTCTCTAATCTGCTGTTTGTGTACAGTGACTCTATCTTTTAATTCCATGCCGGTTTCACCGATGTAGTTTTCGCCGCATCCCGAACATCTCATAACATACACCACATCTTTGCTGCGGCAGTTCATGTCGGCTTTCACATTGAAACCCTTGCCATTTGCAAAAAGGAAAGTAGTACCTTCACTTATGATGTTACACGTGCCGCATCTTGGTGTGTTACATCTACTTACACATGGTACACTCTCTGTACAAGAATATTTGGATGGACAAAGAATCTGCTTGAGATTTTTTGGTTGCCTGGTACTTTTTATAATTTTAAATTTATTCAGTCCTTGTTTCATTTTATCGCTTTGCTGTAAAATTGGGAGGTTGTCCCTTATGACTGGCATGATATCACAATTATTAGGATTGAAGGTGGACACAAACGGTATAATTTGATCGCCCACAGATTTTTCATTAGGTTTCAGGAGAGTATGTCTTGGAATTTTTAAAGACTTTTCTATTGCGTCATTTATGACGTCATTATATGTCATTGTCAGTTACACTGAAGAGCTGTCATGAGACAGCGAAAGTACTATGTATGAAACTGATATAAAGAAGATGATGGACTAACGTGGACTTTATTATTTTATTATATATATATATATATATATATATATATATATATATATATATATATATATATATATATATATATATATATATATTGTTTGATCAAAGAACTTGGTATAATTGACATACCAAATACAACCAAGGCAGGTTTTATTTATATTAACAAAATGTATTTGAGACATGCAGAAAAAATAACAAGTGGATTTTCAAAAACAAAGTATTTTTTCTGTCCAGAAAAGAACCAATTCTGTCAAGACATTTGATTTTTCGACTTTCCACCACTATCCCACACAACAAACAAGGAAACGCTTCATTCCATGGGGCATTCGTCACAAAATGTGGTGTCCATAGATATGCTTACATCTCCATCTACAGAGATTCAGATCAATTTGTCAAGGGTGAAGAAATGGAATTTACTTACCAAACAACATGTTACTTCCTAATTGATAACATCTATGGGACATATAGGACGCGCTGTGGCAAGAAGTAGGCATCTCAATGGTCAGCAATGGTGGTCCTCTCCTTGCTGTTATTTCTTTATGCCTGCTCGGGTAGGCCAAATCAAAGCAACTGGATTTGGCCAAAGACGGTTAACTTAAGCTTCAGGTATGTCGATGACCTGTGATTAAATAGCCAATTCCCTCACGCTGACTAACCCACCTAAACTGGATGTAAAAGAGACCAGTGAAAAAGCCTAACATGTTACACATTTAGATCTTTGCATGAAAGTTCAGACTGATAAAATATTAACAAGACAGTATGACAAGAAGGATTTTTCAATAGTCATTTTCCCCCATTATGTTGTGCAATATTCCAGCAGCTCCAGCTTTTAGTGTCTACATTTCACAACTTCTGAGGTACAAACTTCTTTCTCCGAAGATTTCAAAGAGGGTCAAACGACTTCGGATCAAACGTCGTTTGATCAGGGTTGCAGCATTCATTTCTTCAGTAAACCTTTCAAAATGTGGCGGGTGCTACGGGTCAGGCAAGACATGCTTACCATATTTACGAACACCTGTGTCATCACTATTTGATAGTGATTCATGAAAATAAAGCGATGAAACCCTTTCCAAAGAAATCTCTGCAGAAAGCAGAGGAACACATGCTCATGATAAAGTCAGAACCGTAAAATCGATTGCTATTGGTGTCATCGCTGATTTTCAGCAATCCATTCTATAATGTTCACCACAATTTTGCCTTTTACACCCAATGGAATCAGCGAGGACCAAAATTAAGTCGGATCCCTATTTTGACCCCGTGTTCCCGTGTTTGTTTAAGTGATTTGCAGTTGCATGTGTTTGTGACGGGGGCCACCGGTGTAGCAGGATGCGAACACCTGGTATCATCCCTATTTGGTATTGATTCATAAACACAGTCATGTTTATGATATAGTCTGAATCGCATAATTGACTCTGCTTTTAACATATTTTTGTAATGATTATGGAAACTGTCGCGTTAATAATGTTAAGATAAACATAGCCAATTGCTCTTAAGAACGAAACAAACTTGGAAATAAAGTTGTCTTCTTCTTTAAATGCCAACTTTGAAACATTCAGAACTTGTACAAAACAATTTGTAGAGGAAAGTGTGCTCAGACATTAGTCTCTGGGCCCTGGTTTTTCCTTTGGCAGCCATTTTGAAACCAATTTCTCCCACTACTACAGTTGGTGATGGATGCGTGTGTAATTCATATTACAGCGAGTGTGTGTTATGTAAAAACGTAGTTTTAATTAAATGTACATGCAACTTCAATATGCACGTAGTTATATTCAATTTACCTGTTGAAATATTTCAACTATTCGGGTGAGACCACGGGTCGTGTCTCCGTTTTTTTTATCTAGCGCAATGTAAAGAGCAAGAAAATCGTAGTTTTATGATTAATTATTGAAATACCTCATTAAGTTGTTATTGTATACTTTAACAACGTGTTGTTAGGGGTGGGGTGGGGGCTAAAGATCTGTGAACTTTTCCTTTTCGATTTGAATGAATAGCTTTACGACAATTTCACTGTGGTTTGACTCTTTTCGCTCTATAACTGATGTTGATACACTCTCATTTCATCGCTTAGATACAAATGTAAAGCTTTCTCGGGTATCAGCAAATCCAATGTAGTACCTATATCAACATTATATCAAACTGAGGTTGGCAGAATCAGCTGATATGAACAGAAACAAGCCAGACATTTGGTGAGTGAGTGAGTATGGTTTTTAGCAATATTCCAGCAATATCACGGCGGGGGACACCAGAAATGGGCTTCACACATTGTACCTATGTCGGGAATCGAACCCGGGTCTTCGACGTGACGAGCTAACGCTTTAACCACTAGGCTACCCGGCCGCCCCCGAGACATTGGGACATTCGTTATATAATATATGGATTTTTTTACTATATTCTGTTGAATACAAAGTATTCCCTCGACACGCCAAACATATCAAATTACCTCCTCTGTTTAACGTCTTTTTAACAGTGAGATATATTTGGTATTTCTATGTTATGTATGTTGCGTGTAACCGATACATAAATATTCCGTCAGTTGCTATAGACAGTGGTAGGCAGATAGGTATGTATATACGATCAATACGTTTTGTTTTGAAATAAATAAAATTGAAACTGAAATCATCTAACATCCCAAACATATCTGACTTCTGGCGAAATCTGTCTTATGATACTGCAGACTGCTAAACGTCTGTTTGAATTTTAAGCTGCAAGAAGGGAGACAACCCAACCGGCTATCTGGTCAGAACTTCTACGAGTACACTCCGCGGTTGGAGGAGACGTCAGGCAAATTCTGGCCTTACCGTGAGCGGACCATGCGGTTTGAGCTGGAGCCTGGAACGTACGTCATCGTCCCGTCTACCTTTAAGGCATCTAGTGAAGCCAAGTTCTATCTCCGCATCATGGCGGAAGTTGCGCCGAACGCTAGGTGAGCCCTTTGGAAACTTCATTACTTTGAGTACTGACATATTTTAAAAAGTGATTGTAATTTAGTATAATTACATATGCATCTAAATATAGCATTATTCAAATGAAGTTATGTTCGATGTTGTATTGATATAGATAGCTACATATCGTGGTTAGCGATCATGTTAAACATAAGACGTCGACAATGATCAGTCGTTACAGGTAAAATCTCTATGTTTCAGTCCCATAGAAGAGCCTACTGGTCCAATTGGCGTGAGTATTCGAAGTGTTCGAATTGATTAATGTTTGCGGTTTTCCTCATTGAGTAAATGTGGTAGTCTTATTCTTTAAAAAGGACACGCTGCATATAGTAAGAAATAAACAAGCAGATGCTTTGAATGCTAAACAAATGCCCCTCAGTATGTAACCCTTACTGAAACTTTTAATCACTTGAACAATCAACTGATCTCGAACGGTGAATGTTGTCAGCAATAATGATTCACCAGCTAGTGTACGGCATCTAGGACATACACTGATATCCTCCAAATAGTAATATGCCCCATTTGTCACACCCCAATTGTTAAAGTGGACTGTGTCTAAGCCCATTCCTGCTACCTATAGTATCCTACTCAAAAGAAGTTGAGAAACACCCAGTTCTTTCATATTAATGTAGTTATTTTGTAGTTAATTCGAGTGTTCTTTAATATCTTTTGAGTAGTATATATGGACTTTCCCAGCTATTTGTTAACACTTGACACGGCAAGAACAGGACATTATTATTTGATTTTTGGAGAAGCTTTTAATGTTAGGTTAACATAGTTTAGTGACAGCTTGTATTACACATATAGCTTAGTTCGTAATACACATAACACCATAAATAATAACATAGCTCTGATATAGTCATTCAGCACAAACAATGGCTGCATTTTGTTGTAAATGTAAAAAGTCAACGCCAGAGAATAATCAGTGTCGATTATCTACCGAAACAGATGCCATTGGGGGTAAAAGGCAGAATAGAGGCGAACAATATATGAATGGATCACTGAAAGGATAACACCAGGTGTTCACGAAAAGAGTTAGCATGTCCTGTTCTACTGAATGTAGTTTTGATAATACAATCAGCAGTGACAGTTCAAGTGAAAACATTGAAATGAATAACTAAGTCTCTCTCAGCAAACATCTCCCGAGAATCTCAGTCTGCGTTTTAAAAGGTGTCAGGTAAGTTATGACAAGAATCTGAATCTAAACGGAAGTAATCCTGTAAAGTAAGAGAATAAGCTTAATTGGAAACTAACTGCCCTCTTGCAATACATCGGCTATCCCATTAGAGAGGCGGGACATGGTACATCATGCATTCTAGGGGCATGTCGATAGGGAGTGTGACTAACAGGGTTAAATGAAGGGAGAAACCCTGAAAACATAAGTGACGATTCACACCATCCGGGTACGATGACACGTAATCAGCCAAGTCGTAGCGCCAGGTGACCCAATAAATCAAGTCGCTTTTCACGACAAGCTGTAGACCTGTTATGATCGGGGAAGTTGGTAAATGTCCTTTCATACATCAAACATTTGGAGATTGGTTTCTATGTTGGGCGACAGGATGACCACGATCTGACGACAGACGCACTGGAAACGTCCTTCAAGAAAAACGCCGGATCAGACGGGAAAGTGGATGCAGTTTCACTGAGGAACATCTTTAGTGACACAAAAAAAGAAGGTAAGCAATGACAATACAACTACATTATGTTTGTTTGTTTGTTGTTTAACGCCGCACTCAGCAATATTCCAGCTATATGACAGCGGTCTGTAAATAATCGAGTCTGGACCAGACAATCCAGTGATTGACATCATGAGCATCGATCCACGCAATTGAGATACGATGACATGCATCAACCAACTGAGCGAGCCTGACCACCCGATCCCATTAGTTGCCTCTTACGCCAAGCATAGTCTCCTTTTACGACAAGCATGGGTTGCTGAAGACCTATCCTACCCCAGATCTTCACGGGTCTACAACTACATTAAGGATGCTGTTGTTACAAGAAATTCAGTTATCATTTACACAGTACAACTTAATGTCAGACTGCTTGTTGTGTTGCAGAGTATGGAGCCAGTGACGGCTACAGCCTCGAGACATGTCGCTGCCTCGTCGCTTTGCACGATGTATCCTTGTGAACCAACTCGAACGAAAAGTTGTCTGTGACGTTTGTTGGATGTTGGTATTTTAATGTGACATCAACGATACCATTTTAATATACTGGTTCGCCTCTGTTCCTCACTAATATTGTGTATCTTTGTTTGATAGACATTACTTAGAAGTTGACAGATGACAAAATTGAGATAATTTATGGATAACAACTTCTTTAATCCCTGACAACGGTAAAACGATCTATACCGAAACGTCGCCTTTACCGTAAATAAAGAAGTTGTTATCCATAAATTATCTCAACTTTTTAATATTGTGTAGCACCGAGTAATAATGAAAGTGGAGTAAAAGGTAACTGCCACAGTGAATATACACACTGTTCACTGTGTTCCGATTGATTCTATTAAGTATGTGATGCTTCTTTCTACATTAACGGATTTTTTTTATGACTTGTGTGAAACTAAATGTAATGTCGATGCTATCGACTTGTTGATACGAAACTCCTGTCTAGATTAATGAAGTTTAATGGATTGTTCTTTCTGAAAACTGAGGTTTATCTGTGCCAAGCCTTCACCGGGCATTAAACATGTCAAAGTAAAAAGGTCGCATACACAAATTACTTGTTTCCTTGATAAATCACTTTGTACAACGACCAACGCATAAATGCTATTTTTTACCCTCATAGCCGCGACCTTACGATAGTGTGTGTGTGTGTGTGTGTGTGTGTGTGTGTGATGGTGTGTGAGTGATGGTGTGTGTGTGTGTGTGTGATGGTGTGTGAGTGATGGTGTGTGTGTGTGTGTGTGTGTGTGTGTGTGTGTGTGTGTGTGTGTGATGGTGTGTGAGTGATGGTGTGTGTGTGTGAGTGATGGTGTGTGTGTGTGTGTGTGAGTGATGGTGTGTGTGTGTGTGTGATGGTGTGTGTGAGTGATGGTGTGTGTGTGTGTGATGGTGTGTGTGTGATGGTGTGTGAGTGATGGTGTGTGTGTGTGAGTGATAGTGTGTGTGTGTGAGTGATGGTGTGTGTGTGTGTGTGATGGTGTGTGAGTGATGGTGTGTGTGTGTGTGTGTGTGTGTGTGTGTGTGTGTGTGTGTGTGTGTGTGTGTGAGAGAGAGATGGTGTGATGGTGTGTGTGTGCAGATTTAACGATCGGTTTTCCTTAACATGTAACTCAGGTTCCAATTGAAGGGTTGTTAGATCTTACGAAAGTGAAAAAAGCCTGGGACACTGTCAAATTATGGACGGTAAGTTGATATGTATACATTTGTATGATATTTAAGTATTGAAAACCCCTTAATTCGATGTCCTGCGGCCGATCGAAATTATATGCAGTGTTCCAATGTTCGAGGCAAGCAGTTTGCTGATAATTGACCATAGCTGCAGATAAGAATTCTGATTTAGCATAACGCTGCATCGTCCAACATGGAGTAAATGAGGTTTCACTGAAAACAATGTACTGTATCTGTTGTCTTAAATGTATTTTAGAACATAGTTTATATAATTCATCTGTATCAAACTATCAAGTGGCAATATTCTCCGAATTATGGACTATGTAATACATGTAAGTAAATATTATCAAGGCCCCTTGAAGATCCAGGTGTTCAGCAGCCCATGCCTGTCGTTATAGGCGACTAACGGGATCTGGTGGTCAGGCTGGCCATTGTATCCTAAGTGCGTAGGTCGGTACTCATTAATAAATCACTGGATTGTCTGGTCCAGACTCGATTATTTACAGTCCGCAGTCATAAAGCTGGAATATTGTTGAGTGCGGCGTTAAAAAAAATAAAAAATTATCAGGCAGGTTATTGAGGCGTGTATGACCAATTAAAAATCAAACCGTTATAGCAATTCATTTAAATGCAGATTGGAAGCTATTAAGTTTGATGAAGATATTGTAATTTCTATTTCAGAGAGCCTTTAAGTCCTTTGATTTGGATAGCACAAAGTCAATAGACTCATATGAATTGGGAGAACTTTACAAGAAAGTCGGTATGTTGCCATCTTAAACCCTTTTTGTTTTGCATCTTGAGTAAGTGCTGAACATGAATGTTCAAAATCTGCCCTGATTAAGTGAACAAAAATGCTTTCCTCACTAAATTAGTTTGCATTTGCCTCAGATTCTGTTACTACCTTTCTTACTATAGTATTGGCCTTCTGTCGTTTACTGTTGAGTCCCTGATCTGTTACTGTTGGATGTTCATTTGTTTTGTTTGACATTATTTAGTGTTCGATTCTGGGGCTATTGTGTATAATAAACAATAGACCCAGAATCGAACACTAAATAATGTATAATATAGTTGTATAATTGAAATAATGCCATGCACCCTTATATAGCATATGTATTGTCTTTTAGTGTTTCGTCTTTCTTCTGTTGTTATCTGATTATCTTTTAAATATTGGATCTTTGGCCTATTGTGCTTTAACAATGGATCGCTTTTCGCCTAGCTAATCATCCCTGTGACGATTATGTATCTTGATCTATTGTGGTCGGTCAGTAGTCTAACGGAGATACTTCCGTGTCCCCAGGCTTCGCTGTGCGGTCTGAGGTGCTGAAGGCAGTGGTGCGGAGATACGGAGGGCGAGATGGTGTCATCAAGGAGGATGACTTCATCCAGAGCCTCTGTAAAATCATGACACTATACTGTGAGTTGCGTGCTATACACTATCATTTAGGACTCCTGAAGAGCCGGGTCTTTATGCTGGTATTTATATTAAATATCTACCATGCACAAAAACATGTGCATTACTCAGATCACATTGGCTTAAACCTACCCGAGTTTGCCCACTTGGTCTGCAGTGACTGCCTGAAGCCTGGCCATTTATTAACACAGCAGTGCAGCATAGCTTATGTCCGTAATTATTGTCATTACTCGTGCTTGTCGTGAGAGCCCACTGACAGGATCGAGTGGTCAGGCTCGCTGACTTGGTGATGCATGTCATCGAATCTCAATTGCATAGGCCGATGCTCGTAAGCGGATCACAATATTGTCTGGTCCAGACTCGATTATTTATAGACTGGCGTCATATAGTTGGAACATAACAAACAAACAATTTATCATGTATATATTGACACTTTACCTGTGATTTCTTTGCTATACATAAACAAATATACTAAGGGACTATACTGTGAGTGGCATGATCAAGTATTACTGTTTTTCTCTTAAATTTAATGTGAGAGATGAAGTAAAGATGACTTTAAAATTCTAGTTAACGATAACCTTTTTTTCTGCATATATGTGCTTGTCTTTAATCAACGCTATAAATCAAACTGAATATAGACATACAGAGGTTGATGCAATTTTGAAACACTTGATATTTTGTGTGATATATTTTCAGATACCTTCAAGGCAAATGCGTACGATCAGAAAGTGACAATGGACTTAAACCAGGTACTTTGAGATTACCACAGAATGAACAGAGACACCATTAGCCTTGTCTATGTGTATAATTTCCATTACCATTAGGGTGTTCATTGCCTTTAACCTTGTAACCAAAATTATAAAACTCATAATAGTGTTTCGTATCGCTGCTAAAAACAAAAGTATTATTCAGAATTAAAGGCCACGTGGCCCAGAGAACAACAGACATGAATAAATCATATGTAGCTACTGATGTTTTCCATGTGTCTTGATTTCTTCTTTTCAGTGGCTGAAGTGCACACTGTACACCTAGCTTCAACCCCTGGCAGTTCTCACTCGGGTACTCACGGCCGTCAAGATGTGCTATGTGACTTTTAGATGCATAGTGTGTGTTCTCTTGTTAATGTTAATTACATATTTCATAACTCATTTCATTTTCATTTCACTAGTGTGAATACCAACATTAATTCTGCTAGATTTCTCAGTATTCCTTCCATCTAAATGATGTATTTTATTCTTTCTTGCTAGCAATATATCACGCTTGTATTCCGTTCCTTATACAGAGACCAAAGTTGTGCCTATTAACGGCGTTGTGATCAACAGGAAAGATCCACTGGCCTCCTTGTCTAACATTGCTGAACATGAACTAATCTTTTTTTATTTCTGATCATTGATGTGATAGGAAATCACTACATACTATAAAACAAGTATGGCTTTATAAAATGAAATTTTTTTAACGCTTCCAAACGATAGGTTTTGCCATATAGTAACTAATTACATTAGATATTGGAGTTTTAGAGACGTGTATTAACAACAAAGTCTAGACCTTAACTGGAAATATTCACTGCACCGTGGCGCCCAAATGGATTACCAAGCACACATTCTGTCTCTGGATGCATAGCCACTATATCCTATAACCATTCCAGGTGTTTTTGTTTGTCCTGTGAAGCAATGTGATCACATCCAGCATACATCTCCTTATATGCCGAGACCCTGCATGATCTGATTTCAGAGTATCAATGATGCATGCTTCATTTAAATGCATATCAGTATGAGTGTGTTCAAGTGTGTGGTTTCACTATATGCCATTATATATGTCACTTTTTATCCTTCCTTATATACTCAACGATATAGTACTATTGAATAATAATGAATAATACATTGGATTACTTTAATTTACGTTATATATTTATCGTCCATCTTTTTGGCCCTGCATAATATCATCATCTTTTTGTTCAGCAGAAAGTATATTTTCCTGAGACATGTGTATAAAGCAATAAACGGTTTCACAAGTTATTGAACCTCAAATTAACGAACAAATGTAACTTGCTGCAACAACATATGCACAAAGAATATTGTATATTCGTGTGTTTACAGAAAGTCGTGCAGTAACAGTAGTGATGTTATATTTCTAGTGTCGTGTCAGAACCTGTAGTATGAGTTAATACAGTATTGACTTACGTCGCGTCGAAAGAGATAAAGACGTTGAAATCCAAGTCACCTCGGTCTTCAAAAATCGTGATATTTTTTGTTTTGTATATATGTTTTGAAAAATGATCCTGTATTTTCTAAACAAAATAAATTATATTTTCTTCAAAACGCCTACTGGGTTATATTTTCCTCAATATGCGTACACAACTAATGCTTTTTTACATATATGGTTTAATGTTTTCACAATCGGTATGATGACATGCTGCCTTTGATGTTTGTAGGGAAGTATGATGGTAATACACTCTCAGTGTGGTGATGCGTTCATTCAGGTTTGGGCGATCTGCCACCATTTGTAATATATGACCATGACATAACCAGTTCATAATGATCAAAGGGTTCATTTTTAAACCGGTATGTTCTAGTGAATGTACAACTCACTCGTCAAACGGTCTGCGCCGGCTACATGGAAACACCACGCATTACTAGGACATCCGTCATACTATTCGTGCTCAAAAGTTGTTTGATCAAGGTTACAACATTCCAGGCCTCGATAAAGCTTTCTAAAAGTTTATACTGAACAAGTGGGAGACATGTCCACAGTGACAAAAATGATGCCCCATGCAGTTCCGGGTGTTCACGGGGATTTCTATTTCTATATTTTTAGAGGTGATTGGGTATATTATCTGTAAACTGTGACTACACCACGCGAACTGGCAAATCACAAGATGCAAACCTCCTGGTCCAGAATGTTTTATCCGCGAATTCCTAAATTTTCGTCTGTGTCCAGAAATCAGTTCTTTTGAAGAAAACGTTTCTTTGCTGAAAGAGACCACATGGTGATTTTTTTAAACGAAATGACGATTTTCCGTCCAATCAGAGGTCAGTACATAGTCAGAACTTGATCCCAAATCTCGTCCTGATACAGGTCCGATATAGTTTGGAGTGTTGGTCATTCATGGTGATTGTAGACGAGATCTGAAAAAAGCAATGATCTTACAGATAGATAATTACAGACACTTGGAGAGGGAAGCGGTCAAAAGCGCCAGGTGCTGAGGTCGTATCCTGCTCGTTACCCGGTTGTTATTTATCCTTGGGACCAGCAGTGTTTACAGGTCGCTACCACTTGTGTACAGTACATACACCCTGTGCACTCAAAAGAACCCACTCATCCGATGGTAGATAACCAGATAATTGAAACACGAATACGTACATACACCCGAAACACGAGTACAAAAACTTGTGGTGTCACCCTGGGCAAGTGACACAGTTCAAATGTGCCTCTGTTCACCCGGCAGAGAATGGGTAGCCGATATGTAGCGCCCTAAGGCAGCTTGGGTTATATACTCATCACAGAGTTGGGAATGATAACCGGAATGCAAACGGCTCCACTGGTCGGGGAACAAATGAAACTGCATTTGAACAGATACTAGTACCTGGATACCTGCGGTATCGAAGTCGACTGGCCTGAAAAGTAAAACAGAAGGCTTTCTGTTTCCTGCACAGGACCAGTCACTTCCCACTCGAAAACGTCAATGTGTGATTTTGCATCGAAATGTAGATTACCAATGAATTTAATGAGACTGCCCTGCACATTGTCAGTGGATGCCCAGCTTTGGCACAATGATGGTGTAGCTCGATCATTTTATTACCGTCTTCGCTATGCTTGTGGTTATGACACAGAGGTCCATCCATGGTACGACCCAGAATATGTAAAAGGCGTCATGGAAAATGATAAATACAAAATTCTTTGGAATAGGCCCGTTTTCAGCCTCAGACATATCCAGGCCAGCAAACCTGATCTTGTCCTTGGCCAAATTCAAGATTCCCCATTGTTCTGGGTGCCTTAGGTTTGGTACCTCCCAATCTGTTGACTGACATTGGGAGAGTACCCGGGTTTGCTACCACGAATACTGCCCTTCTGACAACCTTGGTAATGCAGAAGGCTGTAGTTCTTGGGAGTCTTTACATTCTCCGAAAAGCTCTGGGTGGGTTCGCCTTGGCAGCGCTTCCCGAGAGAAGCCCCGTTCGCTGTCTGGGCTGCGTGTAGAAAGGGCAAGGGCCTTGTGCTGATGATGAGCCTAACATGCCTAACTGTGCCAGGATCACCCAAACCCTCTTTGCTGTATTTTTTTATTTTAATCTGTAAATAATAATAAGACAAATAATAATAATAATATCTTACAAGTTGTGCAAATACACACACTCATCTACCTGTGTGCGACAATACAACATGATACAGTAATCAGACTACAAACTTAGTAAATTAATAAATATCGTCAAAGTCATCGGTGCTTTTTTCTAAATCAAAGCCTTTTTTAAAATAGTTATATGGTAACCATACAAAGTAAATACGTATGAAATAGCTGGACAGGAACTAACGAGGAGAGTGGGTTGTGCTGGTGTCAGCCGGGCTTCGTTACTGGTTCGAACTCTGGTTGTGTGGGTATAGAGGAAATAGGTTTGGTTGACATTATTGTCGGTGTTGAAGTATATTTCTGTAGATATTTTTCTGGACCTAATGTTGAATATGTACGCATGTGTGGCAGACTTGACACTCGGAACTCGTGTCTTTACAACATAATGAAGGAGGGTCACGACTGGTGTCTTAGCGCACTTTACCGGTGAATGGAACACACAAGTATAAGGTCAACACAGGGTTTAAGATTTCTTTAAAATATGATACTTACTACCCAACACTGGTGTCTGTGGAACACAATAATAGAGAGTAGACAGTGGCGTCTTTTGAACAATATACTACAGAGCCTGCGTGAGTTTGTGGTTATGGAACACTGATTCGTTTGCAACAAACGTTTCGGACCGACAGAGGAATCTTTCACTCCTCAAAAAAGAACCGCTTTGGAGATAATGAGAATATTGATTTTGTTTATTCATGAAACGTTCAATACAAACGCAATATTTTTGATTGAACGAGGTTTATAGTCAACTTTTGTAGCTTTATACAGCAACTTGTTTTAAGAGTGCACGACAATGTCATGGAAAGGACATTAAAAGCAGAACGCACGTGCAAGTTGTGACAATCAAGTACGGTGACAATGACTAATGGGTGCCAAACGTCAGGCAACATGTGATAAGTTTGTCGACATCGACATCGCCCAGTCAGCAGTTGCACGTCATTTGAACGTACACCAGAGCACCATATCTCGTTTATCGGCTCTGAATATCCACCTGGATTCAACCCAAGATCCCCCGTGAAGTGGTAAACCAAGAGTCACCACCCCTGCTACATCCGGGTCTTTCCAACCTACGTCATCGACATTCTACTGCCACCGAGACTGCAGGACGTGCCTGGTTTGAGGAGGGTATTGGACAAAACAATCAGGAATCTTCTGTGAGAGGTGGGAATTAGACGCAGAAGGCCGGCATCAGTCGCTGTATTGAGTGAGTGAGTGAGTGAGTATGGTTTTACGCAGCTTTTAAAAATATTCCAGCAATATCAAGGCGCGGACACCAGAAATGGGCTTTACACATTGTACCCATGTCGGGAATCGAACCCGGGTCTTCGGCGTGACGAGCTAATGCTTTAACAGCTAGGCTACCCGACCGCCCCTGTCCCTGTATTGAGACGTTTGCATCGACGACAACGTATGAGATGGGGCAACACCGTACAGGCAAGACTCTGAGAAGCCGTCGGCGAGTCTGGTTCTGTGATGAATCAGGGTTTCTTCTCCAACGCCGAGATGGAAGACGTTAAACGTCGAAATTAACGTTTTGCATTGAACTGCGTTCAATGTCGGAAGTGTGGTTGTTTGGGGAGCCATATCATACACACGGTGGTCAGGGTAATTTGACAGCAAATCGGTACTTCGACCAAATTCTTCAACGTCACCTTCTTCTGATTATCAACCGACAGAGGGAGTTGTTTCAGCATGACAACGCTACACCACACACACCTCGTGTCACTGTTGACTTCCTTCAAACGTCAATGTCCCAGCATGGCCTTTCTGATCTCCGGATCTGAACCCGATAGAGCATATGTGGGTTGAACTCGATAGACGTGTACGTCAACGTCAACATACACCACAGACACTTACACAACTGGCCACCGCGTTGTAGGAAGAATGGAGGAGAATTTCGCAGATCAGAATCCGTAGACTTATTCAGTGTGTGCCAAGCCAAGCTGTAGAGCAGTGATAACAGCACACGGTGGTCACACCAAGAACTGATCGGAGCGCCCCCTCGTGAACGTACATGTCCTGTATTGCCATTATGTCTCCAGAACATGTGACTATCACCATGCTAAGTGTCATCCTTGTGTAACTCAAATTACATGAAATATGCACATTTATTTGAACACAGTAAAAAAGGTCAAAGTTAGTTTGTGCGTTTCTATTGAGGAGTGTAATACTAGTGGCTCGACACTGGGGTATTATAGAACACAATTAACTCGTGTCACTTGAAAGCAATTATTGAGAGCCGACATTTGTGTTTTTGGAACAATACTTTGGGCCGACACTAGTGTCTTTGGATCACAACACTGGACATTTCACACTGGTGTCTTTGGAATACAGCTGCAGCGCCTTCATCATTAGCCAGATTAACTCCATGGCCATAGCTGCAGCTACACCCTCGGCCGCCAGTGCAGCAACTATTGCTACTCTCTCACGGTCTCCAATACTGCTGGACTGGGCCTTCTCCATGGAAACTGCTGTTGAACACAACTCTCTCTCAGTCTCAAATGCTTCAGCAGAAACGGCATTTTCCATGACAACAGATGTAGCTACTCTCTCGGCCGCCAATACTGCAGCAGATTGGGCCTTCTCGATTAAATAGATCTTGACGGCATCCGTGGTTCCATGACCCAATCCCATGTTGCGTAAATGTTGAGGCGTTTTGATCACGACACTGTCTTCCATCATCAGATGGGACACCGGAATATATGAGCAAATGAGCCATAGTGTCCCCTACGATTTGATCTGCCACCACATCCGAGTAGATGTAGAAAGTATCAAAACCAGCTAGATGGTCTGCTTCCTGGACAAGCTCAGCCGAGACAAATCTTCACAGACCATGGGTAGCTGAACGAGTCCCAATATCCGTACCTGGGGAGCTAGTAACACCTGGCGGGTTGTGCACGCTGAATATGTTGCATTGTGATCAGGCTTCTTGTCTGTTCTGTGGGGAGCATCAGTCAGAGTCCTTCACATGTCTTTCGGGGATTGGAGCATGAAAGTTTTTTCCCTGCATTTCAAATCGGAGTTGCTCTTTGGGGTAGTTCACAGAGACTTGTGTAACGCCCTCTACTATCCGCCTGGTAAACATCAGCTGTATACTTCTGAAAAAGGAGTGCAAAAGGTTTGTTGAAGCAATATGGTCAGTGTTTTGATCAGTACTCGACTGGAATAAACCCATCCTAGAATAATGATCTTTTTGGTTGTCACTCTGGGGGTGCCTGGCTTCTCTTCTGTCACTGTAGCATCAAGGGTACGTGAGCATGAATCCTGGTAATTTCTACCAAGTTCACTTCAAGGACAACCAGGTTGAAGAGGTGGGACACATTGTACCATTGGAAAATAAAGTTCACTCACGCCCACTTCCAACTGCTGACGATTCACTTGGATGGGAAGGGGTAGTTGGATTACATAATGATTCATACTGTTTTGAGGGTGAGCATCACTGGGCAATGCCACATAAAAGTCCCATTTGGAAAACAACGCATTCATCATAGACATCCTGAGATACCCTTCGGGGACTAGACTGGACACGGGGGAGGTCGGGGAAGGAATGGTCAATGCTGTTGTGGCTGATTGCGTAGAAGGTACCAATATGGGTTGTGGGAGCAAATACCCCAAGCTGCTGGCCAACAAGGCTGTTTACAACTGTTTCTCACTGTGTTCCAAAGCCAACTAGACCATACTCATGACAACCATTCCATATATATAAATCACATGGGAGAAAAATACCACTTCACTTCGAAGTAAGTCCATGCCAAAGCAACACCAGCATGATGAACGTTATTTGCTGCTGCTTCTACTACCATGTGAGGAAGACATAATTGTGGGGATCGGTTCACTCTTCGTGATGTCCAGAGACACAACTAATAGTTTAAGATAAGGGAAGTATATTTTAAGATCACATGGGCAGCAGGAACCCATTAATCAAAGCTGGTTCTCGTGCTGAGGTCACTCAAATCAGCTTGCCACAAGTCATCCACTCCACCCCAACCGTAATGGTCCCCGGGAAACGATCGTTATCCTGGTTTGTGCAAAATATGTCCTGGGTTTTCAGCCATTGACGAATCTGACGTTGTGTGGACCTTTGGGACGTCCCAGAATCTTTGGCATGGTATCCTACAACACATCCACCATACCCTGCAGGATGTTTGCAATCATAATAGGTGTCTTGGGGCCATCGTGTCCAACAACGTCTTTCATGAGCGAAGATGAACCCACAGTGGTGCCATTGCTGCCTGTTTTTCTCTTAGGATGTCTCAAGACGATACTGTCCCTGACCTTGCCATGTTCCCTTGTATTAAAAGTGAATCCACTGACGGGCCCGGTTGAGAGGGGAGATGACCTCTGCCCCCCCCCCCCCCCCCCCCCCCCCCCATTCCTTCGGTTCCTCAAGTTGGGTTGATTTTGGCAAAAACAAGTCCTCCCCATCCTGGTGTATGGGTGCCAGCGCTTCTTTATATGGTTGGCACATAACTGATTGGTTGTCCTTTGGTTTTCATCGTCCATGACCAACGTTGTGGGTTGCCAATCAGTTCATGAGGCACACTGCTGGAAGCTAAATACTTCCCTAGAATATTCCATCCAGGTTGGGGTTCTGTTTAGGTACGTTGTCAAACCAAATCATTGATGAGATATTCACCATGTTGGCCCCACGCATCGGTTCCCCTTCCACCATAAATTGTTCCTCTCTGTTCCAACCTAATTCTAAGTGTGCCTGAATGTGTTTCATCAGTTCCGTGGCTTTGGATCGTAGTGTTTTGGGGACAGTTTGCACCACTTCATTCAGAATGTCCTGTAAGTGCTGAGATTGCTTACCAGTCATGGGGATTCCAGCCAAGGGGATCCCTGCCTCAGGGGGTCGTTGTTTGGTAGGAGCTTGTTGTGCTGCTTTACCTTGAAAAGCCAAGGTCTGCTGCAGTAAGGTGTTACACTGCTGTTCTCTGTCCTAAATGGGACACTGTCTTCTTGGATTAAGGCATCCATGTCATGAAGTGTGAGCAATCGTTTCTGTTCCAGCAGGTTGGACTTAAGCAAATGTCGTTGCCATTTTAACTCTTGCAGACCTTGCCATACCTCTTTTGGGATCATAACTATTTTCCGTGCATGCTTCGTGTTGGGTGCTGGTGAATAACCACACCTAGCCACAACCCAGGATGCTCCCTCTGTTTATCTCCCATCTCCCAACAGTCCAGACATCTTTCGTTTATTGGTTATGTAGTAGGGCGTGGAGTCATCCCACAGAGTGAGTGCGTGAGTATGGTTTTACGCCGCTTTTAGCAATATTCCAGCAATATCACGGCGGGGGACAACAGAAAATGGGCTTCACACATTGTACCCATGTCGGGAATCGAACCCGGGTCTTCGGCGTGACGAGCAAACGCTTTAACCACTAGGCTACCCGACCGCCCCCATCCCACAGATGACAGCCACAAAAAGAGTCACAATGGCCACAAACCCATAGTCAAAACGGTGTTCTGACAAGTGTACCAATCTGTTGTGAAAACATCTGTATCTTTAATCCTAATGATGTAAGTACGACCGAGTAATACTGAGTAAACTCAGTGTCAACTTAATACATATACAACATGCAGGATTGTGTACCAACACTGCTACAATAACATTGTGGATATGGTGTTATGAACTGTTATACATTGTATATAATACAATTAATGTGACACAATACTTGAGTTTGTCTTTATTTTCTGTGTGGCCGTTATGACTTTTTTGGTGGTCGTTTTGACTAAGGTTTGTTGCCGTTTTTATCTTTTTTTCTGTGGCCGTTTTGACTTTCCCTATTTAAAGGCCGTCCTGACATGAGGCCGTTTTGACCGACTCCCGGTAACATAATGACTGCTTGGGCACAGTCACAAAACACGTCATTAGATAATCAATCACGGTTTTTGTATTTCAATGTGATTATGTCATTAGGTAAACCAAAATAGATTTCTACCTATTTTCCAGGTGTACTGGATATTGACATTTTAAACTGTAGTAGCACACCGCTCATCATAGTATTTCATAAGACTTCTCAAAAGCATAGACTTGAAATACTGTTAAGACAGTGCCTTGGTTTACTTTGTCTGACATGACGTCTATATTTTAACGGGCATTACTTTCACAGTAATCTAAAGAATTAATTGGAAAAAACTCTGGAGGGCTTCCTCTTCGACCATAACTACCATGGAACCGACTTTTGGAGAAATAAATCCTCTCACTTTATGATATCTTGTTGAAGCAGTAGTATTTTAGGCTTCTAAGGACAATGTCAATTTATACCTATCTATTACTTTCATCAGATTTCATATGTCGGTAATCTATATGGACGTTTTGAGCTTTCAACTAGATATACAGGGGAGGTAACTCTAGTTTAAGCTTGTTCTGAGAAACAAGATGGCGGCCGCCTGTGTTGCGGCACGAGTTTGCGAAACACCGGGTTGTAACAGCGAAGCTAAGCTTCAGTGCCCGACCTGTATAAAACTAGGGATTCCAGGGTCCTTTTTCTGTTCCCAGGTAATTGGACGTCAACTGATGTCTTCGATCACATGTCAGTTCGTTTTTTAATTTGTTCCAACTTCCCTGTCTCGATCAGTTCAACACTCAAGTTGGCTGTGGAATCAAAGAAACTAGTGAAGTCACCGTAATGTAGATAATTTATTCTATTGCCACAGTAGTGTGATAACGAAAACTACGACTGCATGAAAGCTCGTTAGCTTAAAACTTAGATTGAAGAAACACGTGATTTAATAAACTTGTTTCATGATTGAATCGTATTTTATATTATCAAATCACTAGGCCTACGTGAGATAATAGATTAAACGATCTAAAGACGAAGATCATGACCGCGTGTCTGCTTAATGTGGGAAGAAACCCAAAGTTATACAGGCTCTTACACATTTACCACTTAGTGAAACCCACGAGCACAGATATGTTGCTGACAAACCAAAAGTCACAGGACGAATCCTGGATTTGAACCCATGATCACTGTATTCTTTCACACCAAAGGGACACAACTTTGCACAGCACAGCTAATTCTGCACCATGGATGATTGATCACTGTACTGGCACAGCTTGCACAGTGCTGATTGGTTCACTCTGTCGGCTGTGTCTCTCACTTCAGAGTTTGCTTACCCCCAACACTATATTAGCCTTGGATCCCCTTTTCCAATCAAGCACCTTTCTATGATCCTTTGGATTAGGCACCCATTTGTGGTCGTTTGAATTTGGGTATGGATTAGTTATCCCTTTAAATAAATCCAATATAATTTGAGGAAAATCTGTACAATTTTATAAGTTTGATTGCTTCCACAAAATGGAAGTCCGACAACTGGTAGTCTAGATCACTGGTAGTGTAATTCTAAATCTAAACATATGTTTCATTTAACAAGTTTCCAAAAAGCATTGTCCTTCATATCTTACGGCCGTACCAATTTACTCTTATCAGAGGGGGGTGGTCGGGTAGTCTAGTGGTTAAGGCGTTTGCTCGTCACACCAAAGACCCGGGTTCGAATCCCAATATGGGTACGATGTGTGAAGCCCATTTCTGGTTTCTCCCGCCGGAATATTGCTAAAAGCAGCAAAAAAAACAAAACAAAAAACTTATCAGAGGGGTATATAAACTATGTGATCTAGAATACCAGTTGTCAGACTTCCAGTTTGTGGAAGCTTTGGTTGTTGAGTGGGTGAGGTCACAGACTTTGCGTGCTGGAAATTAGGAGCCATACTCTTGAGAGTGTGGGTTCGAATTCCAGACGGGAAAAAGTATAAGAATGTGTACTTTACTAAGAAAGTGCTACCCCAAAGATAACATATGTAATTGTTCCATTTCTACTACGAATAGTTTTGATAAAGCCTGTGTTTTTTTCCTCAAAAAATACAAACAAGCACTGCTGTCCATCAAGTTATATTTTCCAGAGCAATAGGCCTACTCATAAACTCAATATTTATTTGTGAAACTTTATTGTCACATCAGGCATGTGCTAAACTGGCGCCTTTGACTATTCAGAATTTTTTAATGTTATTTTTCTGCATTTTCTACATTTCAAGGCAACAAGTGTGACTCAGGTTCAAATGAAGAGGTGGTTAATTTCAGGGGCATAGGTCATAAACCATTAAATATTTCTTTGTGTTGAACTGATGTCTTTTGCTTTGTAGGAGTTTTTCAAGTTTTTAGATCTTGTGTTTTCAGGTCCAAAACATGAACAAGTTGGACTTTTGTTCAACAGAGGTTGGGGTTTGTTTCCAGATTACAAATCATAAACCGTTCAATGTTTCTTCCTGAAACTTAAAACATGCATCTTATATCATACTACCCTGTGGCTATTTTGGCTTAGAATAGGTCTCAAGCAATCTATGCTTGTTGTAGGAGGTGACAGTATGGATCAAGTGCATTTGTTGATTATGTGGAGCTGTACCATGACAGTTTGGGATGTTGCTCGTAATATAAGTCCCTGATTTGTCTGGACCAGACTCAGATATTTACTGGCTGCCATCATACTGCTGGAATATAAGTGCTAACAAACAAAAAACAAACAAACAAACAAACAAACAAACAAAGATGATAAATCAATGCAGGAAATGTTTAAAGTTTTAAACTTATCCGATCTCACACTATGCATTTCTCTTTGCCTAATGTGAGATAGGATAAGTATATAAATATACAAATTATTGTAAAATTTCAAAATTTTAAAACTTATCCTGTCTTACACTATGCAAATAGAAATGCAAAGTGTGTGATAGGATAGGTATAAAAATATACAATTTACTGTAAAATTTCCAATTTTGTCGTATTGTGTTAAGGAACAATTTAGCATGATGTTTCGTGTTTAGAAAATGTTATGTCATGTAAGATTATTATGAAATGGAAAGTTCAGTCTTGAAAAGTACTGACCGCCTCCGTGGTCTTGTGGTAGAGCGTCCGCCCGGAGAGCAGAAGGTCCGGGGTTCGATCCCCGGCCACGTCATACCAAAAGACGTTAAAAGATGGTACTTATTGTTACCCTGTCTGGCGCTCGGCATTAAGGGGCTAAAACAAGGACTGGTCGGGTGGGAGTCAGTATACTGTGTCTGAGTGGGGTATTCATGTTAAACTGCGGCATGGTTTCTCAGTGTGCTACCACTATAAATCGGCATCAGTCCGGACTAGTACAAGCAGCCACACAAACACACACACGTACATGCACGTCGCTATATAAGTGCAATAATCTTGGATGCGACGTTAAACCCCATTTCACCTCACCTCACCTTGAAAAGTACCATTAATAACTTTACTGGAAGGAATGGACAGCATTTCAAGAAGAGATGGAATCGTTCGTGTCTTATAATGAACATTAGATTCTGCCAGGGTACATCATGACGTCACTTGTTCTTACAAGCTTTGGTATAAGGCATCCCTCATTAAAGTTATCCTTTGTTTTCAGGATTGTTTCAAAGGGTCGTGGTCTGAACACAAGAAGCTTCACAAGAAAAATAGTAAGTAAGATGAAGATAAAGTTGATTTGTTCCAAATACTTGTCATTTATCATAGTCAGGGATAATTCTAGGGTGGGGCCTTGTGCTTTTAGCCCCTAAATTTGAATAAAGGCCCTCATTTTCAAATACAATGGGACATTTTGACATTTTGCTGTATTGGCAAGTGTAGGTGTACCTCTGAAACATTTGAAATTTTCACATAAAGGGCCCATGTCAGAAAATTCATAGAGTGGACCCTGCATAGTTTACTTAAAAATTGACTTTAACTTTGTGTGAGTTCATTGGAGTATGAACCTTCATAGAGTGAGGGCCAAACTGTATGAACGTCGGAGCTTGCGACTTAAACTTGTGGAAGTTGTCTGTCAGTGTTTGTCATTTCAACAACATGGTCCCGTGAAAAACGTATTAACGTCAAATTGTGTCGTTCATACACTTAAGAACGTCAGTTTCGCGGTCATGTGACCAACCTCTTGTCCAATGGAAAAGCCGTATATCGTGTAAACTTCAAATAAAAAATTTATATTTATATGTTTACATGTTTAGAGGGATTTACCGGATGCGAAATGCTGCGTCATATACCTCCATTTCAACTCACTTTGCTAAATTCATAAAACAGGTGGGCTATCTCACTATTGACCTGGGTGTCTGTTATTTCTCTGCTAATCCCAGTGTTTGTTGGTCACAGAAGAGAATGATGAGCAGAACAAAGGAGGTTTCAACCCTTGGCCCGGGTTTCACTTCACTGGGACTCTGCGGCCCTTCTCTGTGGTAAGATACTTTCTTGTACATAATTGATGTCTATTTCTTTAACAATGCTATGGTTGTTAGCATGTTTAACCACAAGCCCAAAGCCTGTGTCTAGTAAATCACAGTCAGGACTATAGTCTGGAAGGTAATTTAAGGTACCAACGTTTACTACAATATCTGAAAAACTATCGGACCTACTCCAGTCAAAGTTGGTATGAGATTATTAAACAGTCATACATAACTGGATATTACATTAAATGCCATATGACACAGTTGAACCAATCAACTCAACTCGATAGGGTGCACTGGAATCACGCACGTTGAGACGCCCAACGCTAACACCGTATTCGTGCGTGATTCCCGTGCACCCTTTCGAGTTGAGTTGATTGGTTCAACTGTGTCATATGGCTCTGTGACGCAGGGGTAGCATTATGCAGATGGCTGTTTCAATGAATGCTCGTTCCACCCATGACGAACAGGTCTGGTTGTTGATGAAATATAGTGATAGCTAAATAGACAGATTTTTATTCATGCACCGATTGTCTTTAAATGTAATATCCAGTTATGGATGACTGTTTAATAATCTCATACCAACTTTGTCTGGAGTAGGTCCGATAGTTTTTCAGATATTATAGTAAACTTTGGTACCTTAAATTACCTTCCAGACTATAAACATGGTTTAATATAGCCAACATGTTTAAAAGTAACATCAGTTTGAGAAACAGTTTCTTGTTGGAGTTATTTTGCGAAAACTGCATAAAAACTACTTGATACCTGTGAAGATCCGGGTAGAGAATAGGTCTTCAGCAACCCATGCTTCTCGTAAAAAGAACTATGCTTGTAATAAGAGGCGACTAACTGAATCGGGTGGTCAGGCTTGCTGACTTAGTTAATGCATGTAATTGTACCCCTATTGCTTAGATGGATGATCATGATGTCAATCACTGGATTGTCTGTTCCAAACGTCAATTATTAGAGATCGCTGTCATATAGCTGGAATATTGTACAGGCTGACTATTCTGCAAGTTCTAGTTTACTCTAAGCTTGAACAAGTTTTTCTATTAAATGTACTCTTCCACATAATTCCGGCTTAGAATTGGTTCCCATTAACATGTTTGCCACAAGAGGTGACTAAAATAGATATGGTGGTCAGGCAGTGTCATCGAGTGCTGATAATATCAACCACTGGCTTGTCTGGCCCAGATGCAATTATTTACAGAACTCCATGATATAGCTGGAATATTGCTGACCGCACAATAAACTACAGGTTGCCGTTCATCTCTGAGCATGTTGGTTGGAGAGTTTAGAAACAACAGTTTTAAAGGTATTGGGGCATTCAACTCAAAGGAATGAGTCGTGCTTCATGGTGTTTGTTTCAATCATTTCTAGACCCCCAAAAGACAGGTCCCGGACACAATCAGACGTCCGGACTATGCTGACCACCCAGAAGGTATGTAGGGTTTGGTCAGTCCTGACATGTTAAAAATAAAAGTATAGCTACCACAACTCAACATGAGTGTTTGATGTATTATCGTTGTCGGATAAAGATGTCTGCAGTACAACAATCGGGAGTTTATTATCGTTAAAGTAAGTTGTTCTCTGTTATGTAACAAGCTCCTGTTAATATTCACACTTCAGAGAAGTGTGTAGAGAAGTGTACCTGGTTTAAAAAACATTTTGTATTTCTGTTTTTACCTTATTAAATTTCAGACGTTATTTTATGGACTCCTCATTCCCAATATGTTTTGTATATATTTATTATCCATATACTGTAAATCTGGAAATTAATGCGACTGCTGACCCCTAGCAGTCAATTTTGGAATTTTTTGTGAAAGTTGTGGCAAATTTGGGGCCAAATATCGGCCTCTGATTAGGTTTAGATAAATCTCCTCAAACCCATGAGGGGCGGTCGGGTAGCCTAGTGGTTAAAGCGTTCGCTCGTCACGCCGAAGACCCGGGTTCGATTCCCGACATGGGTACAATGTGTGAAGCCCATTTCTGGTGTCCCCCGCCGTGATATTGCTGGAATATTGCTAAAAGCGGCGTAAAACCATACTCACTCACTCACTCACTCAAACCCATGAAGTATTGACAGTGTTGTAGTTCATGCATCACGTGTCCAGCCATGTCTCAACTCATGTTTCCAGGCGTCCCACTGACTGAGCGCCAACTCCGAGGAACGACCAACATAAAGATGCTGGATGACGAGGAGAAGGAGGGAATGGCTGTTGCCTGCAGGGTAGGAAGAATTTCCTTAGTGATGTTCAGTGAACAATCCCAGGATCTCTCATGTCTAGTTCCTACATGTCATTGTGAACCCTGTGAGGAGTCCAGGTTAGAATGTGTCCCCAGCAACCTGTTCTGATCATTTATGAGGCGCTTGAAAGGATCGTCCTGTCAAGGCTCAGTGATTTGGTTGATGCGTTTCATTATTCCCCGCCTGCTTAGATTGTTTCTTGTAATATCAATAATTGGATTGTCTGGTCCAGGCTCAATTATTTACAGGCCTCTGTCATATTGCTTTATTTTTCTCGAGTGCTTCGTTAAACAACAAACCAGCAAACATATATTTTGAGTTATGATTTATTCTGGTATTCAACATAATATGTTCAATTTACGAAAAAATAAAATATGGTATCTTTATTACTCTTTTTGGAAGAACAGAATCATGATTATTGATGATTGAATATGGGTACCAAATAATGGCATCTAAGACTGGGATGGTTGAGAGAACTTTTGCACTATAATGGGCACACTTGATTAACATTGTCATTTGTGTAGTGTTGTCGTTATGTGTTTGATATTCAGCCTCTCTCTGTTTGGTTGATACAGGGCTTTGTGTTTTGTTGAAATAGCTTGGCCGTGAAGTCTTGGACGAAGCAGCAAAAGCAGTAGAAGTCGGCGTCACAACAGATGAGATAGATCTGATAGCACATGAGGTAAGACACTCAGCTAAGACGTGGGAATTGCTGCCTACTGTCCCAGATGTTTAGTATTTGCTATCACTTTGCAGCTAAAATATGAAAATATGAATTCTCCATAGACACTATGAACACACAATGCCATTTAGAAAGTGGTCAAATGTAACAAATGTCATATTTTGGATAACACTTTCTTAGTAAAGTACTAGAATCTGTACCTTACTAAGAAGGTGTTATCCAAACTATAACATATGTTATGTAGACACTGGTAAAGAGAGGGCAATTGTTTAGCCTTACATCGTCTGCTATGAACCATGTTGTTTACTGACTGGTCTGAAGTCTTTAAATGGTATTTATAAGGGATACACATAAGAGACAGAATTTATGGATGTCAGCTTCTTTATTGAGAGGAACATAACGTCTCGGGTAATTGCTAACTCCATCCGGCGAATGAACGCTAGGATGCAGAGAGCATATGATCGGTGATTAGCAATGGACAAATAGAAGGCAGGGGTTATTTGGCACTCATGGTAACTAGCAATGGACAAATAGAAGGCAGGGGTTATTTGGCACTCATGGTAACTAGCAATGGACAAATAGAAGGCAGGGGTTATTTGGCACTCATGGCAACTAGCAATGGACAAATAGAAGGCAGGGGTTATTTGGCACTCATGGTAACTAGCAATGGACAAATAGAAGGCAGGGGTTATTTGGCACTCATGGTAACTAGCAATGGACAAATAAAAGGCAGGGGTTATTTGGCACTCATGGTAACTAGCAATGGACAAGGCTATCAAGACTAATTAATCCAGCTGGCTTATATTTGTTTATTGCTAGTTACCTTTGGTGTGCCCAATACCCTGAGCCATGTCAAGATTATCGCACGGGTTCTGAATCAGATTTTCTTCCAATCATGAATAGTGCAACTGACAGCTGTGCTAAGAGTTGTGTCATTTGAAACAAGATTTAGAATGAAGTCTCAATGCAGTTATGCTTCTACGGTCATCAATATATTTAGAATACTAAACGACCTCACGTGTAATACCAGTTTTATGAAACGAGTGAATAGTTCTGGTATCTGACTCACTTTCGCTCGTCAGATACCACAACTATTCACGAGTTTCATAAAATTGGTTTTACACGGGAGCGAGTTTAGTATTTTATTTATTACTGGCAATTTATAACGTTTTTAGAATCATACTGTTGAGTGTGAATAGGCTGACACCTACCAATCCACAGCATAATCCAATTGAGTTTAACACAGTAATACTTTAAACACCTCAAAAGTTGAAACATTAATTTAATACCAGACAAGGGTCCACCTTTAGAATTCAGGCGTCCGTTCCACAAAATTATCGTAGCGTTAAGGTTATCGCAACTCACATACTTTAACTTAGACCAACGAGTGTCATTGTGCTACTGTACGATCGCCTTGTGGAACGGGGCCTTGCACCTCAAAGATTACAATCACGTCACAATACCAGATGACGTAATTTGTGGAATTTTGTTGCAAGATCCTTCGGCGAAACAATGCCATGTGACGTCAGCCTAGCAAGAAGGTTGCTGGGGTCATCGAGTGTGCATAAGCTCCTCTCAGTGATCTATCATCTCCATACGCAATGTCGTTGAATAAGCCAAGGGATGTTGAGAGTTTTCAAAATTTTTTCATAAGCACGCGTTTTGGTTTTACACAATGTGTAATACAGCTGTATGTTTATTAAACGGGTGATCTCTTCATGGGCAAGTAATAAATTGTAATTCATACATCTTCGCGACTCTTTATAGTTCCCAACAATATCCCAGTACTCTTGTGTCTTTAGGGGGCATGGGTTGCCAGGTCGTCTAAGGCACCGCGATTCGTCCCTTGGGAACGCCAGAAACCTATGGTCGTGGGTTCGATTCTCGGTTCGCCCTGATGAATTTTCTTGGTTTGTCAGCACCATACATGTGCTTGTGGGTTTCTCCGATGTGGTAAACATTTTAGACCTGAATAATTTCTTGCTTTCCTCCCACATTAAGCTGACACGCCGTGATATAACTGGAATACTGTTAAAAGCGTCATTCAAACCCAACTCACTCTTATGTCTTTGTGACCTGTGTGGTCACAATGGGATAGTGGACCAGCTGCTTGACATCAACCTTCTCTCTACTTGTAGGCGTGTATAGACAGAGAGTGCTACCCGTCTCCCCTCAACTATTACGGCTTCCCAAAGTCATGTTGCACGTAAGTCATCATATTTCAATACTTTTGTTGTCAAAACCTGATTTGATCTACACCTCAGCTGACGTATAGGATCTGTTTTTGATGGCTCTTTTGAAAGTACAAACTAGAGATGCCAATGTAGAAGGGCTTGAAACATGGCTTGTGTCTTGTTAGTGACCTGTGTGAAGCTAATACAGAGGATTGGCTTTGGTTATTAAAGTTAGAGTTTTACATGTTGTAAGGATACACTTTGTTGCAGTATGATATAATACTAAACAAATCTGGGTTAATAAATAGTCCCCAACAACTTATGCTGGTCGTAAGAGGCGACGGGTGGTAAAATTCCGTAAATTGACTGATGTTGTGTCCTTGTACCCTGAAGGCATGGATTATGCTCACAATGTCAATCACTGGATTGTCTGGTCCAGACTTGATTATTAACAGGCCGCTGTCATTTTGCTGAATATAGCTGAATGCGTCATTAAATAACAAACGCACACACTTCCTTTTTTAGGAAACATATTTATCAGTGGGATTTACTAGAATTTCAACCAAAACATTGTGGGTAAGCTTGTGTCAAATGAAATAGCGATGACTTGAGAACCCTTGCACATATCATCATCATCATCATCGTCATCATCATCATGAGGGCACTAATGGAAGATGTTAAATAGGCTGAATGATACGTTGATCATGACGAGAACACACCTGAAGATGAGGTAGATCTTTCTAGTTGCAACCATTGTGTCCACAGGTCGGTCAATGAAGTTATCTGTCATGGAATTCCAGATTTGCGTCCTCTACAAGATGGGGACATAATGAACAGTGAGTAGGAACAGTAAGCTTCAGTCTCATTGCAATCAGGTCCTTTATTCTGAAGTGATACCTCTCTATCCACAACAATGTAATTGCACGACTTTTATTGTTTCCTTTTGGTACTGCCTGATTATGTTTTTCAGCGAAAATGTAACTCCGGGATTCCAGCCTAGCTGGGCAAGATGGGAAACTGGACTTCTATGGTCAGTTAACTCCCTTGCCTTGGGAAGATGGATGTTTAGAAAAACACCTACCCCCCTCCCTGCGTCTCTCTAGCGTGTTCATTACAGCCCTCTCTCGTTCTCCATGTTTACAAGCTCCCAGTGTATAACACTAGTTTCATCCCAACCCTCAACCACTCATCATACTTTCACAAACGCTGCATAAAGAGGGTTTCAACCTCAAACGATTATTCGTGCATAATATATGTCTACATTGCATATTTCCCACATGAATAAGTTCAACTTGATATAGACCGCCTCCGTGGTCTAGTGGTAGAGCGTCTGCTTGGAGGGCGGAAGGTCCAGGGTTCGATCCCTGGCCGCATCATACCAAAAGACGTTAAAAGATGGTACTTGTTGTTACCCTGTCTGGCGCTCGGCATTAAGGGCTGGTCGGCTCGGAGTCAGTATACTGTGTCTGAGTGGGGTATTCATGTTAAACTGCGGCATGGTATCTCAGTGTGCTAGCACTATAAATCTCAGTCATCAGTCCGGACTAGTACAAGCAGCCACACAAACACACACACACACACACGTGCATGCACGTCGCTATGTAAGTGCAATAATCTTGGACGCGACGTTAAACCCCATTTCACCTCACCTTACCTCAACTTGATATAATTCATCAACCTTAGCTTTCATCTCATAGAGGGAAACATAGTTGTAAGTAGTGTTTCTGTGTGGCGACCTCTCCATCACAACTGTATGCTGAGAAAGTGAATCATCTAAACTAGGATACCATGCATCAGCTGTTTCAATAATTACCTGCGTTGTCACAGCATGTCCTGTCGGTCTATACAACACAATGTATGTTATTCATTAATCACATATGCCTTGGAAGAATTTGTGTAGGGGAGGTAATTCTACTCAATCGATTCAGATGTCCAGAAACTCGTTTATCCAGACACTATATGAGAATACAAGTGTCCGGATAAGCGAGGTTTGACTGTACATGTATTGAAACATCTTTTGCAATGTATTAAATTTGAAATGTGTGGTTGTGTAGGGAATTACTAGTTGATGATTAAGTCTGAACATATATTGTTTGTAATCTTTAGGTATTTGAGATTTGCTGTATTTCATGGGTTTAATAATTTTTTCAATAGAAACTGGACGAAAAAAAGAAAAAAAAAGGGTGGGAAAACATAAGTGGCATATAGAACCTGTAGAAATTAAAGGAGAGACATAAATATTTCAAATTCTTTATTCTTTCCATGGGATGTTTCTGTTCATGTGCTTGGACCTTTGTCTAGGGAGAGAAGTGTTTCAGAGACGTAGTTTAGGACTGCATTTTGGGATGCAGACTTGTCTCCTGAGACAGGGATATGCTTCATCCTTCCACATAACACATGTGTCCCGACACTTTCAGAACTGTTTCCCTCATTTGTATTTCCCTTTACTTCCAGTTGACATCACTGTTTGTCATGGTGGTTACCATGGGGATCTGAATGAGACATTTTTTGTGGGAGAAGTTGATGAAAAGAGCAAGAAATTGGTGAAAACAACGCATGAGTGTCTCCAGCATGCAATAGAGGAAGGTAGAGTCATGCGAATTTGAATATATTTGTATTTTGGTTAGAATTTGTACCAAAAAATATGTATGGAGCCAGAATAGCGTACCTGCTATGGCTAACAAAAATGTGGAATCATTGACACAAGTTGATAAGAAAGTCTCCCAGTGGGGATTCCGGGTTAGATGTGGTTCCTATCAACCTATGCTGGTCGTAAGAGGTGTTCAAATGAATCGGATGGTCAGACTCGGTTACTTAGTTGATAGCGTGTCATCGTAGTCTGTGGAATGTTTTTGACAATATAAAACACTGGATGTCTGGTCCAGGCGTGATAATTTACAGACCGTTGTCATATAGCAGGAACATTGCCAAGCCATGGAAACTCAATAATTCTTTGTTTGTTTCTTTTCATCATAAATTCTTCAGTTTCCTCTGTGAAACAAATTATCCATTTGGGAGGGAGGTGATGAGAATTTGGAAAAGGGCATCATCTTTGTTACAGTGCAGTCCCTCTTATGAATGAATGCCTTGTGTTTCAGTGAAGCCTGGCGTCCGGTACCGGGAAATAGGCAATGTTATACAGAAACACGCTCAAGCCCACGGCTACTCAGTCGTTAGAAGTTACTGTGGACATGGAATCCATCAGTGAGTTACAGTCTGTGTCTCCTGGTCTTGTTCACTGCATTCCACATATTACAGGGATTTATCAAGGATTCATACTAATGTCCTCATCAGTCAAATTGGGATAAAATCTATATATTATATTCAAATTTGGGATTTTTTGAAGTTGTCATCTTCTTTGATTCCGAATTTCCACATTGTATTTAAGTTTGCGTGATTCCAAAGTTCCACATTGTATTTAACTTTGTGTGATTCCGAAGTTCCACATTGTATTTAACTTTGCGTGATTACGAAGTTCCACATTGTATTTAACTTTGCGTGATTCCGAAGTGCCACATTGTATTTAACTTTGCGTGATTCCGAATTTGCCACATTGTATTTAACTTTGCGTGATTCCGAAGTTCCACATTGTATTTAACTTTGCGTGATTCCGAAGTGCCACATTGTATTTAACTTTGCGTGATTCCGAAGTGCCACATTGTATTTAACTTTGTGTGATTCCGAAGTGCCACATTGTATTTAACTTTGCGTGATTCCGAAGTTCCACATTGTATTTAACTTTGCGTGATTCCGAAGTTCCAAATTGTATTTAACTTTGCGTGATTCCGAATTTCCACATTGTATTTAACTTTGCGTGATTCCGAATTTCCACATTGTATTTAACTTTGCGTGATTCCGAAGTGCCACATTGTATTTAACTTTGCGTGACTCGAAGTGCCACATTGTATTTAACTTTGCGTGATTCCGAAGTTCCACATTGTATTTAACTTCAATGCATTTATGAAAGGATGCTTGAAATGATACCAATGTGTTTTAATTAGTATATTGTAAACACTAGCCTGAGATTGTGATAAGATTTTTGTGTTTTTCATCCAAGGGGCACTTTGTGATTACAGCAACAAAAACATAATTGTAGAGTTTAATTGTTTTGTACATTTGTTTTTAACATCCATCAAGGTTTCGAAAACATTCTGTAAATAAAGAAATAAACAAAGAATGATGTAAGTAATGGATGGCACCTGGTGTAGACAGGGACACTCCACAGCACCCCTCTGAATACATTGTACCGTGTTGTGTTCCAGACTGTTCCACACTGCGCCCAGCGTTCCTCATTATGCAAGTAAGTGTAATCTGTTGTGCAGTACAGAAGGATTTTAATTGTGAGAGTAGCAATAACCAGTCTACATACCATGTCTAGCACTGGAAGCAAAAGTCAGACCAAATTGATAGCCCTGTCACCCGTGAAGATCTGGGTTAGAACTGGTCCTTAGCAACCTATGCTTGTCGTAAGAGGCAACTAATGGCATCAGGTGGTCGGGCTCGCTGACTTGGTTGATGCATGTCATCATATCCCAATGGCGTAGTTTGTTGTTCATTATGTCAATCACTCAAGCAGTCCTAGTGCCAAGACAATCCTCAGTTCCCTTGCTGTACAGACACCACAGTCACAGCACCAGGATAGCTTTATCAGGACAACATCTTCGCTACACTCTTACTATAGAAGGAAATGCTGTGAAGAGTAACTGCAGTAATGTTAATCTGTTCCATATGATCCTAGAAAGCAGAATATAACAAAATCTGTTGTGGGATTGTCAAATATGCATGACATGTGCACAGTTATGTTTCTAGTATGTATTGATTTGTATCACAATACAGTCTCCTGTTGTGACGTGTTTCTCCTTTTGTAACATGTTTCTCCTTTTGTGACATGTTTCTCCTTTTGTGACATGTTTCTCCTCTTGTGACGTGTTTCTCCTTTTGTGACATGTTGCTCCTTTTGTGACATGTTTCTTTTTTTGTTGCGTGTTTCTCCTTTTGTGACATGTTTCTCCTTTTGTGACATGTTTCTCCTCTTGTGACATGTTTCTCCTTTTGTGACATGTTTCTCCTCTTGTGACTTGTTTCTCCTTTTGTGACATGTTGCTCCTTTTGTGACATGTTTCTTTTTTTGTTGCATGTTTCTCCTTTTGTGACATGTTTCTCCTTTTGTGACATGTTTCTCCTCTTGTGATATGTTTCTCTTGTGACATGTTTCTCCTGTTCTCATGTATTGGCCTGTTTCTTCTGTTGTGAAATACTGATGTACGTTTGATGTGTGGTGTTACAGAGAATAAGGCTGTTGGTGTGATGAAGCCGGGACACTGCTTTACTATAGAGCCCATGATCTCAGAAGGTAAGACAGCAAGTGGTAGACAGCACTCATCCTACAGGAGGATTCTCATTCAAATCACATCTTTCCTCCAATACATCCCCTCTCTGTAGGAAGAACTGACAACCCTTTCGTAGGAGACATCACTTCAGATGATGCGTCCTCATTTAGAGAGTTTGTCAAATCCTCACTAAATATCGTGTTGGAGTAAGGCTAAAAAGAATAATAGTCCTGGTTCTCCATGTTCTCAGGCACCGCCTGCATCATCATAATGTCTGGTGCACGTTTCGTTTTTATTTCCATTCTTCCCCAAAATTGTAAGAAATACTAAAAAAAATGCAATCCAATAAGGCACCCAGTTACTTCCCTTTACATGCGCACTTGTGTTGTGGTCATGGAGGCAATAGGAGTTTGTATGCTTGTTTATGTTGGGAGGCCCTTTCCTAGGTTGATAGTACACAACTGTTTATTTTGTTATATAATGTTACATAAGGTTGGAAGAAGTAGAGATGGCTGGGATGGGCAACAGTGATATTGTTGGGGGATTTCAAGGGGGAGTTGCTAAAGATTCTACTCAACTTTTGATTTATTTTTTGCATACATTTCCTTAAACCCAACAGAAAGTAGTCTGCATATTAGTTTGCTGATTGGCTGATAATAGAGATGGGGGCTTGTGTTTCATTATTGTGCAGAATGATGTCAGTGATTCCGTATCATTGCCTACAGCTTTTTGTGTTATTGTTTAAATAAACAGTCTGTAAAGTTATTTTTGTGACTTATAATGCGGGGGGATATAGCGATCAGCCAGTCTGTCTGTCCGTCCGTCTGTCTGTCCGTAATCATTTCCTTTTCCGGGGCAGAACTCGAAAACCATTCAGTGTATTTGATCGAAACTTGGCAAATCTATCAGTCACATACTGAAGTGGTGCCTTTTGCTATTAAGGAATTTTAGAAAATTTTATTTTTTACGTTTCCATTGCAACAAGTTGGACTTAGGTTCTATAAGGGTTGTGTTCGTTTCCGGAGCTTAAGGGTTGTGTTCGTTTCCGGAGCTTAACTCAAAACCCATTCAATACTTTCCAACAAAACTTTGCATGTCTATCAGACTCATGCTGAACTGTTGCCTCTTGCTCTTTAGGAATTTTAGAATTACATTAAGTAATACGTTACCACTGTTATACCGAGGCTGTTGTCTCCCACAACTGCTGCTATAGCGAAATCTACCACAGAGATCTCAATTACCTCATGCAGCACGTGCGTAGCCACCTAGCTGCCATGTGACACCCTTCACTCTTGTCTCCTTCGTCTGCTTAGCAAGACGTGTTTTCTCCTGCTGAAGCGTTCCTTGAAGATTTGGTGATATTTATTATAGTTTATTATCTAATAAACTGTGCTTTTATGGGGCGTTGCGGTAGCTACGCTTGGTTATAATTTTCCCGCCAAACGGAAAATTTTTCCCGCCCTTTTTTCTATATACTTGCGGGGTTCGCGTATGCACGTTGTGTTTTACGTTTCCCCTGTTCTTGTATGTTTTGGGGGTTAACATAACTTATTTCTTTAATAAAAGTTATATGTGTATGTTATATGTTCACATTGCTCGTTTATTTTCTTGTGAAAATGTTCGTTTGTGAATCATTGTGGTGCGTGCGTTGTAACCATGTTTTGTTCTTTGTTTATAGCAAACAATCAATGTCTGACATGGATATGTCCCCAGTATCCACCCCCTCTACCCCTGCTCCTCGGAGTTATGGGGTGTGCAGAAAGTTTTTGTCGTCCCGGGATCCCCACGTTCGTTGCCCGCGGTGCAGGGTTCCTTGCGGGGACACCCGGTGCATCCTGTGCGAAGGTCTGGGGCCTGCGGATTTTGAGCGGTACCGGCTGTACGTACAGTCCGTCTCCACCCCTGTGGTGGCCGGTTCGTCCGGTCGGGGTCCCCGTGCGGGTACCACCTCCTCGGCTGCGGCGGATCCCCTTGCGGCCCTCGGGCTGTCTGGGGATTCCGTCGCCGCATTGTTGTCGAAACTTGTGGCTTCCATGCTGGCGGCCTTATCGCAAGATAGGCCGCTGGCTGTTCCGTCCCCGGCCTCTTCGGTGGCCGCGGGGTCGGACGCGGGGTCCACCGGTAAAGCGGCGGATCTCTTGGCGGCCCGTGTGCTGTCCGGGGATTCCGTCGCTGCATTACTTGCATAACTTGTGGACTCCAAGCTGGCGGCCTTATCTCAGGATAGGCCGCTGGCTGTTCCGTCCCCGGCCACTTCGGTGGCCGCGGGGTCGGACGCGGGGTCCACCGGTACGGCGGCGGCTCCCGTGGTCACCGGTCCTTCCCCCGAACCGTTGCTCCCGCTATCGGTTTAGGACCGCGTGGCCATGGTTTATGACCTCTTTGAGGACATGCCCCGGCCGGTACCGCGGGGAATCCACGACTGTGGGTTCCTCCGAGGTATACGATGAGTCTTCCGACTCGGCTTTCCCCGCATCAACCTTGCTGCGCGGTTTCAAGCCTTCCTTGGAGAACGCCTTCGCGGCGGCCTCCGGTCGGGGTCTCCCGTTGCCTCCGACGTCGTGGAGAAAGGGTTTATTCCCGGTACATGACCTTGCCTTTCCCGAGGCTGGTCCTACCGCGGAGGCCCATGTTGAGCGGTTGGGTGTCCGTGCCCCACCGGCTGCTACGGTAACGCAAGCTACCTTGCACCAGCTGGACGCCCTCGCTCGGCACTCCATGTCTCACGGAGACACTTACTTGGCTGCAGCGGCCCGTCTGGTCGAAGGTTCTCCCACGGACCGTGACCAGCGCATTTACAACTGCCTGCTCAGTTTAAATGCTTGCCTGGAGTACGTTGCCGAGGACTCTCGGCACACACTTGCTCTTGTTGGGTCCCTGCATAGGCGCCTGGGTGCCGCTCCTAACCGGAGCGCGCCCCAGGCTGCTGCGGCCGGTAGGTCTAAGGGGTCGGGTTCTTCTTCCTCTGGGAAGTAGCCCCGCCCTGAGGGCTCCGGTATGGGCAATCAGCTGCCCTTTCGCGGGAAAACGGGGAACTGGGGGAAGCCCAAGTCGTCGACGGACGGCAAGGGCCCCTCCAGGTGACTCTCATTGGAGGGGTTCGTATGCCGACAGCGCCAACTTCGGTTGGCCCTTAGGCGAACCCGAGTCACTTGGCCCTGGACAGTTGCGCCTGTCGCAACCTGTCAGGGCCCCCTCTCCTTCCCCAGTGGGAGCCAGACTCCAGACTTACTGGGAGAATTGGGAACAAGTGTTCGACGACCCGTGGGTGGTCAACACGATTCGGTACGGCTATCGGCTTGATCTCAAAGCGAATCCGCCGCTCACCGTTGCCCCGTTGGCAGGTTTCGATTCGGAAACCGATCTTCCCATCCTCGCCGATGCCATCGGCAGGTTGGTGGAGAAGGGGCAGTACGGGAGTTAGCTCTACCAGAAATAACACCGGGGTTTTACTCCAGGATATTTCTCGTTCCCAAGTAGGACAGTGCCGAACTCAGAATGATTCACACGTCCGCTCCCTGGCTGTTCACCCGGTTAACCACCCCCATAGTGGGGTTCCTCCACAGGAGGGGTGTCCGGTACTTCGCGTACCTGGACGACTCGCTAGTAGCAAATCGAATGACGGACACCCTGTCACGCCATCTCGATTTCGCACGTCGGCTCTTGGAGCAATTTGGGTGGATTATCAATCTCCCCAAGAGCGAGTTAACCCCTTCTCAGAACTTGCTGTTCATCGGAGGTCGGTTCAACACGGTGTCCCATCGCCTCTTTGTCCCCCCAGACCGGTGGCACAAAATTCAGGCGATGATTGCCAAAGTCTTAGCGGTGCAACAGACTGTTCCCTTTTGGGAACAGCTGTTAGGGCTACTTGTATCAGCCCAGGACTGCACCGCACGGGGTCGTCTCCAACTCCGCCCGCTGCAACGGTTTTTAATCCAGTTGTTAGCAACGGAGGTGAACAGTGCGACCGTCGCCCTCCCGGATCGGCTCCGACCGCATCTGGAGTGGTGGACGGTCCCTTACATTGTCTTATCAGGAGTCTCTATGCGGCCCTACCGGGCCACGTTGACCCTGTATACAGACGCCTCTCTAGTGGGCTGGGGCGCCCATCTAAAGGGGGAGGTGAGCTCGGGGCTGTGGTGCTTAGACGAACTAGGTCTTCACATCACTTGTCTCGAGTTCAAGGCAGTGATCAACGCAGTCAATCACTGGAAGCATCGTCTCGTCGACGCCCGGCTCATGCTGGCGACCGACAACACGACGGTAGTGTCCTATGTGAACAAACTGGGGGGAACCCACAGTCACTCGCTACTCGATCTCACGTTCGAGTTTTACGCTCTGGTGGACAGTGTCCCGTGCCAGATACGCGCCCGTCACATCCCAGGTGTGCGGAACGTACTGGCCGATGCTCTATCGAGGCCTCAGGATCCGAGCCCCACAGAGTGGATGCTGAACCCAGTAGTGTTTCAGTGGCTGTGCGAACGTTTGGGTCGTCCGATGGTCGACCTGTTCGCAACGCGGTTCAACAATCAACTCCCGTTGTTTGTATCACCAGTCCCGGTCCCGAGGGCCATCGATCACGATGCTCTCGCGTTAGACTGGACGGGCTTGGTCGCTTATGCTTACCCGCTGACAGCGTTGATACCACACATTCTAAGCCGGCTCCGAGGAGTTCGCTGTCGAATGTTACTGATCGCGCCCATGTGGCCGAACAGATCGTGGTACCCCGACTTGCTGACCCAGGTCACGCAGTCGCCACTTCCACTGCCTGTGAGACCGGATCTCTTGATCCACCCTCACACCCGTCAGCTTCATCCAAACGCAGGGCAGTTCAATCTGCACGCGTGGATGTTGTCACCGAGCGTCTGAGGAGTAAAGTTTTTTCTCGCCGGGCGTCTCGGGCATACGTTAGTATGCATCGTGATTCTACCCAGAAGGTGTATAATGCACGTTGGGTTATTTTCACGAAGTGGTGTTGTAAACATCACATTCATTCGCCAGATAAGGTATCTGTGCAGGATATTGCTCGTTTCATGTCTCACTTGCGAGAGACCCGGAAACTCTCCGGGGGTTCCATTGCCAACTATGTCTCGTCCGTTGCTATGGGTACCAGTCTCTCCAAAGAGCCGGTGATACGGGGTATTATCAAGGGTTTCAAACAGCACGATCTTAAGAAGGGCCGCCTTCGGGCACCGGCCTGGGATCTTTCCCTAGTGTTGCAATCACTTACGGAAGCTCCGTATGAACCCTTGCATAGTGCTTCGTTCCGGCATGTGACTTGGAAAACAGCATTTCTCCTCTCCTTTGCCACGGCGGCACGTGTATCCGAAATTCATGCACTCGATGTCGCCAAGGTACGATTCGATAGGGGTGACGAAGGAGCGGTCCGCCTGGGCCTGCTCATGGGCTTCGTCGCCAAGAATCAGAGAGTCGGGCAAACGGAGAGAGAATTCACTGTAAGATCACTCAAAGAAATCTTACATCCTGCTGATACTGAGGACAGAGCGCTGTGTCCGGTTAGGGCCCTTAAGTATTATCTTAAGGCTTCGAATGAACGTAGACAAGGGCGTGACCGTCTGTTCATATCGTGTAACCCTAATCGCACGGTTGACATACCTCGCAACTCGATTGCGTTGTGGCTTCGTTCTGTCATCAATCTGGCGTACCGGTCTCGGGGGTTACCGGTAGCGGGGTCAAACCCGCACGAGATCAGGGCGCTAGCGGCAACATTTGCCCTACACTCGAATATCTCTGTTCGCAGAATATTACGAGGTTGTTACTGGCGTTCTGACTCGGTTTTTGCCAATCATTACCTCAAACAGGTCGCTGATGCCGTCGTGGAGAGTGTGCACCGTCTTGGCCCGCGGATCGCGGCGCAAGCGGGCACCTAAGGGGTGTGCCCAGCGCAATTCCGAACTCCTCAGGCGTCTGACCTTGCACGGTGGTCAATCTGGGTCTACTCCAATGTTCCCACTGCCGTGGGTACAGGAGTTGGGGTCCCGCAAACCAGCGCACTCACACCACAGGTGAGGGCGGCTTTTTGTGTGCTTTGTCCTTATTTGTATTTTGACAATTATGTCTTTAATTGTCTGTCGTGTATCCCAACCTTGTGATGCATGCTTACAAATACTGGAATTAGGTCACGCGCCTAATGCATACTTTAAGTAGGCTTGCTCTGGGATATACGGTCTGAATGAAATTAATTTCCCTCTTTTCGACTGTTTAACCTGATCTAAGATTAAGCTCACGCGGATACAGTGTTCTCATCCGCTGCGGCGATGAAATACCTATCCAGTGGGGCCGTTTGGAGTCACCAATCGTTTTGGCAATGACGATTGAGCCTTACGGTATGCGCTTGACAGTGCTTTGGTATTCCTATAGGGTAACGCCTAGCTAGGTGCATGCGCATCGAGTGCTTCCGCCTTGGTGTTTACTTCCGCTGGTCGGAAGGAACGCTAGCAGTCAGGATTCGGGTTGTAGGTGCTCCCCACCGCCTACTGTGGTAGTCAGCCTCGGTATAACAGTGGTAACGTATTACTTAATGTAATTTGTAGAATTTTCCTATTCGGAATATTCTATAAGTAATACGTTACCACTGGGCTGCTGCCCGCCCGTCCGTCCCCCGAGCACTTGCTCTCGCAGGAGACAAGAGTGAAGGGTGTCACATGGCAGCTAGGTGGCTACGCACGTGCTGCATGAGGTAATTGAGATCTCTGTGGTAGATTTCGCTATAGCAGCAGTTGTGGGAGACAACAGCCTCGGTATAACAGTGGTAACGTATTACTTATAGAATATTCCGAATAGGAAAATTCTACAAAATTTTTATTTTTTACGTTTCCATGGCAACAAGTTTGACTTAGGTTCTATAGGCTAGAGTTCGTTTCTGAAGCATAACTCAAAAAACGTTAAATACTTTTTTACAAAATTTTGCATGTCTACCTGGCACATACTGAACTGGTGCCTTTTGATATTTAGCACTTTTAGAAATTTGTATTTATTTATGTTTCTATGGCAACAAGTTGGATTTAAGTTATAGGGTGGGTTCACTTATGGAGTATAACAAATAAACTGTTAAATATGTCAAACATTGCATGTCTATATATAAAGCACATGAACTGGTGCCATTTGTTATTAAGGAGTTTTAGAAATGTTTATTTTTGAATTTCCATTGCAGCTATTTTGACATGGGCTAAGAGAAATGTTGGGTCAGTTACCTGGTTTGGGACCTAACGTGTTATAATGGGCGGGGGATATAGATGACTTCGTTGACTTGATGCTTTTTTAGTTATTGTTTCTTGTAAGTTGTCATTTGTTTGCATAAAAAAACCCCACAGAAACACACTTGTTTTACTTTCCATTTCATATGGATGCGACCATGGTGGATCTTTTGTTGGTAAACAATGTATGCTTCTTCAAGAACATTCAACTCTTGACTCATTACATACAGAATTGCACATTTACTTGTGGTTACTTTACAGACGGCTGCCGGGGGGATATGTCATCTTTCTGATGACTCTTGTTTATTTATAAAAAATGACTTCATTAGGTTTTTGAATCTATGAAGTTACGTTCTCAATTCTTATATAGCAAAAATGTCCCTGTCAAATGTTGACTAGTATATTGCTAAAACCTCACAAGGAAGTTGATACCTTGTCCCAGAATACAACAGAAAATCATCTCCGCCCCTAAGAGTGAGTAGCCCTTACTACTCATAAACATTGGGGACCCGTGAAGATCTGGGGTAGAATAGCTCTTCAGCAACCCATAAAAGGTGACTATGCTTGTCGTAAGAGGCGACTAACGGGATTGGGTGGTCAGACTCGCTGACTTGGTTGATGCATGTCATCGTATCCCAATCGTGTTGATCCATGCTCAGGATGTCAATCACTGGATTGTCTGGTCCAGACTCAATTATTTACAGACCACCGTCTGGAATATTGCTGAGTGCGGCGTTAAACAACAAACAAACAAACAAACATAAACATTGGGTGTATGTCCACAACAGAAGTTGATGTCCATGAAAACCCCTTGTTATCCTCACTTGTGATTACAGGAACATGGAGGGATGAAATGTGGCCAGACAACTGGACTGCTGTGACACAAGATGGCCGCCGGTCAGCACAGTTCGAACACACTCTGCTCGTCACAGAAACTGGCTGTGATGTCCTGACCAGGAGGCTTGACAAGGATGGACAACCTCATTTCATGGACAAGATGTAATGGCAGACTGGCTGCTGTTTTATGGGATGATAGTGTGTGGAACTATTTTATTGTGGAGCAATATACACACCTTCATGTGATGTCATGTATCCTTGCACTGACCACATCACCTGGCTGGAGAAGTCATGTCTGTCATTGAAGGTTGTCCAGGTGTATATTTGTTTGGGATTTGGTTGAAAAGAGTATCAATTATCGTGAAAGTGGAAACAATTTTTCATAAATAAAGTAGCGATTTTTTGCATTTTTCATCATTGATGGGCATTTTACGAAGAATCTTGGTATAGCATTATCCAGTTTCAAAGAAAGTTTAAGTTGTATACACCAGCTTGGCTTCACTTATATAATGGACAGCCATTGTTGATGGGATGGAGGAGGGTCGGATGGAGAGGTAAATTTGATTTATGAATCAGTGGCATTGAAATTAAATGGATGATAAATGTGTACATGACTGGTCACGAAATATGACTTGAAACTATTTAAATGTATTAATAGCAGTCAGTTATGCTACAGAGGAAGATTCTGGAGTATGAGCTCAACTGGTCTCAACTGGCATGTGATAACTCCCAATATTTAATAATGGATTTATGCAACAGTGTAGGGCCACATAGGAACACTTGTGTCACATTGTTATGACTCACATCCCTAGAAGGGGCACTTGTGTCACATTACCATGACTCACATCCCTAGAAGGGGCACTTGTGTCACATTACCATGACTCACATCCCTAGAAGGGGCACTTGTGTCACATTGTCATGACTCCCATACCTAGAAGGGGCACTTGTGTCACATTGTCATGACTCACATACCTAGAAGGGGCACTTGTGTCACATTGTCATGACTCGCATACCTAGAAGGGGCACTTGTGTCACATTGTCATCACTCGCATCCCGAGAAGGGGCACTTGTGTCACATTGTCATCACTCGCATACCTAGAAGGGGCACCTGTGTCACATTGTCATGACTCGCATACCTAGAAGGGGCACTGGTGTCACATTGTCAGGACTCGCATACCTAGAAGGGGCACTGGTGCCACATGGTGATGGCTCACATCTCCACACAGTTGGTCCTGTGGTGTAAGCCACTGCAATTAGCTATGCAGAGTTCTGTTCCCTAGCTGTACCAGGATGAGCTGGTCATGTGTTCGAATCCTGTTTTGACCTGATTACGATCCTTGGTCTGTCAACACTAGATCTGTGCTTGTGGATTTCACCTGAGCGTAAACATCTATCAACTATGTCTATTTTTACCTTGCTTTGTCATTAAACCGATACTCCATAATGCAACTGAAACACATCTTCCCGAGGCAAGAGAGTTAACTGACTATAAAAGTCCAGTTTCCACCCTTGCCGAACTAGGCTGGTATTATGGAGTCCATGCATAGTCCAACCAAAATCGCGCAATGAAATCGAAATCCGGTTCGTAAACTGTCATGCAGATTTCGGTCGATTGCAGGATTTGCAAAACCTGTGCACTGCCAACTCAGTGTCAACAGATAATTTCCAAATCTTTTCGTGTTTTTAATCAAGGTGCTCACGTGACTTGATGCACTTCGCGATGTAAGATCCGTTTTATCACAATAAAGATCTTGATTACCAATCTGAACGTCTTGACTGGGTGCCGCCATTTTGTTTGAAGCAAATGCAAGTGATACGAGGGGTGGAATCTGATTGGCCCATAGGAGAGGCTTAGAAGGGACATAATTCGTAATAGCCACTGGGCAGGAATTCCAGCGTAGTTCGGCAAGGATGTAAACTGGACTTTTAAAGTCAGTTAACTCTCTTGCCTTGAGAAGATGACTGAAACATGGCACTCCAATATAGCAGTATTGCTGTTCAAAGCAGCATTGACACCCACCTCATGTCACCAGTTGAGCAGACATCTGAAAGTGTTCTGTACACACTTTGTGCTGTACAAGACAGCAAGGGCTTCATTTAGAAATGGATTATTCACACTCTGTAAAGTGAACTTTAATCAGTTCTCATTCAGACACCACAGGAAACCCCCAAAATTACAAAAAAACACTTTTCAACCATAAACGTTTTACATCTTTTGTAAGTGTGTGCTTCTGGCTGATTGCTTGGGATTTTACTGGATGCTCACACTATCAACCAATGGACTGCTTGGCATAACACAACATGCATTCATTTAATCTGTCTTCATTCTTAAGGCAATTAATCAGCTCATCTTATTAATCTCAGTGCTAGAATGTGTCAAATCCTGTCTTGCAATTGGCTTGATTAATTGCATGTTACTCATTGTCCAATATGTATTAATATCAATTGCTTGAATAAAATAAACCAAAACTTGCAGCTGGACGAAGAATCAAAGTTTAAACTTTTAATATGTAACCACGGTAACACCTGTTGTATTTGTGACATGTAGCTTTGTTCATTGACTGTACATATACCTCATCAACACAGGATTAAATGGACAGTGAAGATATCAAATCTTGTATCTGTTTTGTAAAATTATTTTGTACATTTAATGAGAGCAAAGGCGGTTGGGTAGCCTAGTGGTTAAAGCATTTGCTCGTCACGCGGAAGACCCGGGATCGAGTACCGACATGGGTACAATGTGTGAAGCCCATTTCTGGTGTTCCCCACCGTGATATTGCTGGAATATTGCTAATAGCGGAGTAAAACCATACTCACTCACTCACTTATGAGAGCAAGGCTTATGCCACTTCTAACAATATTCCTGCAAATCCATGATGGGGGAGGGGCGATTGGGTAGCCTAGTGGTTAAAGAGTTCGCTTGTCACGCCAAACACCCGGGTTCGATTCCGGACATGGGTACAATGTGTGAAGCCCATTTTTTGTGTCCCCTGCCGTGATGTTGCTGGAATATTGCTAAAAGCAGCGTAAAACCATACTCACTAACTCACGACGGGGGATACCAAGCATGGGCTCACAGATGGGGGAATCAAACCCCACTCTTACATGGGAACTATGGATGCTTGACCTCAAGGCTGACCAACTGGAAATGAATCAGCGATACAGGATCTCCATAAGTGAATACACATTGAATATTGCAGTGTTGGGTCCTGCATGGCAACCATGTCAACATGTTGTTAGCATCTCACTGAGTAGAGGCTGAGTTTCAGGGCCTCCTTCTACAAAACTATGACTGTTTGAGGTTGTTTTGATGCATGCGAGTTATGATTGTGTTTGAGCTAAGATTGCTTTGTGGAATTGGGCCCAGGACATCTTGAATCATACACCTGTAATACCTGACTGCAGGTAGCATATTTTTAATAAATCAGCATGCTGCGTGACATCGTGCCCCCACTTGGGACCATCATTCCCTGACTCCATGCCAGCGTGCCCTGACTGCCTGCCATATCGTGCCCACTCTGTGAACCATGGTGCCCTGACTGTATGCCAGCATGCCAACACTAGGGACCATCATGCCCTGACTGTGTGCCACACTAGGGACCATCATGCCCTGACTGTGTGCTATGATGCCCTGACTCTGAGCCACTGTGAACCATCATGCCCTGACTGTGCTATTGTTCCATGATGCCCTGACTGTGGACCATGATGCCCTGACTGTGGACCATGATGCCCTGACTGCTATTGTGCCATGATGCCCTGACTGTGGACCATGATGCCCTGACTGTGGACCATGATGCCCTGACTGTGTGCTATTGTGCCATGATGCCCTGACTGTGGACCATGATGCTCTGACTGTGGACCATGATGCTCTGACTGTATGCTATTGTGCCATGATGCCCTGACTGTGGACCATGATGCCCTGACTGTGGACCATGATGCCCTGACTGTGGACCATGATGCCCTGACTGTGTGCTATTGTGCCATGATGCCCTGACTGTGGACCATGATGCTCTGACTGTGGACCATGATGCCCTGACTGTGAGCCACATTGGGGACCATCATGCCCTGACTGTGTGCTATTGTGCCCTGATGCCCTGACTGTAGACCATCATGCCCTGACTGTGTGCTATTGTGCCATGATGCACTGACTGTGAGCCACACTGGGGACCATCATGCCCTGACTGTGTGCTATTGTGCCCTGATGCCCTGACTGTGGACCATCATGCCCTGACTGTGTGCTATTGTGCCATGATGCACTGACTGTGGACCATCATGCCCTGACTGTGTGCTATTGTGCCATGATGCACTGACTGTGGACCATCATGCCCTGACTGTGTGCTATTGTGCCATGATGCACTGACTGTGGACCATCATGCCCTGACTGTGTGCTATTGTGCCATGATGCACTGACTGTGGACCATCATGCCCTGACTGTGTGCTATTGTGCCATGATGCACTGACTGTGAGCCACACTGGGGACCATCATGCCCTGACTGTGTGCTATTGTGCCCTGATGCCCTGACTGTAGACCATCATGCCCTGACTGTGGACCATCATGCCCTGACTGTGTGCTATTGTGCCATGATGCCCTGACTGGACCATCATGCCCTGACTGTGGACCATCATGCCCTGACTGTGTGCTATTGTGCCCTGACTGTGGACCATCATGCCCTGACTGTGTGCTATTGTGCCCTGATGCCCTGACTGTGGACCATCATGCCCTGACTGTGTGCTATTGTGCCATGATGCACTGACTGTGGACCATCATGCCCTGACTGTGTGCTATTGTGCCATGATGCACTGACTGTGGACCATCATGCCCTGACTGTGTGCTATTGTGCCATGATGCACTGACTGTGGACCATCATGCCCTGACTGTGTGCTATTGTGCCATGATGCACTGACTGTGGACCATCATGCCCTGACTGTGTGCTATTGTGCCATGATGCACTGACTGTGAGCCACACTGGGGACCATCATGCCCTGACTGTGTGCTATTGTGCCCTGATGCCCTGACTGTAGACCATCATGCCCTGACTGTGTGCTATTGTGCCATGATGCCCTGACTGGACCATCATGCCCTGACTGTGGACCATCATGCCCTGACTGTGTGCTATTGTGCCCTGACTGTGGACCATCATGCCCTGACTGTGTGCTATTGTGCCATGATGCCCTGACTGTGAGCCACTGTGAACCATCATGCCCTGACTGTGTGCTATTGTGCCCTGATGCCCTGACTGTGTGCTATTGTGCCATTGTGCCCTGACTGTGGACCATCATGCCCTGACTGTGTGCTATTGTGCCATGATGCCCTGACTGTGTGCTATTGTGCCCTGATGCCCTGACTGCGGGCCACTGGCGACCATCATGCCCTGACTGTGCCATTGTGTTCTGAATGCGTGTCATCATGCCCTGATGTTGGAATGTACCTCATGCTGTCAACCAGTCATTGCCCTGACGGCATCAGAAGCACAAAATACACAAAACAAAACTTCTGAAAAACTGTTTATTATGAACATATAACATACAAATCTAGCATCACCAAAAATAGTCCTTATTGATAAATGCTGAACAACTACAATCATTTTCAGACTGAGAACCAACCAACTCAAACAATTTGTCTAAGTAGGTTTTGGTTCTCAGCACATGAAGCGTATCACCATTCCAGCTTGAACAATGCAGCGAACACGTTTCATGTCGAAGGTGAGACATGATCAATGAAAATATACAGGGATCAGCCCTAGGGAAACGGGAATTAACAATAACATTTTGAAAGATGACCTTTCCCAGTTTGAAGTCTGATCAAGAACAACAACAAAGACTGGTAAGTCAGAACAAAATTCGTCTCGACAGCAGTTGCTCAAAAACAAAAGCAGGAGAGTATTGTCGTGAGGTAAGTAGAGTGTCTTCAAAGGTGTTATATAACTTATCTCCCTTGGATAGCTTTCCATAAAATTGACCACTGATAACTATAAACATGAAATATGCGAGTATTAACCTCCTCAAAACAACAAATATCCATGAATACACAATGCCATTTCGAAAGCAGTCAAATGTGACAAGTGTTATATTTGGGATAACACTCTCTCAGTAAAGTACAGATTCCCAAATATGACACTTGTAAAAAACATCCATGTGGTGACATGGTAGATTACATAACATATATGTTTGGACATAATTTGCTGGCAACGTCACCATGGACCACGTTTGCCTTTGGAGTAACCACACTTTGGGAAGAAGGCATTGGGATGAGACAGGACCGAGGTTGTTAGTTCCAAGACAGTGGAAATCTGGAAAGACTACCGTACCTATTTTCTTCCAAATATATAATTTTACAGATACCACTAGTCAATATGAGCTGTGGAACATTTTCATCTTACTCCTGTTGCCTATTCTTGAAGACAGAAACAGATCTTTCACAAAATAATGTCGCCCAAAAATAATTATTTGTAACTTGTTGATTATGTTATAATAAATCTGTCAATAGTGGGTTCAATCTTGGGCATATAAGGCCTTATGACCAGTGGCTGCCTTTCAGTGGGATCGGGTAGTAAGCTTGCTGATTTGGTTGATGCATTTCATTGTATCCCAATTGCGTACATCGGTGCTCATGATATTAATCATTGGATTGTCTGGTCCAGACTCGAATTTTTACAGACCGTTAGAATATTGTGGTGTTGAACAACAAAGAAAACATTTTGCTTTGTGTCATTTTGGCAGTGTCAGTGATACATTTGGTAGTCATAGCATGACAAAGGATACATGTGATAAAAAACAACAACTACACATCAACAAGAACAATGGTTAAAAGCTACACTCACAAGTACCTCTGTGATGCAATTGTCTTTTTACGTGTAATGAAGTTCTACAGAAACAGTTTGCCAACAGGATTCACTCTCAGTGTGCTGGGCCTGGTCATGGACTGTGAAGATCTGGGGTAAAATAGGTCTTCAGCAACCCATGGTTGCCGTAAAAGGCGACTATGCCTGTCGTAAGAGGCGACTGACGGGATCGGGTGGTCAGGCTTGATGACTTGGTTGATGCATGTCATCGATCTCAATTGCGTGGATCGATGCTCATGATACCAATCACTGGATTGTCTGGTTCAGACTCGATTATTTACAGACCACTGTCATATAGCTGGAATATTGCTAATTGCGGCGTTGAAACAACAAACCAAACCAAACCATGAAGATGAGTTCATGAGCATAACTGGTACATGCTGGTAGGATGTTGTTCTTTATAGAGCAGTTCCAACTACCATGTACCTGTATGCTCGGACAATGTACTCTGTGTCAGTCAGATTCATAGCCAGAGGCCAAGGTGAAATCGTCAATGATACACAGCTGACTCAATTGTACTCCAACTTTACAACAGGTCTTTTCCAAGTGACATTCTTTTAAGGTGTGAGTCTGGTTTTACACCACTTTTAGCAATATCACGCTGCGGACGCCATGGCGGGCTTCCCACATTGCACCAATCAGGTGAATGGGGCCTCAGCGTGACGAGTAAACTCTTTAACCACTAGGCTACCATCATGGTAAGCATGACGACTGATTTCCTTGCATCCCCATGCAGTATGTTTCATATTTGACTCATTGCTAAGTAGCGCAATAGAATGCACAATGACCAAAATCCCTCCTTTTAACAGAAGCAATAAACAAGAAATGCTTTCTGAAATGTTAAAAAAAAATATTAAACACTCCCATAGACATTCTGATTGCTGTAATCACAGGATTGGGTGGTCAGGCTTGCTGACTTGGTTGATGATCATATCCCAATTGCGTGGATCGATGCTCATGATGTCAATCACTGGATTGTCTGGTCCAGACTCGATTATTTACTGACCGCCGTCATATAACTTGAATATTGCTGAGTGTGGCGTTAAACAAAAAACAAACAAATCTGACGTGTGTCTTTCTCACTGTACAAACAATATCTAAAGCATCAACATTCTTATGCCCTGCTTAAGATGAAAATATCACCAATATGAACACAAGGTAACTGAGAAACATAAAACTGACACATTTGTCAACCAGCTAGTAAATTAACTGCAGTGGATACAGCAACAGTGTTGGAGGACATCCCAGCATGAGTACAACATCAACTGATACCAAAGTACAGCAACTTGTTCTCCTTTTGCTCAATATGCATTGAAAGAGTGTTGTTTTTGTAGCTGCCATAATATTTCCTAGTACTGTGATGGGATTCGAACTTCATACCTTCTGATCTGAGGTCAGACGCCTTGTTCACAGACCAAAGATGACTCCACGCCCTGCTACATTTCACAAAGATGTAAACCTAGAGAAATCTAATTCCTGATATATTCTAAATGTACATATATCTACATGCTGTGTAGTTTCCTGACATAGTTAGGCTTGTTGGTAAACAACGGCGAGATAACAGTTTTCATTCAAACATAAACAACATGATCATTGATCACAAAAGTAGGATTCTGTATGTAAATATTCCAGCCTTGTTTCATCGTTCTACATTGCGGAAAAAGAAAGAAAAATCTTTGGCATTTTGTTCATTACGGACAGAGTTTTTGACTTCTGTATTTCAGCATGGAAAGATGATACATGTGAGTAAATAACCCAACTGACAAACGAAGATATACTGACCAGGGTTACATGATATAACATCACACACACAACCTTGTTCTAATGAAGATACTATCCAAGTATAATGTGTTGATTTTGAGCACCAGTAAATCTACAACATTAAGTAGCACCATAAATTATAAACGGACCTCTTCACTGAAATCCCCTTACACAGTGACGAACCCATTATGATCAAGCTGATCCTCCTCTATCTTTTCCTGTTCCTCCAATGTCAAGAAAGTGTCTGTCATCAAAATGTAATTTTTCAGTTTATTTGCAATGGGTAGGGTCATGACCTTGACCTGTGGCCTTGACCCCAAAACAGCTCGGATGTTGCATCGACAGATCTCCTGAAGGAGTCTGGGTTGTTTCAAAGCTTGAGAAAAGAACTCAAGGATGTTCTTCTTACTCTGGGCGCTGTAATGGAACTTGAGTTCTTGGGACTGTTTGAGAATATGATTCAGCATTTTAATGACCTTGAAGGGCATATGGATATAGAACTGGAGCAGCAGTTGCATAAGGTCAAGGTCCTTGTGGGTCAAGGCCAGGAAGAGGGGTTCAAGGGCAAAGTGTGGATGTGGGTCATCCTGCAGGAGACAGCACTTCATGAGTCGTTTTGCCTTGGCATGGGCGTCGACATCGCAGCCATACTGCAGCAAGGTCTTGCTCACAGAGTATTTGTTTTCCTGAATCCCGGCTTGCAGTGCAGTGAGGCCGCCATCGTTCAGCTGAAAATAATGGAATTGTTCATTTTTCCACCTCTTCTCTTATATTTTGTAATACAATTCAAATTAGTGTACATGCATAAGTTACAACACAAGTTGGTGTTTCAGATTTCAGTTTGATATCCGTGTGACAACTGAAAGTAGGTTTTAGGGCTGGGACGAATCCAAATTTACTACCAGGTACCCGACCCCCTATTACCCGACCCTACTCGGGTACCCAGCCCCCTATTACCCGACCCTACCCGGGTACTCACTACAGGTCTCAAGAGTTGGGAACAAAATGTCTAGTTGGTTTACAGCAGCCCTGGCCAATATTATTTTGAAACATGTATCAAACAATCAGATCATGCGTACACTGAAGTTGACTGAACCTTTATCTTTACTCAAACATATACAAGTCAAAAGGAATGTGCGCATCGTCAGAAAGAAATGCGAAAATTAGCGACATGTAGTGTAACAACTGAGCTATAGTGAGTTTTTGTCATTAAACGATATATCATGTGAATAACCATGGGTCCGGGTAGTCCTGTGGGTACCCGGGGCCTACACAGGGTCCGGCCAACCCGAGTACCCGAGTTATCCATCCCTGCCCAAGAAGGTTTTTGATGTTTACCACCCTGCTGAAACCCATGAGTCAGGTATGGTGCTGACAAACCATGGTTCATAATCAGGGTGTAACTGGGATTCAAACCCACTATCAGCAGATCCTGCTACACAAGTACTGACGGCATCCATGAAAATACATCACAGCTAAGCTTGTACACCATTGAGTTGTGCTCAGGATAAGTGAACATGATCTTGAGTATGGCTTCAGCAGCTTTTACAAATAATACATCTATACTTTAGCAGTGGACACCACAAACAGCCATTTCCCTTCACACAATTTGCCTGTGACACACAATTGGGTGACAAGTGGCTGCTCCAATATAACATTACTGCTATACTATCCTGCTTGGTCATATCACACAGCCAACTGATGTTAAAAGCACCGTGTGGGGGTGTATATAATATAGGTATAAAAAATTCAGTACATGTCAATCAAACAACATGACTGAGTAAACACAAGCTATCGTGTCCGAAAACTCTAAACCTGTGAGATTTCTTGTCAAAGTAATTGATATGACCAAGTTTATCGTTCTGAAAATGTTTTTTGTTGTTGTAGATTTTCTGTCCAGTGTAACTGCCAACAATATATATATAATTTACTTAAAACACACACTGAGTGAAGTCAGTTCATCACTGACACTCACAGCATGGAAACGACCAATCTCAGTTATGAAATATGTGTTATTAGAAGTAAATAAAATGTAAAAAACAAAAATGTATGTGTGGTGGACTGTTTCTCAACAAAATGTTGTGTGTGTGTTTAAAATTTGGAGATTTCCAATACTGTTATATCCTAACAGCTATCTTGAGGCTCACTGCTACCATAATATCGCTTTATCGTGCAGCTTTAAACAAACAAACAAACAAACAAACAAACCTAACGCTCACCTGGTCGATGTTGAAATTGGCCTCCACCAGCATCTGAACGATGTTCACGTGGCCATTTACCGCTGCAGCATGGAGGGGGAGGGCGATCGTCTTGATGTCATCTCGGTTGAGACGCGTCTGTTTCAGGATATGAGCTACGATGTCTGTCTTGCCTTTCTCACAAGCATTATGTAGTGGGGTCTGGTGTCGAGTGTTCACACAGTTGATGTCACAACCTGGGGAATGCAGTGTCGTCAGTATACTTTGTATTGTGGACAGCTTTCAGTTTAGTGACTGAACTTACAGTGAGAAAGATGGGTTTAATGCCGCCTTGAACAGTATTCCAGTGTCACAGCATGTCAGCTTCATGAAGGAGGGAAGCCTGAAGTGATGCACGTCTCAGGTGTTTACCACTTGGGTGAAACCCACGTGCATGGTGTGGTGCTGACACATCTAGAAACATAATCGGGGCGAACCAGGATTCGAACCCACAATCATAGGTTTCTGGAGTGTCTAAGGGACGCAACTCTGCTCAGCGAACTGCGGCGCCCTAGACGACTGGGACAGCCATGCCCCTGATTAATCTTTTAAATTGTAATAAAAATGAAAAGAATGATTGCGATTTTGTTGTGGATATCAAATACATCCAGGCATCCAGGAAAATGCTGAATTCTAATTGGGGACTAGGCCTACAGCTATTGTTTGATTGGCTTTTATGTTTGCTGTGTTTATTTATCCTGTGATTCTTAGCTGTCATACATATACTGTTTCTGCTATTTCTGTTAATCCTACAAAAATAACAAAATAGCATACATTGTTGAATGTGTGAAAAGACCTTTGATCTTGACATTGTGATTAATTAAAATAAAAACATTAACAAGGCAAAAAGTGGACAGGGCTCACAAATACCCCTGGCATTTCGACTCTAACATATTTCTAAGTTCAAACCATGACCAGCAAATCACCTTTTCACTCATCTCTTACAATTTAGAAGAATTATGGATGTATTTGGCCCGAGGACCTTTTCGACAAAATCAAACGTACTTTGGTGAACACCCATTCAATTCTTGACACAATACACCTGCCACAAGCAAGCCTGCTATAAACTCTGCCATCTATCACACAGTCATGTTCTACTTGTTGGCAGAATTACCAGAGTTGCATCTTCCCGAGGCAGGGGATTCACTGACTATAAAAGTCCAGTTTCCACCCTTGCCAAATTAAACTGGAATTTCTGGGCTCGATTGTAGCGCCACCAGTGGCTATAATGAGTTATATCCCTTCTCTGTCCCTCCTACTGACCAATCAAATTCCACCCCTCATATTACTTGCATTTGCTTTAAACAAAAGGGCGGCACCCAGTGAAGACAATCTGATCAATAATCAAGATCTATATTGTTATAAAACGGGTCTTACTTTGTGAAGTGCATCAAATCACGTTGGCACCTTGATTAAAAACATGAAAAGATTTGGAAAAATTCGGCATGTTGACGGCACATGTTTTGCAAATCCTGCAATCGACCGAAATCAACATGGCAGTTTACGAAATGAATGTTGATTTTATTATGCAATTTTGATTGGACTATGCATAGACTCATTAGTCCAGCCAAAATATAACTCCATAATTCCAGCCCAATTCAGCAAAGGTGGAAACTAGACTTGCATAGTCAGTTAACTCCCTTGCCGCGGGAAGATGCCAGAGTCGATGAGCAAGACTGCTATAAACTCTGCCATCTCCTACACAGTCATGTTAAACTTGTTGGGAGATTTACCAGCGTCAATGAGCAGGATGGCAGCCTCGTGATGGTGGTGATGGACGGTGGCATGGAGCGGGCTTTGCTGCTCAGTGTTCTCTGGGAGATTCAGGTCACTGCCTGCTGCAATCAGGGCCTTCACTATCTGAAAGTAGGTCATTTAACATGTGTAGCAGAAGATAGTTTTAATAAGCCAACCAGCCTTGATAGTCTTAGGCTCGATCAGGGGATACAGGTTTATTTTTCACTGTTATTACAATTGACAGTCAATAAGTGGGACCAGTCTATTCCTGACAGTGATTCAGTTATCTGTGCATTCACCAAAGTCCCAACAATATCCATCCTATAACATTTTTCCATGACTCCCTTACCCATAATGAATGACCAGTCCCAATGTTCAACTTGATAATGTGACATACCGATTTATGTGACCTTGACACAACAGCTGCCATGAGAGGGTGTTGACCTTGGGAGTTCACCTGGTTGACCTTGCAACCTATTGAAATCCATGGCAGTAAATCAGCGAGGAAATAATACAAAACAACAAGCAAGTCTAGATATACAAACATAATGATTGTGCATGCTCCTGGAGAAAACCTTGCAAGGTTGAGATCATTTTCTTTCATGTTGTCCAGATAAAGCATGTGTACAAAGTATCTGAGCAAGATGATTCTTCTGAAATATTTTTCTGAAAACAAAATATAAGACTAAAGTGTTCCTTCGTTCTGTTAATAGTTCTAAATATTCCTTTTAATAATCTCTTAACTAGATCATTTTGTCAGTTTAATCGTTTCAATTCCCAACATAACAAGACACAATCAATGAATGTTTAACGCCACACACAATATTCCAGTTATATGATGTGGTATGTAAATAATAGAGTCTGGACCAGACAACCCAGTGATTGATATCAGGAGCATCAATCTACACAATTGGGACACGATGACAAGCATCAACAAGTCATTTAGTTGCCTCTTACAACAAGCATAGGTTGCTGAAGATGGATTCTAACCCAGATCTTTACAGGAAGGATGATGCCTGTCATTTACCGAGAATGCACCAGGCAAAAATTGAACTACTGGGTTATACATGGTTTGGAATCTGCTCATGTGACGAGAGTGGCAAGTTTATGTGCATCAAATGATATGGACATTCGCCTTGTAATGGAGGAAAGTGTGATTCCAGCATCTTATCATCAAGTTACTAATCGCCATAGTTCCCATGACAATGGACGTGTCCTGTATTCCGGGGTCATGGGGCCACCCACCTGATTGGATCAGAAGTTCCACAATGTCAGGGTTATTTCCATACACGCCGCCGTGAAGAATTGTCTCCCCTGCTGTTGTCGAGACTTCCAAGGAAGCACCATTGTTTAATAACAGCTTTGTTATTTCTAGAAAAAAATTGAAAAACTTTAACAATCATGCAAACCCTCTGTGAAGATATAGGCTCCAGAGTGATTGTGATGAAGTAATTCAAAGACATACCATGTAAGAAGCACTGGCTACAAATGACCCCTAACATGGAATCTGAAAGGTTTTATTTCAGTTCTTAGTTGAAGTGTATGAGTGTACTACAGCTTTCTATCTGTGACAGTGGATGTGACTGGATGAGACTGTGACTATGGATGTTACTGTGGATGTGACAAAGACTGTGGATGTGACCGAGACTGTGGATGTGACTGTGACTGAGACTGAGACTGTGGATGTGACTGTGACTGTGGATGTGACTGAGACTGTGACTGTGGATGTGACCGAGACTGTGGATGTGACTGAGACTGGATGTGACTGTGACTGAGACTGTGGATGTGACTGTGACTGTGGATGTGACTGAGACTGTGACTGTGACTGTGGATGTGACCGAGACTGGATGTGACTGAGACTGTGGATGTGACTGTGACTGTGGATGTGACTGTGGATGTGACTGAGACTGTGACTGTGGATGTGACTGTGGATGTGACTGTGACTGTGGATGTGACTGTGGATGTGACTGAGACTGTGACTGTGGATGTGACTGGATGTGACTGTGACTGTGGATGTGACTGTGGATGTGACTGAGACTGTGACTGTGGATGTGACTGTGGATGTGACCGAGACTGGATGTGACTGAGACTGTGGATGTGACTGTGGATGTGACCAAGACTGTCGATGTGACTGTGGATGTGACCAAGACTGTGGATGTGACCGAGACTGGATGTGACTGTGGATGTGACTGTGGATGTGACTGAGACTGTGGATGTGACTGGATGTGATTGTGGATGTGACTGAGACTGTGGATATGATTGTGGATGTGACTGTGGATGTGACCGAGACTGGATGTGACTGTGACTGTGGATGTGACTGTGGATGTGACTGTGGATATGACTGTGGATGTGACTGGATGAGACTGTGACTATGGATGTGACTGAGACTGGATGTGACTGTGACTGTGACTGTAGATGTGACTGTGGATGTGACCGGGACTGGATGTGACTGAGGATATGACTGTGGATGTGACTGTGGATGTGACTGTGACTGTGGATGTGACTGTAGATGTGACTGTAGATGTGACTTTGGATGTGACTGAGACTGTGGATGTGACTGTGGATGTGACTGGATGTGACTGTGGATATGACTGTGGATATGACCGAGACTGGATGTGACTGTGGATATGACTGTGGATGTGACTGGATGAGACTGTGACTATGGATGTGACTGTGACTGTGGATGTGACTGTGGATATGACTGTGGATGTGACTGGATGAAACTGTGACTATGGATGTGACCGAGACTGGATGTGACTGTGACTGTGACTGAGACTGTGGATGTGACTATGGATGTGACTGAGACTGTGGATGTGACTGAGACTGTGGATGTGACTGAGACTGAAACTGTAGATGTGACTGTGGATGTGACTGAGACTGTAGATGAGACTGTGGATGTGACTGTGGAAGTGACTGTGGATGTGACTGTGACTGTGGATGTGACTGTGGATGTGACTGTAGATGTGATTTTGGATGTGACTGAGGATGTGACTGGATGTGACTGTAGATATGACTGTGGATGTGACTGGATGAGACTGTGACTGTGGATATGACTGTGGATGTGACTGAGACTGTGGATGTGACTATGGATGTGACTGTGACTGTGGATGTGACTGTGACTGTGGATATGACTGTGGATGTGACTGGATGTGACTGTGGATGTGACTGGATGAGACTGTGACTATGGATGTGACTGTGACTGTGGATGTGACTGTGACTGTGGATGTGACTGTGGATATGACTGTGGATGTGACTGGATGAAACTGTGACTATGGATGTGACCGAGACTGGATGTGACTGTGACTGTGACTGAGACTGTGGATGTGACTGAGACTGTGGATGTGACTGTGGATGTGACTGAGACTGTGACTGTAGATGTGACCGAGACTGGATGTGACTGAGACTGTAGATGTGACTGTGGATGTAACTGTGGATGTGACTGTGACTGTTGATGTGACTGTAGATGTGACTTTGGATGTGACTGAGACTGTGGATATGACTGTGGATGTGACTGGATGTGACTGGATGCGACTGTGGATATGACTGTGGATGTGACTGAGACTGTGGATGTGACTGTGGATATGACTGTGGATGTGACTGGGTGAGACTGTGACTATGGATGTGACCGGGACTGGATGTGACTGTGACTGTGATTGAGACTGTGGATGTGACTGAGATTGTGGATGTGACTGAGACTGTGACTGTAGATGTGACTGTGGATGTGACCGAGACTGGATGTGACTGAGACTGTGGATGTGACTGTGGATGTGACCGAGACTGGATGTGACTGAGACTGGATGTGACTGTGGATGTGACTGTGGATATGACTGTGGATGTGACTGGATGAGACTGTGACTATGGATGTGACTGTGGATATGACTGTGGATGTGACTGAGACTGTGGATGTGACTGTGGATGTGACTGTGGATATGACTGTGGATGTGACTGGATGAGACTGTGACTGTGGATGTGACTGGATGTGACTGTGACTGTTGATGTGACTGTAACTGTGGATGTGACTGTGACTGTGGATGGATGTGACTGTGGATATGACTGTGGATGTGACTGTGGATGTAACTGTGGATATGACTGTGGATGTGACTGGATGAGACTGTGACTATGGATGTGACCGAGACTGGATGTGACTGTGACTGTGACTGAGACTGTGGATGTGACTGAGACTGTAGATGTGACTGTGGATGTGACCGAGACTGGATGTGACTGAGACTGTGGATGTGACTGTGACTGACTGTGGATGTGGCTGTTTGTGGATGTGACTGAGACTGTGGATGTGACTGAGACTGAGACTGTGGATGTGACTGGATGTGACTGTGACTGAGACTGAGACTGTGGATGTGACTGGGGATGTGACTGGATGTGACTGTGGATGTGATGGTGGATGTCACTTTGGATGTTACTGTGGATGTTATGTTGACTGTGCCTCTGGATGTGACTGTGACTATAGATGTGACTGTGACTGTGGATGTTATGGTGACTGAGACTGTGGATGTCGATTTGGATTTGGATGTGGGTGTGACTATGTCTATGACCATGTGTTTGACTGTGACTGACCAAGGTCTCCACTGGAAGCAGCCTGGTAGAGCGGAGTCCAGCCCTCGGTGTCACAGATACTGAGGTCTGCTCCCGCTGACACCAGCAGCTCCACGATGTTGATGGAGGGCTTTCCTGGATCTCCAAAATACTGGGACACTGACAGAGAAATAAAAGAAGTTGTCAGCAGCTGAAGACATATGCCCATATCTGGTGGCGAGATTTGAGATTGCATCTTGCCTTGTCTCCCGTATCAACCTTTCCATCACATACAGATGAAACTGACTTATTTCAGTGGACCAAGATATCGTAACAAGTTGGTAAATTAACAGGGCAAACAGATGGATCTTTTCACTAAAATGTATTTTTTAGGTAAAATATCATTTATACTTATCCTGACTCATACTAATTGCTTATCTCATCTCAGTGATGTGTTCCTCAGAACAGAGAAAAACATCTCACCCAAACGCACCCTTCAGCTGCGCAGCTGTTCTGGAAACCAGTACACTCTTCACTAGATATTTTGCTTACCCTTACGGCCAAAACACAGATATATTGTAAGCTTACTTAGAACGATTCTTGTGTTGAGAAACGGTCATAATCTTGACACAATCATCATCACTCATGTTCTGATTCATGTAGCAAAACAGGGGAGCAGGGACTCTCAGTCAGTGGTTATGAAATGCTACCCTGACTTCCACCCTTAAGGGTCCGAATTGGTGAATAGTTTCTGTGGTGAAGTTTCAAAGGTAATGGATGGCAAAAACTGTGTCCGATTTCCAGAAACATCCTTCCATTATTGTCGGAATGGAGCAGTTGCTATGGAGGGCTAACGTGAAAGCAAGGTCTGACCTCAAGCAGATTGTAAGCCAAAGAAAGGGTCTAGACTTGCCTCTCTTCAGGCTTGAAGTATATAAGTCATCCAGAAGGAGATAGTAGTTCTAGAAACTTGTCCCGTTTCTAGTTAACGGGATGAAAAGTCGTCTCAATTATTGACGTCTGGAATTCGTCCTTCGTAAATAAACACAATAGGACACAGTGAAAAATCCTCCGTATTTTTGGAACCAAGGATAGATGATAAAGGCAGGATGTGAAACTGTCTGTCTGGTTGACCTGGCAGCTGATGCTTGGCGATGACATCCCAACGGAGACCCAGATGGGCTGATGCGTTATCGTCATTGCTATCTAGTGCTGCTGAAATCTATGGCATGGATTAATTAATAATTTAAGTTCTACTGCCGTCTGATTAGATCAGTCTGTTGTGCGTGAATGCCGTCGTCCAGGTAAAAGGCACAACAAAGTCCTTGTTGTGAAGGAAGGTCACCATTGGCTTAGTTATCCGTGTGAACAGCCACAGGGCTGGGGAAATGCCAAATGGCAGCACTGCTCACTGGTGATGAAGGTTGTTGAAGAGAAAAGGGAGGTAATTCCTGGACTGATAGATATGCATCTATCCTGATCTATGCTGGCTAGATAGTTGGCCTGACTTATCATCTGTCACTAATGAGTTAGATGCAGCATCCTGATTTTTTCCCGGCTTTCGTAGATAGGACTTGTTGAAACCTGTGAAAGGTTAACTAGCGACGAGAGTTGCGTGATGGTAGGTGGCATTGTGCAGGAAGCATGCTTCTGTGACTTCGTGGCTGCCTTCATGGCTGCCTTTGTGCACGCATCCTTAACCAAGAAGATGACTGTGATGACAATGAAGAGCAGCTCTTCTTCCTCCTGGATGACTGTTTCTTCACCTTTGCCTGCTTCTTGTCGCCTTGTATTAGGGACGTAGCGAAGGACTTCTGTGACCTCGTGAGGAAGGGTTCTCAGCAGTCATCTCAGCTATGACCACAAAGGATCTGTCCTCATCTGAAGGAGAAACTGTTTAGGTGTGATAATACTAGTCGCTTCTCCTGTTGAAAAAGACTGAGCGGAATCAAGTCTTTTACGGTCCAACTTCTTCCTCTGCACTACATACAAGTAGTCTGCAAAGTCTTCTTCCCCCAAGGATGTGCAGAAACTACAAGTCTCCCTTGTGCATGGTTGAGTTTAACCCGAATTAGTGAAAAAATTTAAGCCAAAGTAGAAAAATAAAGTACAGTATGATGAAGAAAGGTTTGAAGGAGGTATTCACTACCACATATTTTAATAAAATTATTTATCTTGATAAGATGGCTTGGATTATGATTGCGCAGAAATTTAGCCCAACCACCCAGCTGTCGTGAAAATGAGAGAGAGACGAGTGTACTGGTTTGGGCACGTGCTTCAGGTGAGATGTTTTTCTCTGTTCTTTGGAACACAGCACAGGAGTTTCCCCTAGCTGATGAGATCATAAGAAGTCATGAGATATGATGAGTCAGGATAAGGTACACTTATAAGTTTTCACATGTACAAATGTTACCTTGTCTGATGGCCTCATGTATAGGAGCGTGATGAAGTCTGTCTTTCAAGTTGATGTTACACCTTGCTTCGATCAACGCCTTTGCAACTTCAATGTGATTGTTTCGGATGGAATCTGACAGAAAGAAGCACAACAGGTCATAAAAACAGGTCACAGCAAAGGTCATCCTGCAAACATTGATACAGTGATCCCTTGCTACAACGCTACCTTGGAGATAAAAATAATTGGTGATCATTATGGATGATCAGTGGTTTAGCCAAGGTGGAGTCGTGGGGGGTAGATGACCACATGTTTAACGGGGTTTAACGTCGCATTCAAGATTATTGCACTCTTATAGCGATGTGCATGTGTGACTAATGTCCATTATATAGTGCTAGCCTATTAAGATACCTGCCGCAGTTTAACATGAATACCCCACTCAGACACAGTATACTGACTCTGTGCCGACCAGTCCTTGTTTGAGCTGCTTAATACCAAGCGCTAGGCAGGGAAACAAGTCCTAATTTACGACGTCTTTTGGTAAGACGTGGCCGGGGATCGAACCCTGGACCTTCCGCTCTACCACTGGACCACGGAGGCAGTCTCTCATGCAGAGAACAACCCCATCCTTTCACAACAGATTCGAAGGTGCAAGGGGACGAACATGGCAAGAAATACAAAACTTGGGGAGGGGTATAAAAACATTTACTATTATTATATGGTTGATGGTTAAAATATAAGTTTCATTGTCATGATAGGTCACTACTTTGGAGGTTTTGAATCCTTTGGGACAGGCTGGACAAGAATGTGACTGTAATCGTACATACACTTTATCATTTTTGTTTGTTTGTTTGTCATGTTTGTTGTTGCCACACTCAGCAAATGGTTACAGTGTTGTTTGTTTGTTTGTTGTTTAAAGCCACACTCAGCAATATTCCAGCTACATGACAGCGGTCTGTAAATAATCAAGTTGGACCAGACAATCAATGATTGATGTCATGAACATCGATCTACACTACTGGGATATGCTTTACTTCATGTAAATATAGTTCTTTCTCACCTAAACCAGAAGGATGGCTCTGTTAACCATCTGGATTTAGCTGTTAAAAGGTATATTTCTATCTAAAGTATCCAAGACAAAAAGTTGTCTTTGAAAAGGTTTCTGAAAATTATCAAGGATAAAAAAATAGCTGAATTTATTTTGCAAATCAAAATGACAGTATTGCCAAGTTTGAAAGAAAGTGACCTGCATGTTTGCAACCAACGTAACATCTTCCCGAGGCAACGGAATTAACTGACAGTAAACATGGTAAAAGTCCAGTTTCCAAACTAGGCTGGAATTATTGAGTTACATTTTGGCTGGATTAACAAGTCCATGCTTAGTCCAATCAAAATGGTGAAACAAAATCAACATCCGGTTCGCAAACAACATGGATACCAATGTGCAGATTTCGGTCGACTGCAGGATTTGCAAAGGATGTGTACGTCAACTGGTAAGATCCGCTTTATAATCCAGCCCAGAAATTCGAGCCTAGTTTGGCAAGGGAGGAAACTGGACCTATAAAGTCAGTTAACTCCCTTGCCTTAGGAAGATGCCATTGCAAAGACACAAAATTGCTTTCAAAACCTCATGTAGACATTGCCTTCATGGCTACTGAATTAACATAAAATATAATGAAAAGAACAGACACAGACAGGGTCACAAACTAGGGAACTCTTATGGGGGAAGATCATCTTCACTTCTTCCCCAATTGACCGAATCATCTCCAGGTCGCTGATGACCGGTCCCTGAACAGAATCAGACAACACACACGATCTGTCCACATTTTCCTACCAAGAAGAGGAGTGAATCCTTTAATGGTGGCTATGTTGACGTCTGCTCCTGCGGTGATGAGGGCCAAAGCTACGTCAAGGTGACCCTGGGTCGCGCAGTGGTACAGGGCGGTCTGCCCAAGTCGGTCTTGTCTGTTGATGTCACAGCCTGAAAAATGTCCACACATCATGAGGCTGTTGAAAACATTATCATCAGAAACATGACATCGGTATGAAATAATTCACTTTCACATTGTAAGATTCTTATTTGAGCATGAATATTTACATAGAGAGGGCTAAACTGTATGAACACTTGAGCTGAGAGTAAATAGGACACTTTACCAAGAGATTGTCTACATTGTGTGTAAGCATGGTAAGCCAAATTAGGAACATCCTTCATTTCCTCTTAGTCTTACCCCCATACAACAATCTGACACCACTTAAACCTCATGAGGATCTGTGGGTGGACCTTAAACTGCAAAATGGACAATTTTATTAAAAAATGTTCAACCAGACAAAATTTGGAGTGGGCTAGTGGTGAAACGACCCTGACACTCTGGTAATACTATTGATCACATCTTCTCAAGGCAAGGGAGTTAACTGACTATAAAAGTCAGTTTCCACCCTTGCCGAACAAGGCTGGACTTCCAGAGTTACATTGTGGCTGGACTAATGAGTCTTTACATAGTCCAATGAAAATGGCGTGACGAACTAGACATCCGGTTTGCAAAATGGATTTCAACATGCAGATTTTGGACGACTGCAGGCTTTGCAAAGCATGTGTACCGCCAACTGGGCATTGACAGATTTTTTGCAATTTTTTTCATGTTTTTAATCAATGTGCTCAAGTGATTTGATGCACTTTGTGAGGTAAGACCCGTTTTACTGCAATAAATACAATAAATTTATTACAACGGAAATTCCAGCCTAGTTTGGCAAGGGTTCAAACGAGACTTATATTGTCTCAAGGATGATTGATCACTGGTGTGGAGGCGGTCACAAGTCAGTAAAATTTGGGACCTTTAGCATGGTTTAGCCAAGAGTCATTATTAAATTGGCTTAGTCAGTTAAAAAACCATGTTAACAGCGGATATACTGTCAAGTTTAATCTACAATGCGAAATAATCTCTAAGCGAATAGGTATCTTCAGTCAGTCTGTTGGAAAGCATGGGGACAGCTGATCCTGCTCATATTTCATTACTGCAATTTATGTTCTGCAAATACCAAACATTGCCTGGTTTTGTTGTGTCAGATCTAGATATATATATGACTTTTTCATTAAGTCATAATTTACAGTGAGCAGTTTTTATGGTCTTTTCCACATAAATCTTTTATCATAAAAAGTTGACCCATCTTAAGTTTACAACATTTTTATTAGTTATTTTACGCTAAAAAATATACCCCATCTAGACCCTCTGTAAACAACATTCACATTCAAGTTCCGAGTTAGAACTGGTCTTCAACAACCCATGCTTGTAATAAGAGGCAGCTAACAGGATCGGGTGGTAAGGCATGCTGACTTGGTTGATGCATGTCATCATATCCCAACTGTGTACATCAATGCTCATGATGTCAATCACAGGATTGTCTAGATCCGAAATATACAGATCATCGTTATGTAGATGAAATATTGCTGAGTGCGGCCTTGAACAACTAACAATTAAACAACATTCAGCCTCTCTCTCTCACCTGAATGCAGCAGGATGCTTGTTGCTTCGATGTCACCTTGACCAGCGGCGAGGATAAGAGGGGTCCTGTTGGACTGATCACTGGTGTTTTTACAGCACCCTGCCTCAAGAAGAATCTTCATGATTTCAACATTTCCCTGCTGCACTGATGTAAACAATGCTGTCTGACCACGGCTGTTCCAAAGATCAAGGTCACACTTAGCTTGTATCAAAAACCTCAAGATATCCTCCCGGCCTTTCAGGGCACAAACGTTCAAGGGAGAGGAACCATTATCATTACAAAGGTCAACACTGGCTCTACTTTCTATGAGCAACCGTGCAACATCCCCATGACCTCTCCAACATGCACTGTTCAATAGTGAGTTCATTTCTGCATCTGTTTTGTTGACGTCTGCTCCTTTCGCTATCAGCAGACGGCATATTTCAAAATGGCCTTCTCGGACTGCTAGCTGTAATGCTGTTTGGCCTCTGTAGTAAAAATCAACATCAATGTCTCCTGCTATTATTTCTTTGACTACTTCAATCTTATTTTCAGAAATTGTGTCTTGTAATTTACGAATTCGTCTTCTTATTTCCCTTTTCTCGTAGGCAGATATTTTCTCACCTAAAAGAAAACAATTATATAATCATGAATATCTTATCTAACAACAAGTCATGATGATAATAGAAACTAAGACTGGGACGGGAAACTCGGGTACTTGGGTCAGGTGGGTACTGAGGACCTAGGTACCCACATGACGACCCAGACCCATGGTTAGTACGTGGTATATTATTTAAGGACCAAACTCATCTAGAACTCCATGGTTACACTACAAGTCACTAATGTTAGCATTTCTTTCTGACTATGCACACATTCCAACTTTCATACGTTTGAATAAAGCTAAAACTTCAGCCAAGTGACAATACTGTAGAAATATTTGGGGAAGATTTGGGAGTTATTTCTTGGCTGCAAAGGTGCATTAGTAAATAATAAGCACTCATTTACCAAGTTGTCAGCACCCAATTGTTTAACTTTACATATCCATTTTCTCGCGAAAATTTTATATATTTAAATTGTTCAGAGAATCCTCAGATTACATTGGATCAATACGATAAGAGCTAGCTACCCCATACCCGACCTCACAACTAACCATAAGGATTGTAAAGGGGTGTTTGCCTGGCACGAGACTCACAAACCAAATGATTGTGATGGGGTGTTTGATTGGAAACGGGATCAAAGCCAAGGGCTAAGGACAGAGTAGGAGTGAGTGAGTATTGTTTTACGCCGCTTTTAGCAATATTCCAGCAATATCACGGCGGGGGACACCAGAAATAGGCTTCACACATTGTACCCATGTCGGGAATCGAACCCAGGTCTTCGGCGTGACGAGCGAACGCTTTAACCACTAGGCTACCCGACCGCCCCGACAGAGTAGGAATGCACCAACCAAACCTACCCTAACCAAAACACAACTAACCATAAGGATCGAAGAGGCTGCCATAATCAGTGTTTGTTATGCGAGAGAGGCAGTCCGAGACAATTAACCTAGAGCTATAGGCCAATCAGCTACATCCAGTAAACTGCTTTGTTGATGCTCATTCAATATTTCACAGATATATTGAGACGTATGCTTATCAAGACTAACAAATATAAACAGAAAAGAAAAAGACCCAGGTGTGTTGGGTCATGTTTACATTATTTCTGATGATAAGAAATATGTGAACAATTTTAATTGACACTTCGGTCACACTGATCTATGCTGGAATGTCAGGCATCCATGAGATGGCACGTTTACAGACTGTAAGGGCAGGATCGAGGGATGTAAACCCAAGCCATAAGTTTATGAAGATCACAATCGATGAGGAGGTCACGTTCGTGTGTTCTGGCCATAGTAAAACAGTACACTACAGCTTACAGCAAATCATCTCAAGTGATCGAAAACTGAACATTTCTACACAAAAACATTAGACACTGTGAGCTTTGTGTCACGGATCATGTCGGAAGCACGACACTTTTGCATACATAAATACGATAACGTATATAGTGATGCCTTCAAAGCACATGAATTTATCAAAACACAGCAAATGATGTTTGCAAAATCACAGAAATGATAATACCGTTACTTCTTGACGAAATTCTACTGGTGGCAGCCATTTTGATAACGAGGGACCTGTTATTGTAAGGGAGAATTCATTGCATTTTGATATCCAAAACACTTTCCTGTTGGAATGATTCCGTACCAAATTGCCATGAAAGGTTAACTGTAGTAATGTGAGAGAATTGGGAGTTTTTAACGGAGGCGGTTGTCATCATGTAGACTAGTCTCATAGTTATGATGACCCTTGCTGCCCAATGTCCCCGTTTCACACACGGTATACAATATTGGATATAATTTTGATAACGTATATTCAATATAATTTTGAACCTTACTCTCGACAAGACTGTATAACAAGAGCGATGACTTCAGCTATCCAAAAGTCAACTCTCGCATTATGTCGAGCAGTATTACACCAGCTCCAGCATTTGGTGTTTACATTTCACAACCTTTTAGATACAATCGAGCATGCTCTTTTACAAGATTCCAAAGAGCGTCATTGATTGGATTCTTGCTCAGATGTTTGATCAAGGTTACATTTCAAAAGCAGACATATTGAAAATGTAAATGTTATTTATTGCCAGGATAGTTCTTGATATTTTACTTTAGACGTATGTCGCTTGTAGAATGAAATGTGTTATGTTTATACATGTATTTAATTTTGATACATATATTGAAATCCGATCCTTTTACGACCTTTGGCCTTAGTGTGCCCTATAAAAATTACTTGTGGAACGTATGTCGCTTGTAGAATGAAATGTGTTATGTTTATACATGTATTTTATTTTAATACATATATTGAAATCCAATCCTTCTACGACCTTTGGCCTTAGTGTGCCCTATAAATCTAGTTGTGCCTTACTATTACCTCTCCGCCAAAGATCATGCAGATGGTCAGCGATAAAGGGACAGCTCACTGGTCTAACTCCAATGTAAAGGCTTCAATGTTTGTGAAATGGCTACAAAGAAAACAGATTTGAAAAACGAACACCATATCTGCAAAATATTAGTGGTCACGTCCAAGTTCAAAGGACGTATAACTCTTCTTCCACGCGCACATTCACATAATGTTGCTGATAAATTGCTTTGATTTCGCTCAATATTTGATATCACTCTACAACCATCAAATAGCCAATTCCCTTCCACTGATCTGTCCGCCTGAACTAGAAATATAGGAGACCAGCGAGACCGCTTCGTCTGTTTCATATTTAGATCTATGCATAACGATTCAGAGTGACAAAACACTCTCCACAAGACTGTATGACAAGTGGGGATGTCTTCAACCTTCCAATAGTCAACTTTCCCTTCACGTCGAGCAATATTCAAGCCTTTAGTGTTTCCATTTCACAACTTTTGAGGTACAATGAAGCATGTTCTGACTACCAAGATTTAAAAGACAAGGCCTCAGTAAAGCTTTCAAACAGTTTTATAGTGGACATGTGGAGGACATTTCCAGATTTCGACGTATCAGTGACAAACAATGATGTCCGATGCAATTTCCTGTTTTGCCTTGTACCATATGTTCCCGTGTTCTTTAAGATGAACAATTTATTTGCCTTTGCATGTGTTTGTGACGGGTGCCACCAGAGGGCTCATCTTTCGCGAACATCTGGTATCTTATCCCATTTTGATAGTGATTCATAAACACATGTTCATGATATAGTCGGAATGGTATAACGGACTCTGCTTTTAGCAGAGATTTCTTATGAATATTGAAAGGAGTTTATTGCTTTTAATTAAATAAGTACAGATAATTTTGTCATACTGGAATATACTGACAGAGATAAAGCCCAAAATGAAGCACTAGAAGGCAGCTTTATATCCAGTTAGATGTTACTAAGTTGAAAATGAGTAAAGATTTATTGTAAGATTAGAAAGATTTAATTGTAATGAAAGTCAACAGAATTGTTCATATTGATATTTAGTAATTCTATTCATATTAACATTTGCATGTTTTAGTTTTGTTTATAACAACAGAAAAATACAGTTTATCAAAAAGATTTGTTGTTGTTATTTTAAGTGTGCTTTTGAAAATGTTTGAACTCAAAAGAATGTTTACTCTTAAAGATAGTAAAATAAATGACAAAAGTTCAGTATGAGTATCGGACTTGCTCAATGTTAATGTTTTCTCGAGAATATCGAAAATGCTTCATTTTCGCTCATTTTGGCCACATTTTGAATTCTGTATTGTGCATGTCTCAACACTTGCAAGTCAAAGATGAGTGAGTGAGTGCGTTAAGATTTTAAGTTAAATTGGCAGTTTTTCACTGCAGTGAAAGATGAAGGCAAGCTTTGTTGTCGGTCGTGTTAACATATCTGAAAACTTTTAAAACTATATTTCATAGTTTTCCGTATGTATAAATTACTATTTCATTACTTATTTTGTACATATTTTCGGAAATGACATGCTATATTTAATGTTAAACTATTACATGTTTTATTTATCTTATTTCAAATAGGTGACACAGACATCGGAAGCCAAATCTAGCCAACACAACCCAGACAAAGCATGAGCTGAAATATCTATGTGTGAAATAAAAGCCACAGTATTTTTCATAACCATAATAAGTCTATTCTGAAAGCAGAGTCCATTTTGCGATTCAGACTATAACGTATGTTTATGAATGCGCATTGTGATTCTATTGTGTGGCGTATGGTTTCTCTTCCATGGGAGAGGTGAGGTGAGGTGAGGTGAGGTGAGGTGAGGTGAAATGGGGATTAAGATTATATGGCGACGTGCATGCACGTGTGTGTGTGTGTGTGCTTGTACTAGTCCGGACTGATGCCGATTTATAGTGCTTGCCCACTGAGATACCATGCCGCAGTTTAACACGAATACCCAAATCAGACCAAGTATACTGACTCCGAGCCGACCAGTCCTTGTTCTAGCCCCTTAATGCCGAACGCCAGGCAGGGTAACAACAAGTACCACCTTTAATCGTCCTTTGGTATGACGCGGCCGTGGATCGAACACCGGACCTTCCGACCTCACGGGGTGGATAGTAGGTGACTGCTGCTCGCCATCTTGTCATTTTTGTCACGATCCCCACCCTCCAAAGTTTAACAAACAGCTCAGTTCGTATATTTCCAGTATAGCTGAGTATGAAACAATGGAACAATATGTCGTGCACCCTGAATTTGATTGTGTCGACTGAATGGTTTTGTAACTTGGTAAATTATTATTATCAAACTTCGTAAACGGGCGTAGGTGTTCTCATCAACTGTTCAAAAAAGGGATTCGAACCTGGTCCGACTGCAGTGCAATTCGACCTGTATCCTTGGTGTCCATTTTGAATCCAAGACTCAACACAAAGGTATAGTAAAACTTTATTAAAGATAACAATGAAATTTGATGAAAACTCATTATACAGATCACAGTATGCTTTGCCTTACAGCCTATGAACCCACGTGCTGGCCCACACATCGTTACACTGTATACGTAGTGCATGCCATGACGAACACTGTGACAAACTGCTGTACTGATGTCATACAGCACACACTCGTTAAACCGGACAACTCAAAATGGAAGAGCGGAAACAGAAAACGGAGGGGCATATTTAAGCAATCATAAAACAACCAGTCTGGTTCCGTGGGTATGCTTCACTGAGCGCCAGCGCAACATACCTAGGGAACCAGGCTGTAAAACAACCCGGGGCGCGTTTTACAAAGAGGTCGCAGTGGTACGACGGCCGTGAGTCTATGATGACGTATAGGAGTTACGATAGTCGTAGTGCTACGATCGCTTTATGAAGCGGGCCTTTAATGAATGCGAATCGTCTCCTCAGAAAGTAAGATAGTTGTGTTGAAATGGTGAACGCACATATTACCAATTGTTTTGGCTAGTGTTGTTTTTTTGTTAACGCCGCACTCAGCAGTGTCCAAGTTATATGACCGCGGTCTGTAAATAATCGAGTCCCGACCAGACAATCCAGTGATTGATATCATGAGCTTCGGCCTACACAACACGACCAAGTTAGCGAGCCTGACCACCCGATCCCTTTTGTTGCCTCTTACAACAACCATAGTCGTCTTTAACAGCAAGCATGGGTTGCTGAAGACCTATTCTAACCCGGATCTTCACGGGTTTACACTCTTGTTGTACGTTTAAACTTATGTACCCAAGTGTATATGTCGATGATGTTCATGAGCTAGTGAGTCAGTCTCTGGATATTTGTTTTACAGCTATTTACATGAATTAAGCATCGCTTACTATATATTTATATATTAAATAGAACATAATGATAGTGTCCTATATTTATTTTTTGACAAATCAAATGAAAGTTTGTTTCCAAAATGACTTACTCATATTGAAATACAGAAATTGAAATCGATTACCTGATATTTGTAACGGTTTCATGCCAATGTTTACCTGACTGTCCTTTCTATAGCTTCTCCAGCCTTGTCCCACTATGTGATACGAACCAGTCCTTGCCACCACAAGGAGCAACATTTGTACCCCGAGTGATCCTGCTACAACAAACTCATACCGACATGTTTTAATACATCTTCCCGACGAAAGGGAATTAACTGGCTATAAAAGTCCAGTTTCCAACCCTTGCTGAACTAGGCTGAATTATGGAATTATAGTTTAGCCTGACTAACGAGTCCATACATAATCCAATCAAAGTCGCGGAACGAAATCGACATATACAACATGGCGACTGCCTTGCAGATTTCGGCAGATTGCAGGATTTGTAGAGCATGTATACCGTCAAATGGGCCTGGACAGATGTTTTCCAAATCTTTTCATGTTTTTAATCAAGGTGCTCAAGTGATCTGATGTACTTCGGAAGGTAAGACCCATTTTATTATAGTATAGATCTTGATTATCGATCAGATTGTCTTGACTAGGCGCAGCCATTTTGTTTGCAATAATTGCAAGTGATATGGGAGGTAGAATCTGATTGGTCAATTAGAGGGACATCGAAGGGACATAGAAAGGACATAATCCGTAATCGCCACTGGTTGCGCTTCGATCGAACCTCGAAATTGCAGCCTATTTCGGCAAGGGTCCAACTGGACTTTTACAGTCAATTAACTCCCTTGCCTCGGGAAGATGGTTTTAATTTGACTTTGTAAAAGAATTAAAACAAATTCAAAATTGAGAGAAAACAGCTGTTCAATTGAGCTGAGCTGCTATTTCACGTGACTTTTATTGACTCGGAAAAAGCGTGCGGCATTTTGCTTCGAAGCGGGGATTTAAAGGATTTATTCTGCCGTTCAGAAATCCGCGTGAAGACCGATTTGCTCGTGGCGGGGTATAAGGGATATATTCTCTAGCTGAGAAATTTATTTCCCTCCAAGGCGGGATACATAGTATTTGATCAAGATCACGTGGACCAACCAGATCACATCATTCTGACAAAGAGGTAGGATAAATGACGTTATACACATGCTAAACATTTTCCACGTGTAACATGCTGCAAGAATGTTTGTAAATCTTACTCCACTAGTCTATGAGTTATTTCTGTTTTGTTTTCCCCCAAACCGTAATTTGACTGTTTAGGCGACAAAATCGTCCGGTTTAACGAGTGTATAACAAAGAGCAAGGATGATATGAGTCCGCAAGCTACAATGCAAACTAGGCATATATAAACCTCCATATAAAACTTTTAAACTGCTTATCATCAAATGATACATCGGAACACAACTATACAACTAAACACAATTAGGTCATATCTACTGTATAATAAGTTAATCTGACTTCACTAAACTTTTAACACATAATGTATGAAGCAATATTTATAAACTAACTGCACTACATGATATTTAAAGTTTGAAATATAACCATACGATCTTAAGTTACCAAAATATTTTGTGGTCATTTTGACTCACTGTCATTTTTGCATCCTCGATTATCCAGAGCTTTATATTTATAATGATAAAACACGCCGGACCCATTCGCTACCGTAGATTCGTTTCGGAAGTTTCCGTCACCATTTAGCATAGAATTTCTCTCGCTCATGACTGTAATTTGATTGGACGGCTATTATTATCGACACGTAGTTGGAATCGGGCTTAGAACAAGCTAAGGACAGTGGGGTAGTCTAGTGGTTAAAGTGTCTGCTCGTCACGTCGAGGGCCCGGGTTCAATTCCCGATATGGGTACAATATGTGAAGCCCATTTCTGGTGTAACATGATATTGCCGTGATATTGCTGGAGTATTGGTAAAAGTGGCGTAAACCACACTCCCACACGGTAGCGAATTGGTGCAAAGTACATTTGTCATAATAAAAATAATAATACCCTGTCTAATCGAGGATGATGTTGAATAAACTCCAATGTGAACGTCATAAGAAGCTGGGTAAGTTTGATCACGGTTGTTTTCATCTGCGATGAACACCAATCAATAGTTAAAGTCGAGACAGAACACAATGCTTCTATCAGTTGTAACGTCAAAATGCCACTTTACAAAGCCGTTCATGCCGTGACTTTGTGACAGGTCCGATAGCTGAGAACAGTGACATAACAGAGTGGTGTTGTATATGATCTTGAAACATGCAACGGTTATCATAAAACATAGCAGCGGCTGCGAGTTCAACATTCGCAGCGTATCAGAAAAAAATGATTCAGAGTAGCATGTGAAGTAAAATGTTGAAAAGAAGAGAAGCTGCATATATTTTCTCCCTGACTCCAAATAAATAATATTATCAAACTTTTACCACTTTTCGTAAGAAACGTAAATAGTTCCTAACGGGATTAGCGTTGCTAAAGTCGACTGTCTCGACACAGGAATTGGAAGTCATGGTGGTAGTTTGAGCAGAACAGATTTTTAGTGCTGACTGATGTGATATAGTCTACTGATGTGCGTGGTTTTACTAGCACAGTCCACTGTGCATGTTTACTCGGTTGATAAATATGCCATTTACGTGAATATAGTTCTACAGTTTGACCCCAACTCGGATGGTGCAAGCCATGTGCATCACACCCAACAGTCCCAGTACTTATATCCTCTAAACGGCATCCACAGTTGTACACCGCGTCCATATCGATATTTAAAAACATTGGATATATTCCATGGGTGAATGTTTGGGGACAGTTGTTTCATTCATAATTACCGATGAGCCTACCTATGTATGGCCCTTTTTGGCGAGCATCGGGAAAAAATTGTCAATTTTGTTCATGATTCTCTCGAGGGACCCTAAATTGAACTAAATGTTACCACATACAATTTTTCCCTCCTGTAAATAACAGTTCCCTTCCTTTGAAACCTTAATCAACTATTACATATGTTAAATTTGGGATTATTCCCTCTTACCAACTACAAATTCTAATACGAATTTTGATGGAGACCCATCCGGGATTCGAACCCAGACTCTGAAAGTGTGGGCACCAATCGCCAGCACAAGTCAGCGACCCAACCCACTCAGCCACCGAGGCTTCCAAAAAAATGAAAGTCCAACAACTGGTAGTCTCAGATCACGTACCCTGCGTGTGAATTGGCACGGCTCCCATGGATGAACACAATGAACAGACAATGCCTTTTAGAATGTAGCCAAAAGGTGACACATGTCATATTTAGGATTACGCCATCTCTGTATTAGAATTTGTACTTTACTGAGAAGATGTAATCCCAAATATAACACATGTTACATGTAACCCCTATCTGAAAGGCATTGCTTATTCAAATCCATCACCGTTCATTAGTTAAACTATGGTTGGCACATTTGTGTTGCGCAAACGTTGTTGACTTGAACAACACAATTCTCCAGCTATTAGTACACCGCCTGCACAAGAACATTTCAACATCATAAAGTGCGTGAGTGAATATTGATTTGCGCTGCCTGAACTTTTCATCTATTTGCGGCAAGAACAGGTTTTAAGTTTGGTTTTTGTATCTTACCTACGAGGTTAACTGTTATACAGTTGTTTAACACACAACTGAAAAGGAGCCATACGATACCCAGTTGTATACCACATATGTGCAACTATGTACCTTAGGTAGCAATATGAGTGCATGTCTTACTCTAATTTGTGTTATAAGTGTGTTAAGTGATATATAAACAGTTGATGGCATTGACCTTACTGACATGCATCTGTGTGATGTGCACACGTAAGTCATAAAACTGTGTCAGTGTCTGATGAGAAGAGATTAATGACTGATTTTCACCCATCTATTGTGTTGCTGTATCATCAATATGTTTCATAAGTTCAGCTGTGATATATACAGCAACTTTCGTACAAATAAATGAATCAGAATGTGTAACTATAAACGCTGCTTCATACAGTATTTAATAAACAAGTATGCAATCCAACTGTGTCACTTTCAATTGTGATATAAAAAGCTGTAGCGCATACAAATATGTGTTAACATATTTTCAGCTGTGATCTATGTAAATGTATGTGATGGACAGGTTCTCAATTGTGGTATTGACAGTGTACTCCCTACACATTTGAGATAAAATGTCTTCCATTTAACTGTGACATATGCAGCTGTAAGAGTGAGTGAGTATGGTTTTACGCCGCTTTTAGCAATATTCCAGCAATATCACGGTGGGGGACACAAGAAATGGGCTTCACATATTGTACCCATGTCGGGAATCGAACCCGGGTCTTCTGCGTGACGAGCAAACGCTTTAACCACTAGGCTACCCGGCCGCCCCTGTAGCTGTTTGAAATAGACAAGAATGCAAGCGTACACGTTTCATTTGGCACAAGTATTCACACACAAGTATTCAATACAGTAAACTACGGCTATAACGAACTCAAAGGGACCACTAATTATAATTCGTTGTAACCGTAGTTCACTATAAGATAATGTACGGAATATATACAGCAAATAGACAGGACCAAAAAATAGTTCGTTATATCCGTCAGTTCGTTATAAGCGTGTTCGTTATTACCGTACTTTGCTGTAAATAGAATAGAAGATAAAACAATGTCCTGCTATGTGGTATACAACTGAGTCGTTCTACTGACGGAAACTCACACGGTAAGCATGTTTATATACAATTGCATATCTTATTAGATCGTGGATGAAGCATAGTTCATCCATACACAACTACGCTTAAAAAAGCCGGTCTAGAATGCGAACAGACATGACGACAATACACGGAGATTCAAATGATTATCATCTGTACACCTTCATGTCAAAATGAGAGAATGTTCCATTGACAGTGTAATTTATTATATTCGGAAAATATGTATGTGTGAATTATATACTTTTGATAGATCTAGTAATGTGATTCTAACGATACTCTAATAATGCAAAATAATAATTTTTGTGCCTATATTTAATACTATCCTCCAGAATTATCCTCCAACAGAAATATATGCGAAGCTGGACACTCGTCAGCCACATACATCATTTGTTTTGGTATGTGTTAAAGTTAAGAAAATCGAAATTTATACGGCACCCAAATGCTTAGAATAATTAATAATAATGCTTAATCAATAATACTTAATCAATATTCATTTGTCACATTATGTTTCAATAGGAAATGATAACAGCACGTGTAAACAGTTACCGTCGCATTTAGCGTTTGAAGCGGATGATTCATCTATACCGTTGATCAAACGTCTTAGAAACATAGTGGAAACAAATGGGTTTTCGTGTAAACATTGATCATTATGCCACAACGTATTACATAACCTCATTTAATGAGTCGACTCTACTGCTACAACTTATTGAAAATGACAAAGGTTATCACTTGTAAACCATAAATCCGGTAACGGAAACAATCACAGGATTATGGTTTGGTTGTTTATGCCTTCTTCCTTCGATATGTCAGAATCCACTTTTTCCTCTAATCCTGGAATAATCCGGATCATGTCCTCCACTTTAGCATTGCGCCGGAGATATAGAGTTACAGAAATCACAGCCGCTATCTCGGAGGACATAAATGAAATTCCTGCACAGAAAAAAGACCACCCGTAAGTATATTCGAAGCCCCCAGCCTCTTTCTTGGAGCTCGCCCGGTAGCCGACTTCGTCGTTTATTGCAGAGATGTAGAGGATTATCCCAACGGCAAGAGCAAGCCCTGTAAACCAAAAGCAATGAATTATGGTATGGTTATGATATGGTCGGAAGCAGAGATTTCTTATGATTACGGAAAGTGTTGTCGCTGTTATTTATTCAACTGCAATACTATCACCACATTTTCAATGGGAAATAGTTTTCGCTTTCAAAACTACCATAAGTAATCTGGCATTCTTTCTAATTTTTTAAAACCGCCCTTCTGTAATCCGGTATTATTTGCAAACAGGCTATTTTGTAAGTGTGTTTCTGGGCCTAGTACTTGGTTTGAGCCAGCCATTAGCTCTCCGGGCAGACGCTCTATCCACTGGACCACGAAGGCGGTCAGCATTTTTCAAACAATACTACAATAAGAAACTTTACAATAGATGAAAATCCTTTAACACAACACCGGAGTATGAAATAAAAAGGGGCGAGAGTGAATGTGTCAATAAATATATTTTTTTTCTAATACTTCAGCCATACAACAGTAAAGAACCCATCTAGCCGTAAGAGACGACTTTGCTTGTCGTAAGAGGCGACTAACGGGATCGGGTGGTCAGGCTCGCTGACTTGGTTGATGCAGATCATCGTATCCCAATTGCCTGGATCGATGCTCATGATATCAATCACTGGATTGTCTGGTCAAAACTCGATTATTTATAGCCCGCCGTCATATAACTGGAATATTGCTGAGTGCGACGTTAAGCCACAAACAACAAACAACAACAAACAACAGTAAGGGACACCGATAGTGACCTCCACACGTTCTACATGTGTCGAATCGAACCTAGGTTTTTCTGTGACGAATGAACGTCGTTTTAACCAAATGGCTACCTGAAGCGTTGAATGATCAGAATGTAGGCAATAGTTACCAGCTGAACAAGATATTCCATTTTGATCAAGACGAGGAAGGTGAGCTACGCTTTTCGGAAAAAAGCTGAATAAAACAGGGATTACATCAGAATGTATCCACTTTCATCACAATAAGAATGTCTTATGTCTTTCGTGCAAGAGGATACTGATACATATAAGTACATCATCCGCAGACATGATTCATTTGATTTTGTTCTAAATAATCCATTTTCAGAAGTAGAAATTTATGCTGGTTTGACGGATCTGAACCGTGATCCAGATGGAATTGAAAATGAGTTCCCCCATGCCAGTGAGAAAATATATAACACTGACACGAACCAAGCCATTTAACAGTGTGTCGACCTTGAGTTCAGAGAAATGCATCACTTATGTGTGATTGAGTTTGGTTTAACGCCGCCGTTATAGTGTTTCTGTTACATCATCTCAGTATCATCTTGGTGATGGAGGAACGCCAGAAGTGATGAAGTTTACCACAGTGGTGAAATCAACGAGAATGGGTTTGATGCTGACAGACCTGAGACATAATCAGGACGAACGATAACGGGTTTTTGGCATGCCCCAGGGACGCAACTCTGCGAATTGCAGGGCTTAGATGTTCTTTGTTCTCTTTTATCATTTTTCTCTTCAGGCGGTACCAAAGAATATGGTAGGTTACGGCTGCGGAATGAACTGGGTGATCAGTGATCACATTGCAGCGATGCAACACAACTCTCTGTGGCAGAAAACGGGTGGCCCATTCGTCTAAGGCGCCGGAATTCGCTTTGCGACCAATATGCGTTCGAATCCCGGTGATTTTGTTTCTGGGTTTGTCGGCACCATAATGTGGTAACATTCTAAGACCTGCATCATGTCGGGCTCTCCTACAAAATGAAGCTGACTCGCCGTGATATAATCGAAATACTGTACAAAACAAACCCAATCACACCTTATAAGCCAGTTTGCTAGATCACTGGAAATAATTCTCCATGACAACCTATTTTCGAGTAATATCTACCATAAAAGGAGATTTTATTGCCTCTTTATTGACTTCTCAAAAGCTTCTCATATCGCCAGACACGATATATGTTAAGCAGCATATTACACTTTGAATCAAATACATATTTGTTCAGTCGTTGTAGAGTGAATTCCAAAATATGCCCGTTTATCAAACCACGTCAAGTGTAACATGGTCGGCGTATTGGGCCTGAAATTGTCCTCGTCGTATTTATTGATCAGTAGGAAGCTGGAAGGGAATGGAGCGGGAATATTTATAGCCACAGGCATTCCAGATGTATGTACACCAGTGTATTCTGATGAAGCGACCACTGTATCTGCAAGTCGCTCAACTACAAAGGGAGGTCAATGCACCGTGGCAGGTTTCTGTATGCTACTGGGTTGAAAATTTACAATCATTAACCAAGTTCTTCTCCATCAGCATAGGGCGGTCTCTTCATATTAATGAAAATTCATTCGATGGAACCGAGTGAATTAGAATGAAATTGATTTCTCTTGAAGGTAAAGCCAGATACAAAGGGAGGTTATTCAAGGTAGAGGGCGCTACCGGAAAGAGTATATTATAGGAATTGTGAAGCCCGGGTAGTTCAATCTCTCCTGTGGTGTCGCCGTTACAGTGAGGTCTTGTTTATTGTATGTCCAGGGGATTATGGTTAGACAATTTTCTGTTGTCAGGTGATGGCAGTCTTGCTGCAAGACAAATGTCGTCACAGTGACGAGTATGGTCCTGAACCACAAAGCATGGATGGTACCTGGTACATGTATGTATCTTACAGTAAGATGTTACAGTGTCCGTGACTGGTTCTGAACCACAAAGCATGGATGGTACCTGGTACATGTATGTATCTTACAGTAAGATGTTACAGTGTCGGAGACTGGTTCTGAACCACAAAGCATGGATGGCACCTGGTACATGTATGTATCTTACAGTAAGATATTACAGTGTCGGTGACTGGTTCTGAACCACAAAGCATGGATGGCACCTGGTACATGCATGTATCTTACAGTAAGATGTTACAGTGTCGGTGACTGGTTCTGAACCACAAACCATGGATGGCACCTGGTACATGCATGTATCTTACAGTAAGATGTTACAGTGTCGGTGACTGGTTCTGAACCACAAACCATGGATGGCACCTGGTACATGCATGCATCTTACAGTAAGATGTTCAGTGTCGGTGACTGGCATGGTTCTGAAATGATATGGTTCAAGGCTAGTGACGGGTTTGTATGACGGATTTGTAAAATGCAGAGTAAATGCCTCGGCGAGTGCCACGGGGGAAGCACCATTGTGTGTTTGTTTATATCTGTCTTGACGAGGTTTTGAAAGAGAAAAATACATAGATACTCTCCGGGACTGACATTGCTTAGACCCACCTGACTTGTGGCGTGTCCACAGTACACATGACCACCATCCACAAGTCATACATCCAAACATCACTTAACTCAATAGGCTTTTGGGTTCGACGGGGAATATGGGTGATGCTGAACTATTGAATTTAGAACTCAATGGCCATATGTCTGCTTCTTCAGATGTCGTCTTCAAATTATGTTTAAATGCATATTACTCAACTTAATGTTATATGTTGCCAGAAAAATGCCATTACAGTAAAGGAGGAGGTTCAACCTTTAGGGCCTAGTGGTTAAAGCGTTCGCTCGTCACGCCGAAGACCCGGGTTTGATTCACCACATTGGTAAAATGTGTGAAGCCATTTCTGGTGTCCCCCGCCGTGGTATTGCTGGAATATTGCTAAAAGCGGCGTAAACCCATACTCACTCACTCACCCTTCAGGCCCACGTCCCATAAAGAGATCCTGATGCTACGGCCCCGTAAGTCTATGTAAAAGCGTTACCGACCGTCATAGTACTGTGGTGATCCTATTATTAATGATTATTGATAATGCTCGAATAAGCAGAACGCAATAGATTAGTGCATAATGTTCTAAACTGATCTATGGGGGAAGGCGCCACAATTCGCTATGCATAGTTGCGTTCCTTAACCGCGCCAGGATCCGGATATCGTGGATTCGAATACAAGATTCGCTTGATACTGATCCTTAGTTAAACAGTACCATACCCATGCTCGTGTTTTTCACCAAAGTGCACGATTTCAATAACGTAGGATTCCGCTGATTTTTTTTTATATTGTTATAGTTTATTAGTCAGTACCAGATCCTCAAAAAACACACGAGGATCTGAGTCATTGGTGGCATTATAACATGTTCCAATCAATCGAATGTTCATGACGTTATAAGTTGTTTTCAATATCTTGCATGCATGATTCTCTAAATTGTCGCCCTTACCTAACTTGCTAGGTGAAACCAAGACAGTTGTACCCAACCTGCTTCACCTATGAGCTTTCCTCCCACATCAAACTGACACACCGTTATATAACTGAACTACAGTAAAGTACGGTTATAACGAACTCAAAGGGACTACTAAGTTTAGTTCGTTTTAACCGTAGTTCGTTATAAGCATATATACAGCATAACTACAGCAAATAGTCAGGACCAAAAAAGTAGTTCGTTATATCCGTCAGTTCGTTATAAGCGTGTTCGTTATAACCGTAGTTTACTGTACTGTTCAAAGCAGCGTCAAACCCTCACTCACTACGCAAAACACCTTGTAAGACAAAAAACAAAATGTAGGCACCTCCATGAGCACAAACTGTGCTCCCTCCTTACTCATCTGTTTTTTTATGTACACGAATAGGACTTTCTGCTCGGATTGGTAAAATCAAACTAACTGAATTTGGCTTAGAAGTTCAACGTAAGCGCTAGGTATATCGACGTTCTGATATAATTCAATAATGGTCAAGAAGCCAATTTATGTCCACGAATTTATCCACCCACTTGGACTAGAAATAAAATAGACCAGAGAAACAGCCTCATCTGTTTCATATTTAGATCTGGGGATTAAAATTCCGAGTAACAGAGTGTCGCTTTTAAAAACTCGTGAACATCAAACAATATTTGATGACTTTTTGGGTTTGGCCAAGTCCGCTCATGACCCTAAAAAACAATGCATGATGCAAAGAATGGAGAAAGGTCGTACCCGCTAGGACGTAAAATACAGCACACACTAACGTCTTCACATCGGAGTGGATGCTCCCCATGACGTTCAGGATGGCGGCAAATAAGGCCAAGAATAACGCTGTGACAGGTAGAGGTACCGATCCTCGCATGGCTGCTGTTGAAGATAAAACGAAAGTTCAACTAAAGAATACATGTACTGCTATAGTACCGGTATACAACTATATATCAATAGTTTTCGTAACTTCAGATCACAATATTCTAACATTCCAAGTTAGGAGACGGAGAAGGGAAAATTGGATCAATCGCAAGGATCAGATAGTAACGAGATCGGTCGGACGAGGAATCGATCGTATGAATGTATGTATTTACATTGTAAGCCATTTCGAAGGTCACATATTACCAGCAACTAGAAGGTATGTTGATTTTAGCGTTAGACGGTATGGTGTTATTTTCAGATGGTATGTCGATTTGGAAGGGCAAGTAGCTTCTGGGACGATGTTCAGTGCATATGTTGTATAGTCCCTTAACGATACAAGGCATGATGGAATGACGATGGTTGACTAAGACATAAGTCCCATTTGGGACAGTTGCAATTGTGGTATATTCACTTCTGAAGATAACCACCAAGTGAAGTGAATACATAAAAGACTTTGGATCTATGTTTTTATTCTACCACGAGGATGTCTAAAAAGAATTATCTGTCAAATAAACGATTGGTTCTTCCTCAAAGAAATTCGTTATGTTTATTCATATAAACTGCACGGGGCACGGGTGGCCCAGTCGTCTTAGGCGCCGCGATTCGCTGTGCAGAGTTACGTCCCTTGGACACGCCAGAAACCTATGATTGTGGGTTCGAATCCCGGTTCGCACCGATTATGTTTCTATAATCATACCCCTGCTCGTGGGTTTCATCGAAGTGGTAAACGTCTTAGACCTGCATCACTTCGGCCTTTCCTCCCACATTAAGCTGACTCGCCGTGATATAACTGGAATACTGTTAAAAGCGACGTTAAACCCAACACACACACTCACTCATATAAACTACCGGCAAAAGAAAGTATACAATGTTTTATGGTGGCTGAAATGATACAAACCAGAACTGGTTATTCGATGGTGATGTATTTGTGATGGGTCTCACAGCTGTGTTTTGGACCTTAAGTTTCAGTGTAACGGTGACTGTTTTCAGCCTAGTTACGTTTGTAATTGTTGACCAAATATTCAAAGGATACTTTCTTTTGCCTGGTAGGTTATTTCGACAAACCTACTGGAAACAAACATTGAATGGTGGTACGGATTGTGTTTAATACATATAATAAAGCATGCGTTCTTTTAGTAATTCAGTTGTTGAGAAACACGTCACAATGAGAACACTTCAGGGACTTTAGCTTGATTACCAATGATCGTCATGGTCGTTTCTGCCTGATTTTCTCGTCCTTCGTTACTGACTTGGTAGCTAATGGAGGAACACATGGCGGCTTCAACTGGAATTAGAAACGGAGATGATGAGACATTGCTTCATAGAGTTGTTGTCTCGGTATGACGATTGTTTTACGACGCAGTTAGCAATATGTTTGCTTCGTCAAGGTGACAGAACTACATACATGCAAACATTGATGTTGTGAAAACGAGACGTTCGGGCAATGAGCACATACTCCATCTGCAAGTCTCCGCTAAAATCTCCTTTCCCTGATATATCCTTAAGGTAATGTGTTACGGTAAACAGATACATTAATCTAATACATTAGATAGTTCTGTGAATACATTGGGATGACAATATGACTACAGTGGGATAGTTCTGTGAATACATTGGGATAACAATATGACTACAGTGGGATAGTTCTGTGAATACATTGGGATAACAATATGACTACAGTGGGATAGTTCTGTGAATACATTGGGATAACAATATGACTACAGTGGGATAGTTCTGTGAATACATTGGGATAACAATATGACTACAGTGGGATAGTTCTGTGAATACATTGGGATAACAATATGACTACAGTGGGATAGTTCTGTGAATACATTGGGATAACAATATGACTACAGTGGGATAGTTCTGTGAATACATTGGGATAACAATATGACTACAGTGGGATAGTTCTGTGAATACATTGGGATGACAATATGACTACAGTGGGATAGTTCTGTGAATACATTGGGATAACAATATGACTACAGTGGGATAGTTCTGTGAATACATTGGGATAACAATATGACTACAGTGGGATAGTTCTGTGAATGTATTGGGATAACAATATGACTACAGTGGGATAGTTCTGTGAATGCATTGGGATAACAATATGACTACAGTGGGATAGTTCTGTGAATACATTGGGATAACAATATGACTACAGTGGGATAGTTCTGTGAATGCATTGGGATAACAATATGACTACAGTGGGATAGTTCTGTGAATACATTGGGATAACAATATGACTACAGTGGGATAGTTCTGTGAATGCATTGGGATAACAATATGACTACAGTGGGATAGTTCTGTGAATGCATTGGGATAACAATATGACTACAGTGGGATAGTTCTGTGAATGCATTGGGATAACAATATGACTACAGTGGGATAGTTCTGTGAATACATTGGGATAACAATATGACTACAGTGGGATAGTTCTGTGAATACATTGGGATAACAATATGACTACAGTGGGATAGTTCTGTGAATACATTGGGATAACAATATGACTACAGTGGGATAGTTCTGTGAATACATTGGGATAACAATATGACTACAGTGGGATAGTTCTGTGAATACATTGGGATAACAATATGACTACAGTGGGATAGTTCTGTGAATGCATTGGGATAACAATATGACTACAGTGGGATAGTTCTGTGAATACATTGGGATAACAATATGACTACAGTGGGATAGTTCTGTGAATACATTGGGATAACAATATGACTACAGTGGGATAGTTCTGTGAATGCATTGGGATAACAATATGACTACAGTGGGATAGTTCTGTGAATGCATTGGGATAACAATATGACTACAGTGGGATAGTTCTGTGAATGCATTGGGATAACAATATGACTACAGTGGGATAGTTCTGTGAATACATTGGGATAACAATATGACTACAGTGGGATAGTTCTGTGAGTGCATTGGGATAACAATATGACTACAGTGGGATAGTTCTGTGAATACATTGGGATAACAATATGACTACAGTGGGATAGTTCTGTGAATGCATTGGGATAACAATATGACTACAGTGGGATAGTTCTGTGAATACATTGGGGATAGTTCTGTTAGTAAAGTGGGATAGTTCTGTGAATACATTGGGATAACAATATGACTACAGTGGGATAGTTCTGTGAATGCATTGGGATAACAATATGACTACAGTGGGATAGTTCTGTGAATACATTGGGATAACAATATGACTACAGTGGGATAGTTCTGTGAATACATTGGGATAGCAATATGACTACAGTGGGATAGTTCTGTGAATACATTGGGATAACAATATGACTACAGTGGGATAGTTCTGTGAATACATTGGGATAGCAATATGACTACAGTGGGATAGTTCTGTGAATACATTGGGATAACAATATGACTACAGTGGGATAGTTCTGTGAATACATTGGGATAACAATATGACTACAGTGGGATAGTTCTGTGAATACATTGGGATAACAATATGACTACAGTGGGATAGTTCTGTGAATACATTGGGATAACAATATGACTACAGTGGGATAGTTCTGTGAATGCATTGGGATAACAATATGACTACAGTGGGATAGTTCTGTGAATGCATTGGGATAACAATATGACTACAGTGGGATAGTTCTGTGAATGCATTGGGATAACAATATGACTACAGTTGGATAGTTCTGTGAATGCATTGGGATAGCAATATGACTACAGTGGGATAGTTCTGTGAATACATTGGGATAACAATATGACTACAGTGGGATAGTTCTGTGAATACATTGGGATAACAATATGACTACAGTGGGATAGTTCTGTGAATACATTGGGATAACAATATGACTACAGTGGGATAGTTCTGTGAATACATTGGGATAGCAATATGACTACAGTGGGATAGTTCTGTGAATACATTTGGATAGCGACATGACTACAGTGGGATAGTTCTGTGAATGCATTGGGATAACAATATGACTACAGTGGGATAGTTCTGTGAATACATTGGGATAGCAATATGACTACAGTGGGATAGTTCTGTGAATACATTGGGATAACAATATGACTACAGTGGGATAGTTCTGTGAATACATTGGGATAGCAATATGACTACAGTGGGATAGTTCTGTGAATACATTTGGATAGCGACATGATTACAGTGGGTTAGTTCTGTGAATACATTGGGGATAGTTCTGTGAGTAAAGTGGGATAGTTCTGTGAATACATTGGGATAGCAATATGCCTACAGTGGGATAGTTCTGTGAATACATTGGGGATAGTCCTGTGAGTAAAATGGGATAGTTCTGTGAATACATTGGGATAGCAATATGACTACAGTGGGATAGTTCTGTGAATACATTGGGATAGCGACATGACTACAGTGGGATAGTTCTGTGAATACATTGGGATAGCAATATGACTACAGTGGGATAGTTCTGTGAATACATTGGGATAGCAATATGACTACAGTGGGATAGTTCTGTGAATACATTGGGGATAGTTCTGTGAGTAAAGTGGAATAGTTCTGGATACATTGGGGATAGTTCTATGAATACATTGGGATGGCAATATGACTACAGTGGGATAGTTCTGTGAATACATAGGGGATAGTTCTGTGAGTAAAGTGGGATAGTACTGTGAATACATTGGGATAGCAATATGACTACAGTGGGATAGTTCTGTGAATACATTGGGATAGCAATATGATTACAGTGGGTTAGTTCTTTGAATACATAGGGGAGAGTTCTGTGAGTAAAGTGGGATAGTACTGTGAATACATTGGGATAGCAATATGACTACAGTGGGAAAGTTCTGTAAATACATTGGGGATAGTTCTGTGAGTAAAATGGGATAGTTCTGTGAATATATTGGGATAGCAATATGGCTACAGTGGGATAGTTCTGTGAATACATTGGGATAGCGACATGACTACAGTGGGATAGTTCTGTGAATACATTGGGATAGCAATATGACTTCAGTGGGATAGTTCTGTGAATACATTGGGGATAGTTCTGTGAGTAAAGTGGAATAGTTCTATGGATACATTGGGGATAGTTCTATGAATACATTGGGATGGCAATATGACTACAGTGGGATAGTTCTGTGAATACATTGGGAAAGTTCTGTGAGTAAAGTGGGATAGTACTGTGAATACATTGGGATAGCAATATGACTACAGTGGGATAGTTCTGTGAATACATTGGGATAGCAATATGACTACAGTGGGATAGTTCTGTAAATACATTGGGGATAGTTTTGTGAGTAAAATGGGATAGTTCTGTGAATATATTGGGATAGCAATATGGCTACAGTGAGATAGTTCTGTGAATACATTGGGATAGCGACATGACTACAGTGGGATAGTTCTGTGAATACATTGGGATAGCAATATGACTACAGTGGGATAGTTCTGTGAATACATAGGGGATAGTTCTGTGAGTAAAGTGGAAATAGTTCTATGGATACATTGGGGATAGCAATATGCCTACAGTGGGATAGTTCTGTGAATACATTGGGATAGCGACATGACTACTGTGGGTTAGTTCTGTGAAAACATTGGGGATAGTTCTGTGAGTAAAGTGGTATAGTTCTGTGAATACATTGGGATAGCAATATGACTACAGTGGGATAGTTCTGTGAATACATTTGGGATATTTCTGTGAGTAAAATGGGATAGTTCTGTGAATACATTGGGATAGCAATATGACTACAGTGGGGTAGTTCTGTGAATACATTGGGGATAGTTCTGTGAGTAAAGTGGTATAGTTCTATGAATACATTGGGATGGCAATATGCCTACAGTTGGATAGTTCTGTGAATACATTGGGGATAGTTCTGTTAGTAAAGTGGGATAGTTCTGTGAATACATTGGGAGAGCAATATGACTACAGTGGGATAGTTCTGTGAATACATTGGGATAGTTCTGAGGATGCGTTGCGATAGTTATGTGATTATATTTGGGTTGTTCCGCGAAAGTTCTGTGAATACATTGGGATAGTTCTGCGATTACATTAGGGTAGTTATGTGAGTACATTGGTATAGTTCCGAGAATACGTTGGGATAGTTATGTGAATATATTAGGATAATTCTGTTAATACTTTGGGTAATTCTGCGAATACATTGGGATTATTCCGTGAACACATTAGGGTAGTTCTGTGAAAACATCGGTATTAGTTCGGGGAATACATTTTGATTCGCGTGTGAATACATTGAGATTAACATTGGGATTGTTCTGTGAATACACTAGGATAGTTCCGTGAATACATTGGGATAGTTATGTGAATCGAGCCTCGGTCAGTGAATACATCGATAGTTGTCCTGTGTTTGCCTGTGTTTTTCTTGGTGTGCTGGAGTCGTTACATACAGTAGCCTCATACAGATGTCGTGTGAAGCCCATTTCTGGTGTCCCCAGCCGTGATAGTAAAACCATACTCACTCACTCACTCATACAGATGTTATACAATGCGGGCACACGGGTGCTGTACACATCAAGTAGAACCGGATGTTTCGTTGTAGCAAGACAGGACATTAGGGATGTTGACGTATTCAATTATTGTTATTATGATATATAATGATAACCGTTTTCATTGGATGTTTTTCGATCCCCATAAAAGTACATTATTGTGAAAGTATATTTTACGCACACAACTTCGTAAATGTATGTTTTTTTTATATATTTGTTCAAATATAAAGTGTGTTACCTTATGTAAATCAAACATGCTATTAATCAAATATGATTCATATATCAATGGTATAAGCTATGGATAATGAATTAAGTAAATCCAAGAATCTATTAAAGTAAAATAGTTACTTACGTAATTCATTCTTTAAACAATATCTCCATAATCCAGACCATGTCTCTAGCCAAAATTTAGAGGCGTTTTTTATAACCTTTCCTTCTCCGTCAGTAGGTTTGATGTGTTCTCTGGTTAACAGCCAGCAATCAGTCGACACAGACAGACACAGCGATCCCACAGTGATAGCTCCGAACACGAATGTTAGAGAAGTCAAAACGTGTATATTACAACGCATGTTTCTCCTGAATGAATAATGAAAGGACGCGTACACAGCAAGATGGAGAGATATACAGACCCATGAACCTGCCGGAGTTCAGTATAATTAGTAATCAACCATTGGCTTCCGTTTTGCTTTCAGGCGAAAGGTCTTCATTGTTAAAAATGGATAGGTTGATAAATCAGTCCATCAATGACCAGGCACCAAATCCACATTCATCCTTAGGAAGCACGAGGGTAAGAAACGTCTGTAAATAAAATGTCGTTGGTTGACTTCACAACATTTGACACACTAAATATTACGTCTTGTTCTAGTTCACGAACATCTCGAATATTGATGATGCAGTTACCATCATTCAAACACAGCACTCAACCCATATCTGGTAGTGAGGTGGATATAAAAAGCAATCACCGCCCTATCTTCCAGTATGCCCTGTGGACATCGCTCCAGTCAGGGCTTGTCTGAATCTAGCATCCCTCAAAAGTCAGGATACCGAATATACACTTTTGCAAGCACGTTCAACCAAAAATGGCCTTGGAATTGGACAGATTGATTTGCTGGTATGTAACGTGCCAATCTGTTCTCAAACTTTGTTAGCCTTCCTTGAATAATTCGTTCATGTAGACAACTCTTGAATCACGTGTATACATTGTTGATCGTTAGCTGTGTATCTCAGGGCTAGAAACTGCGTTAAGGTTGCTATAAAAGGCCTTCTCAAGTAAACATGTTCTCGCTGATGCTGTTCTAAGCTTGATTACTTGTTTGCTGGAACGATAGAATCCGATTCCTCTTCATGGAGCTATTCCTTTCATCCTTGGAGAGCAAATTCTTCTTGAAAACTACCTCAAGGACATCTATTCACATACCACCAAATGCAGGCGTAGTGGCAGGGAGCTTTCTGAGGACCATTTAAACCAGGACGGACGGTCCTCTGTTCTGTCTAAGCTGAAAGGGAGCGATCCATAGATAAGGTCAGCAGTCATTGAATGGGGTAGAGAATTACAAATATTACGTTAATCACTGACTTCAGTGTGTGGAAGATCAGGCCACACAGTCATTAGCAGTTTACCATGGAGTTGGAGTGAAAAGGCGCATTAAGTTGACGTTAATGAAACGTATTGACAAAATTTTCAATTACTTGCCAAGTGCCGTGGATCGATCGGGGATTATATAGCAAATGTGGATGCTTCTGCCAGAAAAAGGCACATCCATTCAACATTTAGATCTTCGTATCGTCACATTGTGACACTGATATGTAATACTTGACAGACGATAGAGCTTAACTCGGATTTTACACTCATTTCTTCAGTGATTGATTCGGCTGCTTAAGCGTATTGATAACGTTAAGTTAAGATGGTGTTTTTTTGTCAGTATCGATTTCGAATAAAGTAATCTTATAAGGCTTGTGCATGGATTACATTCTGTACAAAAGAATATTTTAAATTAAGAAACAATCTTACATCATTACGTCTTTCCCTCATTCAACTTGCAATGCCATCTTATTTGCATCAATTTGTCCATTCTAAAATCTAGTCACATTTTACAGATGGTAGTAAATTGCAGATGATTAAAGATTCTAATATGTGCATAAACGTATTGACATATTTTTGTTTTAATTATTGTGAACAAATGAATACGTCATCGATATAATGTAATTGCTATAGAATAATACTGTCTCATGGCATCACTAGGGATGCTGAGTGGGCGCACACGCCCTGACAGACTGTAATCTAGTCTGACGAAACACAAACACATTGACGTACATGATTCCCTTACAAACCATTTGCTCATGAGTGGACGTTATCATCTGGGGGTTTCATCATCTCGATACAGTACAACTGTAATGGGACAAGCCAAATACTAAGTGTAGTATACGCACACGAGATGCCCCTGCGATCAATAAACGGTGGAGGCCTTCCGCTTGAAGTTAGATGAGAATTAATTCATTTAGAGACCACTGCTCATCCTTGTTTACTAGAAAGCGAATTTGATGGAAATCAGTTATGGATTTATTCCTTCGTTCATTCGCTTGTTCGTTCCTTCCTTCGTCCATTCATTTCGTAGCACAGTACAATACAGCTCATGTTCATCTACCACATATGCCATTGTCATGTTCTTTTGTATATATGATGCCCGTAACGTTTAACAACCAACGGTGGCTTGCCTAAATTTATGCTTTAAGGGTGAAAATAATAACCTGAAAGGTAGATAGGGAAAAAACTATTTTAAATGCTACAGAAATTGTTACACACTAAGATGCCTTTTCTATGTGTACATAATTAACCTTGGTTTGGAAATGGCGAAGATGATTGCATGTTATCAGTGAGCTGTATCCGCATCACTGTTAGTGCAGGGCATTAGGAACACGACCACCACATAATCAAGACAAATCACGACATGTAATTGCCATGCTTGCTTCTGCATCATGGCCCAGCTCGTAATAAAACGCAGATAAGATGCTGTAGGACTATCTGCAAGCTGCCCCCCTTTGGCACGAGGAAACATTGCATGACACATACTTGTAGTTGCAGAAGAATGACAACAACGACAACAATAGCACTACTACTACTACTACTACTACTACTACTACTAACTACTACTACTACTACTACTACTACTACTACTACTACTACTAACTACTACTACTACTACTACTACTACTAACTACTACTGCTAACTACTACTACTAACGACTACTAACTACGAACAACTACTACTAACTACTTACTACTACTACTACTTACTACTACTACTACTACTTACTACTACTACTACCTTCTACTACTATTACTAACTACTACTACTACTACTACTACTAACAACTACTACTAACTACAACTTCTACTACTAACTACTACTACTGCTACTAACTACTTCTACTACTACTTCCTACTTCTACTACAACTAACTACTACTACTTCTACTAATGATAATGACCCGTGAAGATCCCGGGTAGAATAGGTTTTAAGCAACCCAGGCAAACAAACAAACAAACAAACAAACAAACAAACAAACAAACAAACAAACAAACTAATGATAATTATTATAACAAGAATTTCAGAACTAAACGTTACTGAATATTTCTCAGCAACTAGTATTTCATTTTCTCTGGATCTTATCTCACTGTGCATCTTCTGATTGATCACTGACCACTGCTGTTCTGATTAACCATGCATGGCACCTCCACTGATCTAACCTGCCATTTCAACCCTAGAGCGATTACATCTGGATGCTGATCTCCTACCAAAGCAGGTCTCAGTGTGATTGGACATGGGGTCTTCAGGACACCAGTGTTGGAGCAACGGATCTCATGGTAAGACTGGATGCAATTGTATTTGGAAGTAACGGATCGATGGGCAACTGGTTAGTCCCTTTTGATCTTTGCTGAATGGAATTTGTCCCCGGATAGTGAAATGTTGGCATTGAGATTATTCTTGAGATGAATAATATGAGGCATGTTTCAGTTCTTGGTATTTGAGCTGTTTATTGTTCCAGAACACTTAACTAAATAATCAATGATATCAGGAAGCATATTGTGACTTATCAGTGACATGAGACCTCAAAATATACCTCTCTTGGTTCTTAAACATCCTGGAGAATGATTCATGTATACTGTAGATTACAAACTACAGAAACTCATAGCATATTTTAATTTGCCAGCTTTTCAGACGAGAACACACAGAGAGGAAGTATGGAAGTATTGAAAAACATGAGTGTGTTCATTTGCTTTGACCCATGTTTAGAGTGAGTGAGTAAGGCTTTACGCCGCTTTGAACAATATTCCAGCAATATAACGTCAGTACAGGTCAAAATAGGTCTTCACATGATATATCCATAGTTGGAATAGAACCGGACATACCATAGCGAGAGCTTTAACCACTGCACCTACCTCCCTTTGAAAATAAAATGTATGCAAAAGTGATATGTTGTTTCTCAATAAATATATCACTTTCAGACGTAAGTGCACGCACCAGACGAAGGCGATACATCACTCGACACCGATGTTCCGTTCCAAAGACAACCTGGAAACTCCAGAAGTAGGGCCGCAAACAAAGTGTTACATTCTACTTGTGAATGGTTGTTATTCTTTCCTATATTCTCCTCAGAACATGGAGTGAGGAAATCCTTTCACTACTGCTGCAAGCTTCAAATAGACGCACCTAGTCAGGACGCAACGGACAACTGGAGGTCAGTTCCATTTGAACTCGTGTGCACAAGACAATGCATCATTATCGCAACACGGTTGTATAGCGGAAGCAATCAATACATCGGCGGGGGCTGTCCCCGGGGCATATGCTATGACACTTCTCATTGCCCAAGTACAAAGCACGCATCCTTATGGCGGATGTAGACAAGGTATAACTGTATAGAACAATAATTTCTCAGTACATTGCACATAGCCATTTCAAAAACACTATTCATTCGCGTTTTGCTTAAAATACAAGTGCCCGTTTAATCTACATGCAATTTGAAGCTGATATAATACTTTATATTCGATGTTGCTCATGAGAACAAATGTTCCTCATCACAACAGGTGTTACTCATTACATCAGATGTTACTCTTTTAGTTCAGTTGATACTTATAACAGCAGATGATACTTATAACAGCAGATGATACTTATAACAGCAGTTGATACTTATAACAGCAGATGATACTTATAACAGCAGATGATACTTATAACAGCAGGTGATACTCATTATAGCAGATGTTACTTATTATATCAGATGGTACTCATTATAGCAGATGTCACTCACTATAACATGTTACTTATATCAGATGTTACTCCTTATATCAGATGTTGCTTATTATATCAGATGTTGCTCATTTTAGCTGATGTTACTCACTATAACATGTTACTTATAGCAGATGTTACTAATTATATCAAATGTTACTTATTATAGCAGAGGTTAATCATTATATCAGATTATACTCATTATAGCTGATGTTACTCGTTATAACATGTTACGCATTACATCAGATGTTACTCATTAGATCAGATGTTACTCATTATATCAGATGTTACTCATTATAGCAGATGTTACTTATTATATCAGATGTTACTTATTATAGCAGATGTTACTAATTATATCAAATGTTACTTATTATAGCAGAGGTTAATCATTATATCAGATTATACTCATTATAGCTGATGTTACTCGTTATAACATGTTACGCATTACATCAGATGTTACACATTAGATCAGATGTTACTCATTATATCAGATGTTACTTATTATATCAGATGTTACTTATTATATCAGATGTTACTCATTATATCAGATGTTACTCATTATATCAGATGTTACTCATTATATCAGATGTTACTCATTATATCAGATGTTACTCATTATATCAGATGTTACTTATTATATCAGATGTTACTTCTTATATCAGATGTTACTCATTATATCAGATGTTACTCATTATATCAGATGTTACTCATTATATCAGATGTTACTTATTATATCAGATGTTACTTATTATATCAGATGTTACTCATTATATCAGATGTTACTTCTTATATCAGATGTTACTCATTATATCAGATGTTACTTCTTATATCAGATGTTACTCATTATATCAGATGTTACTCATTATATCAGATGTTACTCATTATATCAGATGTTACTCATTATATCAGATGTTACTTCTTATATCAGATGTTACTCATTATATCAGATGTTACTCATTATATCAGATGTTACTTATTATATCAGATGTTACTCATTATATCAGATGTTACTCATTATATCAGATGTTACTCATTATATCAGATGTTTCTCATTATATCAGATGTTACTTCTCATATCAGATGTTACTCATTATATCAGATGTTACTTCTCATATCAGATGTTACTCATTATATCAGATGTCACTTCTTATATCAGATGTTACTTCTTATATCAGATGTTACTTATTATATCAGATGTTACTCATTATATCA